TTGACTCCCATAATTTTGTTTCTTGTCTATCAGCAATCTGAGACTACAACATAAACATCATTACTAGCTCAGGTACCTATTTCACCTGTTTTGTTGTTTTTCTGAGATGGATTCTCCCTCTGTCTTCTAGGCTGGAGTGCAGTGGCGTGATCTTGGCTCACTGCAACCTATGCTTCCCGGGTTCAAGTGATTCTCCTGCCTCAGCCTCCCAAGTAGCTGGGATTATAGGTGCATGCCGCAACATCAGCTAATTTTCGTATTTTTAGTAGAGATGGGATTTCACCATGTTAGCCAGGCTGGTCTCCAACTCTTGACCTCAAGTGACCTACCCACTTTGGCCTCCCAAAATGCTGATCTCCATTATCCAGCCTGTTCTCAAAAAGAGAGCTCATGCCTGTAATCTCAGCCCTTTGGGAGGCTGAGGTGGGTGGATCACTTGAGGTCAGGAGTTCAAATCCAGTCTGGCCAACATAGTGAAAGCCCATCTCTACTAAAAATATAAAAATTAGCTGGGCATAGTGCACATACTTGTAATCCCAGCTACATGGGAGGCTGAGTTGGGAAGATCACTTGAGCCAGGGGGGTGGAGGATGCAGTGAGCTGAGATCACACCACTGCACTCCACCCTGGGTGACAGAGCCAGACTCTGTCTCAAAAAAAAAAAAAAAAAAAAAAAAGGCATCACAGATCCTATTCATGTTCTAGAAGCTCTGTATTAAATCCTGGGCCCAATCTTTCTGCTGTATAGATACTGCTATCTTATTTTTATTTTCCAAAACTTCATAGCATCTTATTGTTGTTGAATAGATGCAGTCTATTGAAAAACTTAGGATCTCTGGAAAACTTAGAAGTTTGATTTTTCTTGTTTTCTGTGGTGCCTCATTTCTTTGGGAGTTGTTTGGCTTTTAGTCTCTGTCTTCCTTGTTGGAGGCTGTTCTCAAATGTCTGGTAATCCTGTACTGTCCTCTTCACATTTAAGATCAGATATAAGATGCCAGGAAGTTCTGTGTATCTGAAGGAGGGGGTGACTTTTTGACAGGCTAGCTTTACTAGGGGGTGATTAAGCAAGCTAAATGGCCCCTTCTTTGTAGGGCCTTTTCCTGGGGGCAGTTCCATTTCTCCTAAGAAGAATCCTCTAGTCTTCTTCCTTAAGCATATAAACCCCACTGCAGTGTTCTGGGAACAAAATGGAGTGGGAAAGCCTATTGCTTTTGTGTGCTTCCAGGGTACCCTGACCTAACCATAGCACCCACCACCCATCTAATTACTCGATAACGTATGTCTTCACACTACTTCATAAGCCCAATGAGACAGGGACCACATCTGTCATTTGCACATATCCCCAGCACCCAGCATAATCTGCAGCACATAGCAGCACTTAGAAATGTTGCTGAATGAATAAATGGTGAGAGCTCTGGTGCTGGTTCAGGTGAACTACAGGACAATACAAACAAGAATTGTGTGTGGGATACAGGAACCCCCAAGAATCATAACTCTTCTACCCAGAACATTTGAGATTTTTCTTGGAATTCCAATCAAGGCATTTGCACTCTCCACAGCTCACATACAGCCTATGGCTCTATAAATGTCATGGATTCCGTTTCTCTCAGGTCTAGTCTGCTCCTCATAAGCACTGCAGATTAAATGAACAAAGGGCATGCCCCTAGGTTATGACAAATGTTGTTTGTTCTTGGTTCCTGCACTTGCACACATTCTAATAATTATCTAAGAAACTCTTCAATTGATGATGTTAAGATTATGCCTTAACAAAAAAAAAAAAAAGATTATGCCTTAGTAGAAACCAGTATAAACTGCTCACTCTCTGATGGTAAAATGGGCTTTAAATTCTTCTTAAATTCCTTTTAGGTGGGGAAAATATGTTCTGCTAGCTGAGAAGGAGAAACAAATTTGATCTTTGGGGAAGGAGCCTTAAATAGACACACAACTGGCAACCAGCATTTTGACTGAGTGCATATCATGCTGGGAAGCATATGGAGAAGGGGCAAAGGCAAAAAGGAAACGAACATAGATGTAAGAGAGCAGGGAGAAAGCCACCCCTTCAAGGAACAGAGGAGTAGGAAGGGAGGGGAATGCAAGGACCTATGCACTAGTTGGGCTGGGCACAGGCTAAGCTGTAATAACAGAGACCCAACTATACTGTGGCTTACAGAAGGTAGAACTTGATTCTCTCTTATGTAACAGTCCAGAATTGAGCAGTCCAGGAAGGTGGGGTGGCTTTGCTCTGTGCAATCTTCCAGACCCAGACATCTACTTTTTTTTTACTCCTCTATTCCTTAGAGTATTATTTTTGACTTCATGGCCATAGCCCTGTGAGCATTTCAACCTAGTAAAAGGGGGGAAATTGGAAAAGTGATGTGGAAGTTGCACACATCACTTCTGCCTATACTTCCTTGGCAAAAATTTAGCCCCACCTAATAGCAAAGGAGGCTGGAATATGAGTGGCCATATGCCCAAATAAAACTATAACTATAGAGTAAGGGGAGACAGGTTTGGGAACAATTAGCAGTCTGTCCTCACTTTTCAAATAAATAAAAGCCGGAAAAGAAGGCCCAAAGATGGTGTCAGTGACACTGACCATGGGTACGAGACATGAAGGCAGAACACAGTGAATCATCTCCTTACCTGGTTTTGCCCACTTCAGCTGCTAGCATCTTGACTAGTCAGGCAGGGTCAATCATTTCAGCTATCTGTAAAGAAGAACCTGAAGAGCTTTCAAACTCAAAACCTTATGATAATGATGAAAGCATTGGCTGACATTGACTAAAGACACATTCTAGAATGTACTTAGTTGCACTGAACAAACTACACAAGGCCATGCAGTGACATCAGACACCAAACTCACAGACCTCATCACTAGGTGGCTGGCAAACACCCTTACTTAAAGTGGGTAAGGATACAGTTTTAGTGCATAATGAGGTTGACCTCACCCATGTAAGCTGGCCAGACAAGATTGTCCATTTCTGTCATCAAGCCCTCATTACTGTTAGCAGATAGCTTTTAATCTTTGCTTGTTAACATTAAGATTGTACAGTACTGAACCTTTCTTTCTTTAACAAACTCTTTAGTTGTCTTCTCCCTGAGACAGTGGAAAGGGACTTTTAAAAACTCTTTTCCTACTTGGAATCCAAACTGAATCATGGATCCTCATTGCCATAAGGGTCAGTTTCTAGGACATTATCTAATATTGTACATCTCCCAAGAAACACAAGTTTAATATAAAACAAATTAAACCTCCAAAGTTGCATGAGGTACACTAAAACTAAGATGAGCTCAGATGAGCTGAGTAATGTGGATTGATAAGCCAGACTTACATCTTCTGCAATTTGTGTGTGATACTCTAGAGTATAAACATGTAAGTAATAGATTTCCCTTGTCCAGTCTGCCTGTCTGTCCACTCTGTACTGCAAGGTGAACTTAGTCATCCAGAAAAGGCCAGGAAGGTGGGTAGGGCTAATGCTTTGCACAGTTTAATATGCACAATTAACATGGAGCTAGCTTTGTGAAATCCTAATGTTGTATACTGGCCAATCTGAATGATGGTACATGACCTGAAAGGTATTTTTTCTTATCGCAAGACTCACTTGACTTTCAGTACCACCTAAACTGGTAACATGGGACAAAGAATGAACACTAAATTATTTGTGTGTGTACACACACACACAGACACACACAAACATATAAATGTGTGTATATACATTCTTTGTATATTAGAAAGACAGGATAGCCACCTACCGTCTGTAGGAAATACTTTAGGTGCCCTATTCTGTAAGGAATGGAGAAACTTCCTGAAGAGGTTAGGGAGGGTTATAACAAATAGATAAACAAAAACACCCAAATCTTTATATACTGAAGGAGGCTCACTTACTCAAGTTTACAGTTAGGAACATACCCAAAGAAACAACAGTTAAGTAGTGTTTACTTCTTCAGAAGAGGAAACGACCTTGTATTGCCAAAGATTGACTCCAGTTTCGAAAACAAGTACCTAATATTTAACAGCATCTCTCACACATCAATTTTAAAGCAAGCTTCCATTTCCTAGGAATCAGGAAAAGGGAAAGAAATGGAATTCATATACATATTATTGCTACTTCACTATGAATCACTTTATCAGATTCCCTTATACTTTAGGGAAAATATCTGTAAATATAATAGACCATATTTATAATCACTGCCCCAGCTATAGAGAATTAATAATTTCTTTCTGAGGCAAAGCACTGGTTCAAACATGGCCATTTCAAAGTGAAAAAAAGTATGTAAAATAAATATAGAACTTATTTCTCTTTTTTAAAAAAGTTTTTCTTCCAACTAATATACTTCTTTACCCAGGTGCATTTTTTAAATAGAATCCTCTGAAAAACCTCCAGTAGCTGAACTTGGCAGGAAATTGTGTGAGCAGTGATGGATGGCTTTCCTTTATGGGTGTATTTGAGATCTTAAGCAGTTAGTGTTTTTTGTCTTCAGTACTAAAGAATTTCTACCTGATGCAGCACTAGTCAGAAAACTTAAACATGTGTTATCCAAGTTAACTTTTCTGCAAGAAGCTAGGCTTGTTGGGTGGCAATTTGATGACAATGATCTCAGTCTTATTAAAGGTGCTTTTAAACTAGTAACTGCTTAAATAAAGGGTACCCAAAGCCATTAGGTGCTCTGGGACCCCATTACTTTAAGCCTGGTAGTTAAAAAAAATCTTGCAAAAGGATGCCAAAGAAGGAAGTGGAAAGAAATTTAATTAGATACATGCAATAGTTTTGTGTCTTAGCTCTCCTGCTAGGGCTATCAGCTCCTTGAAGGAACTCTTGTTCATCTTTGGGTTACTTTTGGTCTGGGTTACACCAACTGGTATACTGAATGCATATTAACTTAGTATAGTGCCTGGCATGTAACAGATTCTCAACAAATATTTGCTGAATATGAGATAATAAATAGCTACTGAATAAAGAAACAAGGATTATTTAAAATCAGAGAGAAAACTCCATATATGTTCTTTAATCCAAACAGTTTAATTCAAACAATCTGGAATGTAAAAAGCATTTTCTCATATTAGAAGGAGATCAGACTCCCAAAAAAGATCAGCATTCTTTAGTAAAGCAAAAATTGGCAGTTAACAAACAGCTAAATCAGAGGCTTAAAATTCAGGTCCTCTCTAGTATCTGCTAAGTTATGTGTAATTCCAAACATGACATTAGAGATTAAAGAAGAAAGGGAAAATGTTTCCCTTCTTTTGTACTTTATATAAATTAAGGGTACCCTGCCCTAATCTTTTTTTCCAACACTTCCCCAAATAACCCTTCCCTACAAAGAAAGAAGTCTAAGAAAACTCTCTAAACATATTTAAGTAGAAGCAAGCCTGAAAAAAACACAAAAACCTAAATGGTGTTAGCCTGTGGTTCACCTATTTTCATGGCACCTCAAATTAATGGCTTGGGTGTTGGTGTAGGAACACTTGGCCTGTATATTGAGGTAGTCACTAGAAAAAATTCTGGGCACAACATCTGTTTAGCAATTGAGGACATATAAATATGTTATTCATAACGTTTTGAAGCTGATATTTTACAGATCAACTAATTATTCCTCTCCCTAACTTTACAGATGAGCAAGCGCAAATGATTTGCCCATGGGTTACAAAACTACTTCCTTACACAGTGGCAGCATCAGAACTGAAATTCAGGCCTTTTGCCTCCTAGTGCAGTGTTTTTCCCATTACAATACAGTGACTTTGTAAAGCAGGGTTAATTACACTTCACGGAGTTTACATCTACATCTTAAACAAACTATGGGCCAAATACTCAAATTGAACTTTCTTTGTCTAGCTTCCAGTGATTCGGTGGCAAGATTTACTAGTGAGGCTACTGCCTATAGGCCTATGCTGGGTGAGTTCCTTATTTTTATATCCAGAAGTTAGTCAGAGCTTGGCCAAGTAAGACTTCTGTATACAATAATGCATGGGCCAATGTCTCCTGTAACACCTTACTCACATTCAGGAAGCAGGGCCAATTCTTTCATAACCCACAGGTAACTGTCCTTTCTCAAACAGTGTAGGTGTGTATTAAAGCACCTTTGGTGGGATAGCTGCACAGGTGTTGCTTCGATTGGTGTTGAGGAAGTAGGCATAAAACCTCATACAGAACTGCGTTTGGTACCTGAACACTTTAAAATCCCATGGGGAAGACATGCATGGGATGGCAGCACATACCTCTTAACCATAACTCAGGACATGGCAGTTCAGATTTCATGCATGACCCTAATTCACACTTAGATGAGATCAATGAAGGAAAAATCATCCTGTAATAGTAGACCAATAACAGACACAGGAATAGTTAGAGAACATAAGACAAAGGACAAGAAACAGGTTGCCTTACTACATTTTACAAAGTATCATTTTCCCCAGTAGTCAAGGTAGTAGCATGGGCTGTATTTCTTCAGCAGGTCACATGCCTGAACAGCGTTGCAGATGTCAAAGACAGTGACCAAATCCTCACTAAGAAAAAGGTATTTAGGATATGGACACTTATACTACAGATGACAATTCTGCTTGACAGAGATGGCTTCTTGAATGTTTTTAATCCACGGTGAAGAAAGTGTTGCTCCTATTTGAAAGCAGATGAGTTGACTGAAGAAACTGTTGCAGATTATAGAAAAACAAAAATCTTCTCTAGATAGCTGGCTGATGGCTGGGAAAGTCATATATCTCCAGGAGCACTGGATTTCGGGAAAGTTGAGTCCACTCTCAAAATCCCTTTTTAAAACTGTTATAGAATGCATAATAAAATAAAACAATAACAAAAAACCCTCATAGGTCATGTGTGACTACTGCTTGTTCTACTTTTTGCAAGTAATACTAGCCACATTAGAAAGTTCTTAAACTCTGCATTTGGGGCTGAGCATGGTGGCTCATGCCTGTGATCCCAGCACTTTGGGAGGCTGAGGCGGGTGGATCACCTGAGGTCAGGAGTTCAAGACCAGTCTGACCAACATGGAGAAACTCCGTCTCTACTAAAAATACAAAAATTTAGCTGGATGTGGTGGTGCATGCCTGTAATCCCAGCTACTCAGAGGCTTAGGCAGAAGAATCACTTGAACCTATGAGGCAGAGGTTGCGGTGAGCCGAGATCGTGCCATTGCACTCCAGCCTGGGCAATAAGAGCGAAATTCCATCTCAAAAAATGAAAAAACCCACAAAACTCTGCATTTGGAAAACAACGAAAAAACAACATAATCTACATAATTCTTATACTTCACTACAGTTAACAATTTCCTATTTTTGACAAAGCAAAACAAAAGCCAGAAACTGCCCACTGCAGACCCAATAATGCTATATTCTATAATCTAAGGTCCATTATGCTTTGATAATATTATACTATGTATACTCAAATTCTTTGTGTAACTTGAAAAGACATCGAATTCCGTAATATATATTGAACTCCATGTGTTTTGGTAATATACTTGATATATTTTGTTAATAAAATAAATTAAAAAGTCAATCAATGAAAATGTGGCAGAAAAGATAAATTCATTATGTCAGTATTTGATTAAATGTAATACAGAAAATTTGGATTCTTTCACTGCATATCACCAAAAATTGGGTATCACTTATTAAACACTGAGAGACATGGACTATTTACAAATGTACTAAAATTTTTAAATGAGAGAAACTTTAACAAAAATCTTGATGATTTAAAAATTCAAATTGTGCTACATAGTCTGTATTCCAAAATTGCTGCTAAAAAGTTTGCTTTTAGTTTACAAGACATAATTCAGAAGAACCTCAAAGAAAAATGTAGCAATTAAGTTTGGAAAAGCTATAAAAGAGACTTTTACATTTTGAATAGACATTTTTCCCTTTTCCAAAATGTTCATTAGTCAAGAAGCATGTTTATAAATTTCACTAAAGAAAACAGCCAGGTGCAGTGGGCTCACACCCAATCCCAGCACTTTGGGAGGCTAAGGCGGGTGGATCACAAGGTCAGGAGTTTGAGACCAGATTGGCCAACATGGTAAAACACCCCATATCTCTACTAAAAATACAAAAAATAGCCAGGCGTGGTGGCAGTCACCTGTAATCACAGCTACTCGGGAAGCTGAGGCAGGAGAATCGCTTGAACCTGGAAGGCAGAGGGTGGCGGTGAGCCCAGATGGCACCACTGCACTCCAGCCTGGGTGACAGAGTGAGACACCATCTCAAAAAACTAAACAAAAACTAAGGAAACCTTAATAAACTATTGCCTTAAATTAATAATAATGGATTGGCTGGGCACAATGCAGAGCAAGACTCGTCTCAGGAAAAAAAAAAAGAGAAACATATCGTATTCTTAGTGATGTGACAGATCCACTCTATCAAGTGGCTTTTATAAAGGTAAGGTCATATCACACTGCAGTCAACTACAAAACCAAAGATACCAAAATTCAAATTTAAAGAAACGTATTTCTAAAGGAAGCCTATTTAAAGACTTTAACATTTATGAGGATTTCACTGTCACAAGTACATTTTACAAAAATATAGTTTCATAGGTTTCATGAAATGTGAACAAGCTTACTGTTATCTAACATCTAGAGTAAATGATTAAACAGTCAATGCAAAGTTGGATTACTAAATAAATTGGAAGCCACACAGTCAATATTTCTCATAAAAATAAGTTAGAGTCCATCATGGTCTTGGTTGTCCAATTCTATTAGTTCCATATCTACTTGGTATATTTGTAAAACCAGTCCTCAATCCTTGAGTTGCTCCAATTCCTGGAACTCCAAGTCCTTGATTAAGCATGCTGCTATAAGGTGTGTGTCCATGATTAAGACCAAAACCATAAGGCCTTGTTTGTGTGTTTAGAAGAATAACTGGGTTCACATTTTTCCCAGGAGTGTTAAATGAAAATTCTGGAGGTGGACTACTAGGTTTAGCAGGAGTTGATGTAACTGGGTTCAAATCATCAGTACCCTTTAAAAGAGGCATTGGGATTATGTGATGATCTGAAAAATTGAGGACATTGGCTGCAACAGGCACAGACAATAAGGCAGGCCTAATCCAGTCATCCTTGAAAATTTGAACAGTCAGAGTAGATACCAGAGTGTACAGTCTGTTGGTCACATGAGCAAGAACCATTTGTTCATTTGCATCTCGTCGAATTCTTACATGCACTGATCCAGCCTAAAAGGGGCAAAATCATAAGAAAGAGATTGCTTAGAATTATAAGGAAAATTCCATTAGAAACAAATATTTTATTTATGATTTGGTAAGTTCTTGGTATTTTATCTGAAAGAAAAAGCTTAATGTTATTTCTTAAAGAGTACTTGCTGGTGATGATCATTACAATGAGTTAAAGAAATAATTTGTGACTCTTTACAATACCAAAAAGGAAAATCCATGTACAATCAAGATAGCATGTAATGATACAAGGAAGAATATAAATGAAGCATAAGAAAAATACAGTGGAAGAGCCGAAAAGGCAGGTATTTCAAAAAGTGGAGACGGGCATTCCACACTGAGGGAAAAGCAATTAAAATGTATGGCATACTTGATAAGAATAAGCAATAATACTAATATATAAAGAAGTCCTGGCTGGGCTCAGTGGCTCACATCTGTAATCGCAGCACTTAGAGAGGCTGAGGTGGGCAGATCACCTGAGGTCAGGAGTTTGAGACCAGCCTGGCCAACATGTTGAAACCATGTCTCCACTAAAAATACAAAAAACTAGCCAGGCGTAGTGATGCATGCCTGTAATCCCAGATATTCGGGAGGCTGAGGCAGGAGAACTGCTTGAACCCGGGAGGTGGAGGTTGCAGTGAGCCGAGATCACACCACTGCACTCCAGCCTGAGTGACAGAGTGAGATCCTGTCTTGAATTTAGAAAAAAAGAAAAAAGAAAAAAAAAAGAAATTTTTCAGGGGCAGAAGAAGAAGAGAAAAGAGGGAGAGAAGGAAAAGAGGAAGGAAAAAGAGAGGGAGAAACAGAGGAAAGGAAGAAGAAAAATGATAGGTAAGTAATAAGGTTAAAAAGAGGCTACCAGACGACTCTAAAGTGATAAGGAGCTTTTATTTAACAGCAGCAACCAAACAGAAATAAAATAATCAGAATTCAGAAAAACTGTAGGTATGGATGACTAGTAATCAGGTAGGAAAAAACTGCAACAATCTAGATTAGAAATGAGGAGAGCTGCCAGGCGCGGTGGCTCATGCCTGTAATTCCAGCACTTTGGGAGACCAAGGCAGGTGGATCACCTGAGGTCACGAGTTCAAAACCAGCCTGGCCAACATAGTGAAACTCCATCTCTACTAAAAATACAAAAATTATCTGGGCATGGTGGCATGCACCTGTAATCCCAACTACTTGGGAGGCTGAGGCAGGAGAATTGCTTGAACCCGGGAAATGGACATTGCAGTGAGCAGAGATCATGCCACTGCACTCCAGTCTGGGTGACAGAGCAAGACTTGGTCTTAAAAAACAAAAGAAAACAAAACAAAAGAAATGAGGAGAGCTGAACTAGAACAATAGTGGAATCAAAGAGGGACAAATAGATAACATCATATTCCAGGGGCAGAAATGGAAGGACTTGATACCCAACTGGAAATAAAGGATGAGGGAGATTGACTCATCAAAGATGACCTCAGGGTTTCTAAGGGATAGAGAGCACCAGGCATTACAATGAGGGTTAGAAGTACATTTGTTAACTTGAAGAAGTGTTTACCATAAATTATGGGGTTTTTAAAATTAACTTTTTTTGTTTTCTTTGAAAAGATGAGGTCTCACCATGTTGCTCAGGCTGGTCTTGAACTCCTAGGTTCAAGCAATCTGCCTGCCTCAGGCTCCCACAGGGCTGGGATTACAGGTGTAAGCCACCATGCCTGGCCTATAAACTGTTTTTAAAGTAGATAATACAATAGTAGGTACAGCAAATGATCCTGTTTTGGTACACACACACACACACACACACACACACACACACCTGCTACAATCCCGCAGTCTGAGCAACATGGTGAAACCCCATCTCTACCAAAAAAAAAAAAAGCTGGGTATGGTGGCACATGTCTGTAGTCCCGGCTACTCAGCTACTCAGGAGGCTGAGGTGGGAGAATTGCCTGAACCCAGGAGGTGGAGGTTGCGGTGAGCTGAGATCGCACCATTGCACTCCAGCCTGGGTAACGAGCAAAACTCCATCTCAAAAAAAAAAAAAAAAGAAAGAAAATAAAGGAAAGAATGATTAAAAATGAACTGTAAGACTAAAGTGTATAGTTCTAAAAGGCATTCTAGCAGGCAATTTGGAAATTTGCATCAAAAACCATAAAAAAGATGAATATTTTCTGATTTACAAAAACTTCTAAAAATTAGTCTTAAGAAATAATCACAAATATTTAAAAAGTTTATCCCTAAAAATGTTTATCCCAGGCCAGGTGCAGTGGCTCATTCTTGTAATCCCAGCACTTTGGGAGGCTGAGACGGGCAGATCAGGAGGTCAGGAGATCAACACCATCCTGGCTAACACAGTGAAACCTTGTCTCTACTAAAAATACAAAAAATTAGCTGGGCGTGGTGGCACATGCCTATACCTAGCTACTTGAGAGGCTCAGGCAGGAGAATCGCTTGAACCCAGGAGGTGGAGTTTGCAGTGAGCCGAGATTATGCCATTGCACTCCAGCCTGGGCAACAGTGTGAGACTCCATCTCAAAAACAAAAACAAAACCAAAAATGAACAAAAAAAGTTTATCCCAGACCTGTTAATATAGGAAAAATAGAAGAGAATTCTAAATATTCATTAAGGGACTGATGAAAGAAATTATGGCATATTTATATAATGTAAAACTAAGAAAACAAGCTATAAGACCTTCAAGGTAACATAATCTGTGCAGCACGAAGCAACAGTACATCTGACTGACCTAAAAACCTCAAAGCAGCTAACAAGATTTACTGGAAGTCTAGGAAAGCCAATATGAGAAAGGCAGCTGAAACTGAGAGTAGTTTTGCACATTTCAACAGTGGGCAAATATACTGGGTCTGCAATAAGGGCTGGAATAGTCTGAGCACTATGAGTTCCTGAAAGTAACTAAGCAAAGCTCCTCTCTAGAAAAAGCCCTATAACAAGAAGAAACAATGGGAAGAAACTCCAAACTGAGTAGTACAGTTGAGACAAAGGATAGAAGAGGTTCAGATAAAAATGTAAGGCAGGGCCAGGCACAGTGGCTCGTGCCTAGAATCCCAACACTTTGGCAGGCCAAAGCAGTAAAATTGCTTAAGGCCAGGAGTTCAAGACCAGCCTGGGCAACACAGCAAGACTCAGTTTCTACAAGTAAAATAAAAAAACATCAGCTGGGCATGGTGGCGTGTACTTGTAATCCCAGCTACTGGGAAGGTTGAGGTAGGAGGATCACTTGAGCCCAGAAGTCTGAGACTACAGTGAACTGTATCTATACCATTCACTCAAGCCTGGGTGAGAGGGCAAAGCTCTGTCTCTTAAAAACAACAACAACAACGATAGGCCAGGCACAGTGGCTCACACCTGTAACCCCAGCACTTTGGAAGCCTGAGACAAGTGATCACCTCAGTTCAGAAGTTTGAGACTGGCCTGGCCAACATGGTGAAACCCCAGCTCTACCAAAAAACTACAAAACTTAGCCAGGCATGGTGGCATGCACCTGTAGTCCCAGATTCTGGGGAGACTGAGGTGAAAGGATCACTTGAACCTGGGAGGTAGAGGTTACAGTGAGCTGAGATCACACCACTGCACTCACTCCAGCCTGGGCGACAGAGACCCTGTCTCAAAAAAAAAAAAAAAAAAAGTGAAAATGGCAGAGAGGAACAGAGCCAGAATAAAAAACTTTCTTCTTTTACAAAATCATCAGAAGGTGGAGCTCTAGACTCATACACACTACCCTAAACCACTCCTAATTTTAAAGTTCAGAAAAACTAATTTCACATAAAAATGAGCAATAGAAAAGAACAGAGGGTCAAATCCCACACAAAGTTATGTAAGAAAAGAAGAAACTATAAAACTGATTACAAAAGATCACAAGACAGATAAAACTACATGTGAGATAAAAACTATAACCTACTTCTTCAAAACCAGTCAAAAGATTAAAACAAGAACATAAATCAGAATTAGAAAACCTCAGAAATGAGATGACAATTATAATACAAGAAAAAAGATCACTTTAGAAATAAAGACTTAGCCATAATAAATAAAAACATAAGTAAACATACAGGTATACTTTACGAGACATAAAAGTTTTTTAAAAAATCAAAAGGAAATTGAGAGGAGGTAAGAATTTGAGAGAAAATAACAACAAAAAAGGAAGGCAAAGATCCAACATGGACATAACAAAAGTTTCCAAAAAAGAAAACCAGGCTGGGGCATGGTGGCTCATGCCTGTAATCCCAAGCACTTTGGGAGGCGAAGGCAGGTGGATCACCTGAGGTCAGGAGATCGAGACCAGCCTGGCCAACAAGGTGAAACCCTCTCTACTAAAAATACAAAAATTAGCTAGGCGTGGTGGTACATGCTTGTAATACCAGCTACTCAGGAGGCTGAGGCAGGAGAATTGCTTGAATCCAGGAGGCAGAGGTTGCAGTGAGCCGAGATTGTGCCACTGCACTCCAGCTTAGGCGACAAGAGTGGAATTCCATCAAAAAACAAAACAAAACAAAACAAAACAAACCACACACAAAGAAAACAACAAATGTTATAAACTATTATTAGATGTTTTAAAAAATTATTTTTTAAAAAGCATTATTGAAAGGGTGTACTGTGGGCCGGGTGCGATGGCTCACGCCTGTAATCCCAGCACTTTGGGGATTAAGGTGGGCAGATCACTTGAGGTCAGGGGTTCAAGACCAGCTTGGCCAACATGGTAAAACTCATCTCTACTAAAAATCACAAAAATTAGCTGGGCATGGTGGTGTGCACCTGTAATCCTAGCTACTCAGGAGGCTGAGGCAGGAGAATCACTTGAATCTGGCGTGGGGGTAGAGGTTGCAGAGAGTCAAGATTGCACCACTGCGTCCCTGCCTGGACAACAGAGCAAGAGTCCATTTCAAAAAACAAAAAAACAAAAAGAAGAAGAAATAGCGCACTGCATACCTGAAACAACTGAAGCAGAATGACCAATGCCAAGACATAATTCTAGTAAAGGTACTGAACTTTAAAAAAAAAATGGCTTTGGGCATCCAAGTAAAAAGATCAAGTCACATATGAAGGAAAAAAATTAGACTATCATTAGGCATTGTCTCGGCAATGCTTCATGCCAGAAATAAAAGGGATAATTTTTTTTTTTTTTTCATTAACGAGTCTTTTTATTGTCTTTTTTTAAATCGAAGGTCCCTTAGTGGTCCTGCTTCCATGAGTAGCAGTGACCAGGGGAAAAGGGAGAGGAACCAGCCGGCACAGGGAGGGGTCATCTCCACAACATTCCATTTATACACAGAACTAAACAGACAAGCACAGAGTCACTATTGCGGTTAGAAGTTGGCAGCATGGGAAGGGGGAGGAACAAGTGGGGATTGGGGATGCTGTTAAAAAAAATACAGGCTCTCCCCACAACTGGGAGGCCTCAGGGGAACTTGGTCTGCTTCAACCCAAGAGGAATCAGAAGATCAAAAGCAGTTTGGGAAGGCCAGAACCGTCAGGGATGGAGGGAGGAGGAAAATCCAGGGGATGAGGGGTCTGTTTGGCAACTGGGGTGAAGGGATTGCCCTCCCCCTGCTGGGATCCCCCCAGCCCCTCCGGTCTGGCAGGAAGGGGGCAGCCTGCAACCCCCAAGGGCAGGTGTGGGGCTGCCAGATGTTCCAGGCAGGGGGCCAGAAGGGGCTCACAAAGGCTTGCCCTCCAGGGAGATGACAGCACTGCCCCCCAGCTTCTCTGCCAGGGTGCAGCGGTCCTTGACCTCCTTGTAGCAGTTTGCTTGCAATTCATGCTTGATTCCTGTCAGCTTCTTCTTGATGGCGTCCTTGGAGCTGGCATAGATCATTTTGCTCTTAAGGGGCGCAGACTCAGGAGCCCAGAAGATAAACACCAGGTCCTCCTTCTTGCTCTCCTTGGTCTCATAGGTTGCATCATAAAGGGCGTAGCGGCAGTTCTTATCTGCCAGCATCTTGACAAAGGTGGCATAGGGGTCATCGACAGTTTGGCTCACATCGCCCACCAGGATCTCCTTGCCCTCCTCCAGAATGATGTTCTTTTTGTCCTCACTCAGGCAGAAGAGCACAGCCTTCTTGGGCTTCTTTACCTCCTCTGGCGTTGAAGACTTACGCACCTTCATGTCATTGAACACCTTGATGACTCCATCAGAGACAGCCACACCAGAGGCCATGTTTCCGGAAGCGAAAAGAAGAGGGCACGGAAAGCCGCAGAAGAAGAGAGTGCTGCAGCCGCTGCCGGGACCCGACTGAACCGGGATAATGTATTTTTAAGAAACTTGAAACAAAATGTGTACTGAAGATTTTATATCCAGTCAAACAAACTTTTAATTATAATGTCCACAAGCTGCTTTCAACATTCAAGAATTTAGAGAATATTGTTCCCAACGGCCCCTTCTAAAGAATTTACTAGAGAAGTGTAGTGTGGTGGGTCCCCCACCATCAGGTTATTCAAGGGTGTATGTCCGCTGCCTGAACTCTGAAGGCCAGACAGTGAGCCAAAGCCATGGTGCCCAGCTGAGGAGCAAGCGTCCCAAGAGAACCAAAGATTTTAGAGAGCATCTGAGACCCTACCAAGGAAAACAGTCTCATCACAAGCATATAGCAGGCAAAGAGCAAGAAAACTAGCTTAAAAGCAGCTTAGAAATGGGAGGTGGGTAGATCCCTAAATCTGCCCTGCCGCTGCCCAGGAGTGCTCCGTAGGTAAGTTCTAATAAATTCACCTACTGGCCATGCTGGACCCATCCAAGTCATCTTTGGTCTCTTGGCACTTTGGTCACTTGGCACCCTCCCAGTAAGGTGGGAGGGGATGTTACAGTCTCAAGTTTTCCCTGTAGTAAGAATAAGTCTTAGATCGCCAAAATAATGAGAGAGGGGAAGAGATGGAAAAGGTGGAGGTGAAGCAACCATTTTCCCACCATGAAAGTGTAGCCTGAAACTAAAGACTGCAAGGTAGATAACATCATTGAACTGCGGGACCAGCTTTGATCTGCCTATCTATGAAATTCGTGTTACATTAGAAAAATCAAACCCTATTTGGCTTTTTGAAAATGATACTGTGGAAGAGTATTTAATGACATAGAGTACTGTTTGTGATAAATTAACTAAATAAAAACAGCAAATTATAAAACAACATGATCTTATTTTCTTTTTTTTGGAGACGCAGTCTTACTCTGTTACCCAGGCTGGAGTGTAATGGTGTGATCTTGGCTCAGTGCAACTTCGCCTCCTAGGTTCAAGTGATTCTCCTGCCTCAGCCTCCTGATTACAGGTGTGGGATTACAGGTGTGTGCCACATCACCACACCCAGCTAATTTTGTATTTTTAGTAGAGACATGGTTTCATCATGTTAGCCAGGCTGGTCTTAAACTCCTGACCTCAGGTGATCTGCCTGTCTCAACCTCCCAAAAGTGCTGGGATTATAGGTGTGAGCTACTGCACCCAGCCCATGATCTCATTTTCTAAGGGGAATTAATGTATAAACACCAAAATATCAACAGCAGTTTTCTTTAGATGATAAGATTATAGTGATTTACATTTTCTGTATTTTCCTCACCATTCCTGAGGTATGAATAAACCATGTCATAATAAAGTCTCTCTGGTATTGAGGTTCAAACTGAATTAGAAAATATGAAATTTTATGCTGAAGCCAAGTTGTGTTATTGTAGTTCTTCAAAATATTCAGTAAAATATCTAAAATTAGAATTGCAATTAAAAAAGAAAGTAATTGCATTTTTTAAACATTTTCTTATTTGGGAATTACACTGACTACAAATTTGTCTTATCTGGACACTCTTGTATTATGATCATTAACATGTTTGAAGGAAAAAAATTATAACATTCCTCGGCCAGGTGCTGTGGCTCACATCTGTAATCCCAACACTTTGGGAGGTCAAAGAGAAAGGACTGCTTGAGGTCAGGAGTTTGAGACTAGCCTGGTCAACAAAGTGAGACCCTGTCCCTAAACAACAACAAATCCCTCAGTTAGGTAATTGAATCCATGTATATTTTACACTCTTCTTAATATAACTAGGAATCAAAGGCTCTATGAAAATTTTAAGGAAATACTTTTTTTTCAGTTTTAAAAATGAAAGACTATATTTTAAATTATAACTAAAGTCGTATGTAAAAGAACATACCAATGAGCCAAAACCTAGGGTCCAAAAATGTTCATTTCGGACTTCTAAAACTCCATCCAAGGTAGATACCTAACCAAAAACAGAAATAGGTGATCAGAGTTGTCTGTACTTAACATATCCAATGCAGTTTAGTCATATTATGGACTTGGTTTAACTTAAGAATGACACAGCCAAATCCTGCCGAAGGACACTTATTAGCTAAGAGAAGTCTTAGACCATTCAAGATACCATTCCTGCCGGGCGCAGTGGCTCACGCCTATAATCCCAGCACTTTGGGAGGCCGAGGCGGGTGGATCACGAGGTCAAGAGATCGAGACCATCCTCGTCAACAAGGTGAAACCCCGTCTCTACTAAAAATACAAAAATTAGCTGGGCATGGTGGTGCGCGCCTGTAGTTCCAGCTACTCGGGAGGCTGAGGCAGGAGAATTGCTTGAACCCAGAAGGCGGAGGTTGCGGTGAGCCGAGATCATGCCATTGCACTCCAGTCTGGGTAACAACAGCGAAACTCTGTCTCAAAAAAACAAAAAACAAAAAAAAGATACCATTCCTGTTTGTTCCATATTGACCCAAGACCTTGCTTTCCCAGTTTGTTTGCCCCAATTCTTTTAGAATCAGGTGCCCACTGCTCAGTTTTAAACCCCTACCCCCACCAATTTTTCAACAGTGTATAGTTTTAATTTTATAAATATGAAATATGTATCTAGCACTTTATGGCATCAGATTTTTTACTTAATTTTTTGTTTTCTCAATCACTTCTTTCTCTGGATTCCCTTACAACAAATCTCTGCACAACACAGGATGTTGTTTGGCTGTGAGCCTACAAGAAATTCCAAGGCCAGATATATAGTATGTAGCCAACTGGTACACTGGGACAGGATATATACCCAAGGCCAGGCTTCACTAGATGAGAGAAGTAGTCAGTTATATTGGTAAAAGTGGCCTCTGTGACACTGATAATCAAAAGTTTAAATTAGTTTCAACATCAAAATAGTTCATTATTTTATTTCTTCATTAGTTAGTAGATGGAAATATGAAACCGCTTAAAAGGAAGTCTAGGCTGGGCACGGTGGCTCACATCTGTAATCCCAGCACTTTGGGAGGCTGAGATGGGCAGATCACTTGTCGCTAGGAGTTTGAGACCAGCAAGGCCATCATGGCAAAACCCCATCTCTACTTAAAAAGTACAACAATTAGCCAAGTGTGGAGCAGAGATCATGCCACTGCACTCTAGACTGGGCAAAAGGGCAAGACACTGCCTCCAAAAAAAAAAAAAAATCACAGCATTTGGCCAGGAATCGCTCACACCTGTAATCTCAGCACTTTGGAAGGCCAAGATGGGAGGGTGGCTTGAGGCCAGGAGTTCAAGACCAGCCTGGTCAACATAGTGAGATCCCATCTTTTTATATATCTATTTTTAAAGCAACAAAAGGCTGGGCACTGTGGCTTATGCTTGTAATCCCAGCACTTTGGGAGGCTGAGACCAATGGATTACCAGGTCAAGAGATCGAGACCATCCTGGCCAACATGGTGAAACCCCGTCTCTATTAAAAATACAAAAATTAGCTGGGTGTTTGGCATGCGCCTGTAGTCCCAGCTACTCTGGAGGCTGGGGTGGAAGAATCGCTTGAACCCGGGAGGCAGATGTTGCAGTGAGCCGAGACTGCACCACTGTGCTCCAGCCTGACTACACAGCAAGACTTTGTCTGAAAAAAAAAAAAAAAATTTAGCCAGCCATGGTGGTGGGTGCCTGTAATCCCAGCTACTCAGGAGGCTGAGGCAGAAGAATTGCTTGAACCCAGGAGGCAGAGGTTGCAGTGAGCCAAGTGCCACTATACTTCAGCCTGGATGATAGAGCAAGGCTCAGTCCAAAAAAAAAACAAAAAGGCTGGGTGCGGTGGCTCATGTCTATAATCCCAGCACTTTGGGAGGCCGAGGCGGGTGGATCACGAGGTCAAGAGATCGAGACCAGCCTGGCCAACATGGTGAAACCCCACTTCTACTAAAAATACAGAAATTAGCTGAGCGAGGTGGGGAGCACCTGTAGTCCCAACTACTCAGGAAGCTGAGGCAGGAGAATCGCTTGAGCCTGGGAGGCAGAGGTTGTAGTGAGCCGAAGGTTGTAGTGAGCTAAGATCCCGCCACTGCATTCCAGCCTGGGTGACAGAGCGAGACTCTGTCTCAAAAAATAAATAAATAAATAATAAAAAAATAAATATCACAGCATTTATAATAGGGTAGTCTTTAGACCATTACCTTCTACTTTACTTCAAGTGGAATTGATCTCCAAATTGAACAATGCCTCATATTTTTCTATGTTTGCCACTATATTATGGCTCCTAGTATGTTATTGTGAAGAAAACAAACTCCCAAAAAATAAAATTCTAGGTAGAGTTGAATAAAGTATTATAAGTACTCACCTTTTCAATTCCCTGATATAAATTAAAATGATTTCATTTACCGTCTTACCTCTCTGATAAGTTTGTCCAACTGACCAATAACATGGGGTGGTGTTGTCTGGGGAAAAAAATAATAAAATATGAGTAACGGGGGAAGGAAAAAAAGTTTGCCAACAATGGTCCTGAATCCCCTCCCCAAAAGGTTTTTAAGCTAGCCTTTGCTTTGACATGTGCCCTATCATGATTTAGAGAAGTTTCAACTGGCCCCACTAGTGGAGCAATATCATCAACTGACTCATACCTGCTTTTTTATCTTGAAGATAAGAAGATAAATAACACTTAAACAACCAACCAACCAATAAAAAGTCATTGGGAAATGGTTAGAAACGTAAGATTGTACGTAGGGCATAGCACTATGCAACGATTATCTCATTGTTTGTATTATTTCTGGAGATGGAGCTACTGCCCCTAAGTTTTGGAAAAGGCATGAGGGTAAGACAGAAGGAACCACAGTGGTTACATGCACATCCAGCCCTGGGAAACTGCTTTTCTATTCAGGGTGTTCCTATTGTTTCAGTAAGTAGCAATGTGTCATTTACAATTTTAAGTTTGAAATTTTTAAAGTCTCACTGATTCAATGGCAGGAAATAATAAAATATAACCAAATTACACAACAGCCAAAGCACATTTACTGACAGAAAATAAATATCTAAAAAAAATTTTAGGCCAGGTGCAGTGGCTCACACCTGCAATCCCAAGCACTTTGGGAGGTTCAAGGCAGGTGGCTCACCTGAAGTAAGGAGTTTGAGACCAGCCTGGCCAACATAGTGAAACCCCAGCTCTACTAAAAATAAAAATTAGCCAGGTGTGGTGGCACCTGCCTGTAGTCCCAGCTACTCAGGAGGCTGAGGTAGAAGAATTGCTTGAACCCGGGAGGCAGAGGTTGCAGTGACCCAAGATCACGCCACTACACTCCAGCCTGGACAACAGAGACAGACTCCATCTCAAAAAAAAAGAAAAGAAAAGAAAATTTAAGTAACACTGTTTTCACTTGAAACATAGTAATTTAAAATTTGTGATTTTGTCATATTATAAATATAGGAGGATTTGTGCCTATTTTACGGGTTAATGGACTTTCATCTGGTTCTTACTATATGAATTTCAGAGATTAGTGTTTGACTTCATTTCTAGCAGGGGCTTCCAGTAACTAAACATTTCATAACCTGCACTGTTGAAGGGAGGGCATTAAAAAACTTTGTTTCGTTTTGTTTCTTTGAGATGGAGTCTTGCTGTCACCCAGGTTGGAGGGCAGTGGCATGATCTTGGTTCACTGCAACCTCTGCTTCCTGAGTTCAAGCAATTCTCCTGCCTCAGCCTCCAGAGGAGCTGGGATTATAGGTGTGTGCCACCATGCCCAGCTAATTTTTGCATTTTTTTCGTTTTTATTAGAGACGTGGTTTCACCATGTTGGCTAGGCTGGTCTCAAACTCCTGACCTTATGATTGGACCGCCTTGGCCTCCCAAAGTACTGGGATTACAGGTGTGAGCCACGATGCCCAGCCAAAAACTTTTTGTAATTAAAAAAATATGGCCACACACAATGGCTCACGCCCATAATCCCAATACTTTGGGAGGCCAGAGCAAGAGCACCATTTGAACTCAGGAGTTTGAGACCAGCTTGGGCAACATAGTGAGAGCCCATGTCTACAAACATTTAAAAAAATTAGCTGGGTGTGGTGATGTGTGCCTGTAGTCCTAGCTACTCTGGTGACTGAGGTGGGCGGGTCCTTTGAGCCTGGGAGGTCAAGGCTGCAGTGAGCTGAGATCCCACCACTGCATTCTAGTCTAGGTGCCTCTTTAGAGGCAAGACCCTGCCTCTAAAAGGAAAAAATAATAAATTAAAATTTAAAAACAAAAATAAAAATTTCATAATCTGGTAGAAGAACACATATAACTTTTTAATCTGGTAGAAGGACATGGCTAATATTAAGCACGTGCATTGGAAGAAGAACCTTACCTGGAGTAAGACTTTCCCACTGTACACACTCATGGGATACATAGTGCCAAACGTCATCAAGGCAATGGCTATTGCAGAGGCAGTGTCTACAGCAAAATAATTACTAAAAGGAAGAAACAATTCTAAATCTTAAATTTATATCTCACTGGGCATATTACAATTAAATCTCCTGAACATTAACTATCTAAAACAACAGGATTGAGCAACAGGACAAAATTTTATTACAAGTGGCCACTATTCACAAAGAAACATTTCAAAGAAAAAACTTCAGTTTTTATAATTCTTTCCTTTCAAAGTTTAGTAGAAAAATAACTAATAATTATATTCATTAGTAAGAAGAGGTATGATAAAAAAAAAGTGGGCATTTCCCCATCATGCATTTTTTTCTGTCAAACTACTTGTCAACTAGAAAGATCTGAAATATATTCATTTGCTTGAGACAAACAAAAAGCTTCAACTCATAATTTTTTTTTTGAAAAGAGACAATAAAAGGTTTTTTATTCAAAGGTATAACCGGATAAGTGGATTTGTTTACAACCATTCTTGTGAAATACTTTTTAAAAAAATATAACCAACTTCTTTGCATATAGCAGACACATACCTATGATGATCTAATTTTGGTGGATAATGTATATGATTAAGCAGAAATAAGCAACTTCACACTGGTAGATTATCAAATACTCAGTCAAAACTCCTTTTGTGGCCCCCACTTGATTGGCTTCTATTTCCACTTCATCTACCGTCTTGTCAATGAGCTTGAGCGACTTCCTGAGTGACTCCCTTGTCAACTCTTGACTGTTTTCCTGACTGGCCACCAGATCAACCCCCTGACTGGCATGACCAGCCCAACCAGCCACTTAACCAGCCACTTCTCTGTCTGGAATTAGAAGATGTGCTTCCATCATAATATTCTTCAATTTCAGGTAACTTGGCTGGCACTGAGTGTATCCAGTCAAAATCATGCCATTCTGCCTGTAGCCTTTCTTCCGACTCACTTGTAGGAACATCAAAGCAAACACCCATACTTCCTTTCAGGAGGCAGTTTCTGATAATCTGAGACACTGCATTACTACTCATCTTTCTGTTAAGTTCTTTCCAAGCACAGCTGACCTCCTATATTTCCTCTAAGCTTTCCAGAGTCATGGTCACAAACCCCCTATCAGAGGTGATCAAAGATTGTGGTTCAAAGCTTGATGCAACAGAAATGTGGGCTAAAGTTGCAGCCAATGCATCCACTGCCCCTATCACTTCTATCAGTCTCTGAGCTGATGGTCAGAAAAAATCAACAGCAACATAAGAAATGGAAGCCAGAGACCTGATGGCATCTGTGCTTTTAGAGTTAACTAAATGCACTGCAGAAGGAACACCTACACGTTTAGAAGTAATTCCTGCTTTTTGTTCCACATATCTTAGTTGGCCTCTTTCTCTTGGTTGATCTCTTTTCCTTGGTTGATAAAACATATACAAATCCCTGTCCGTCCAGCTCTCCTTGTGCATCCAGAATGATGGATATAGGACTCAACATCCTGAGGAGAACTTTGAATCATCAGGTCAACTTCAGGAATGTACAAACCACAGGCAGCCACATTGGTTGCCACCAAAACTTTAAAACTACCTTCTCTGAAGCCTTTTTGTATAATTTCTCTTTAAGACTATGCAATGTCCCCATGTAAACACTGGGTATTTTGTTTTACGTGTTGATTCACGGCCATTTCAGTTACATTCTTCTTGGTCTCCCAGAAAATAACAGCTCACCCTTCAGACCCACTGTAGACTTGAAAGACATCTCCAATAACTGCTGGCCTCTGAGACCAATGACACTGGATGGCCAAGGGTTCCACAGTAGTTGCAGCCTTTTGAGTCATTTTTCCAACAAGGTAAACCTGATAATATCTGAATTTCATGTATTTTTTTGCAACTTTGTATACCTACTGTGGGCAAGTTGCAGTAAAAAGTAAAGTCTGAGGACTGTCTTCAGAATTAGTTTTGTAGGATTTGTGAATAATATCTTCAAGTTGTTCAGCAAAACCTAAATTTAACATTTGATCCACTTCATCATGCACAATATAGTGCAGTTTAGAAAGATCCAATTGGCCACTCTGCAGATGGTCTTTGATATGACCAGTGTTCCAAAAAAGATGTCAATACCATTTCAAATATGGTTAATTTGACTTTGAAATGATGTTCCATCATAAAAACATGCCACTCTGAGTTTCCTAGTAATATCTTTAAAGTCTTTTGCTACTTGGTTTGCCAGTTCCCTTGCTGGAGCCAAAATAAATACCTTTGGTGAGTGGCTTTTTAAAATTGTGTCTTGATTTCTTTGGAGTCTTTCAATCAAGGGGATGGCAAAAGAGAATGTCTTTCCTGTTCCTGTTCGTGCTTGAGCTATTAAATCTTTTCCTTCATATACAGGACCAAAGGTCTTAACTTGAATAGGAAAGAGATATGTTACCCTTCAACCTTTCAGAAGCTTTATAGTCTCTTCAGAAATAGGGAAATTGGAGAAGGCTCCTTCTTTCTGTTTATGTATTAAGGCCTTCTCTCATTTATTATCACTTGATTTATATGTAGAACTATCTAGGTATGACACTTGGTTTGATTTCTTTTTTCCATATTCATCAATATCTCCATTTGGTAGATCTTTTCTTCTTGACTTATAAGATTTACAGAATTCATCTGAAAGTCTATTAAATCCTTCTTCAGTGTCTCCATTTAGCTTCTCTGTCATTTTAGCTTTTTTGGCCTTGGGAGCATCCAGGTCACCTGTAACACCATTTTCTCTTGTTTCTGATTTCTCATCTGAGTCATAACAGTGCCTTGACTTCCTTTTGTCACTCCAGCATTGTGTAATGTGTTTTCAGCTTATCTTGTTTAAATCTTCATAACAACCCTATAAGGGAAGTACAGGTCCATAATCCCTTATCTGAAATTGCGATATCCATAAGGCTCTTTTGCCTTTTCTTCCGGCTCTTGGACTCCTCCAAGGGTGCTTCTAGCTGCATATGCTCCCCCAGAGGAGTTTCCCAGGCATTACTGGCTACCACCACCTCCCTCTGGGCGCAGTGGCCACAGCCACCTATGGGCAGCAATAGCAAGAAAGGAAGTAGGGACGGGGCGACTGCCCAGCCTTGACAGTGTGTCACTTGACTTGTATTTTTTGATACAGAAAGACTAATGGAATCTATCAGTAATTATATCCACTTTCCAATGAGTGATAATTATTTCCAATAAAACTTCAAATTCCCCAGGAATTTCCCCAGGTAAGATTCTCCAGGAATTTTTTATGGTAACATTATAGCTGACATCAACAGTTCAAACTGGCTGAAGTTCTACCAAAAATACAGACCAAAATGTCAATAATTACAAGTTGATTGTGCATTATTTTCTACTTTTCCCCACATGCTGGGAATAGATATGTGAATGAGACACAATCCTTGCCCTAGAAATAACAGGAGATACACATGTGAAAAACATGAAGCACTTTAGGCACTAAGGCAGAAATGTCTACAGAGTACTATAGCTGTACAAAAGATTGAGTGACAAGGCTACTGGAGTGGGGATAATCCAGAAAGGCTAAATATAAAAAGAGAAGGTGAGATTTGGGCAGAACCTCCAAAGATGAGCAAGTGAAAGCAGCATGTATGGGGCATGAAAACCCTGACCCAGCAATAAAACCACAAAAATGGTCAGGAATACATAGAGGGATGGTTAGTAAGGTTGGTAGGGGCCTGATAACACAGGACTCTGTGCCCAACTTCAATTTTTGCAACTATGCAAAGGGGAGGGTTTTGAAACAGGAAGATATTATGTCCAAACTAGCAAATTTGAATAATCACATTAGTGGCAAAATGAAAGATAACTAACAATGGATTACAATGAACACTAAAAGACCAGAGGCTATTCTAATTAGACCAAAGAAATGATGATAAAGGTCTTAATTGGGACAGCAGCAATGAGTATGGGAAAGAGGAAACAGCCTGTCACCCAGGCTGGAGTGCAGTGGCACAATCTCAGCTCACTGCAACCTCTGCCTCCTGGCTTCAAGCAATTCCCCTGCTTCAACCTCCCAGGTAGCTGGGATTACTGGTGTGTGTTACCACATCCAGCAAATTTTTGCATTTTTTGCAAAGATTTTTGTATTTTAAGTAGAGACAGAGTATTGCCACGTTGGCCAGGCTGGTCTCGAACTCCTGACCTCAGGTGATCTGTCCACCTCAGCCTCCCAAACTGCTGGGACTACTGGCATGAGCCACTGCACCCAGCCAAACAAATAAATATTAATAAACAATTATACAAGGCTTGGAGATGAATTAGAAATGGCTTGGGGAGTGGTGAGAGGAGAGGAAGGAGGAAAAGTAGATATTTAAGGATGGATTGCAGTTTTTAAAAAAAATTAAAATATTAGGCCGGGCGCAGTGGCTCAAGCCTGTAATCCCAGCACTTTGGGAGGCCGAGGAGGGTGGATCACGAGCTCAAGAGATCGAGACCATCCTGGTCAACATGGTGAAACCCCGTCTCTGCTAAAAATACAAAAAATTAGCTGGGCATGGTGGCGCGTGCCTGTAATCCCAGCTACTCAGGAGGCTGAGGCAGGAGAATTGCCTGAACGCAGGAGGCGGAGGTTGCGGTGAGCCGAGATCATGCCATTGCACTCCAGCCTGGGTAACAAGAGCGAAACTCCGTCTCAAAAAAAAAAAAGAAGAAGAAGAAGAAGAAGAAGAATGCATCGGTCTAAATGACAGTATTTTTCCTGTATCTCCCATTCACTGAGATTGGAAATATAAGAAAAAACAGTTTAAGTGTTAAGGGAAAATAGGTTCAGATTAAGTAGACACAAATAGAAGTTAAGAAAATACGCCTTTTGGAATTCAATAGAAATGTGGGCTAGAAATAAAAATTAGGGACTCCCACAGAAGTAGCAAACAAAAACAAATACTTGCATGTGATTTTTAAGGAAAACACACAAAACAGCAAGAAGAATAAGGACAAATTCTAGTAAAGACTAATATTTAAACAATGGGTAGCCAAAGAATTATATGCCATAACATGTTAAGCTTAAAGCAGCTGTAAAGCCTATTTCCTAAAAGGCTTTAGTTTTTAAAAATTGTTTCACGCCTACGTCCTCTTCTCCCTCTCTCAGCAATAGTATAGATTGTGGTAAGAAATACTTAATGAAACCAATCCCCTTGATTTTTCAGATGAAGACACCTGAGGAAAAGATGTGATGTAAGTTACACAGGTCATAAGCAAAACTGCTAGAAGCCTGACCACTATCCATACTGCTGATGCCCTTAAGAGTGAGGCCCCAGAAATCAAAACATACTTGACAATAATAAAAAAATACTCACTTAATTTCAATGAGCATATAAGTAATACAAAGAGCAAATGCTCCAGCAAGATCAATCAAAACAAATGGATTCATTCGGGGAAGGAAGATACTGCTAAGTCCTGGAATAATTCCACACAAGCTAAAAAAAAACAAAAAACAGAAAGAGTATCCATTAGCAGAACTCATAAAACTGGTGACAACCTTGTAAAAGATAACTTGTATTTTGGTACCACATAGTGTACTTTTTTTTTTTTAAATCACAAATTCATTGCTCAGCGTCACAGAACATAGCGTACTTCTTAAAGAAAGCAAAGAGGATTTGCAAACAAAGCTCTTTCACTTATAAAGTTCTTTTTTGTATCATCAATTAAAAAGTAAAGGGAGAATAACAATCTGATCTGTGTGATTCATGTAGTAACCTCAGCAATGAATGACTTAAGTTCCCATGATAGACACATTTCTTGTGTATTCCTTTAAATTATGCATATCATGAAACTCCATAACATCTTACCTTCGACTAAGATCTGCAACATGCTCTTGAAGCCAGCTCGTACTAGCAGCTTTAAGAAGAAAATACTTAAATTACCTATCTAGAAGAGAAAAACCACTACTCGAAATATTTGAGTTATTTAATTAAAAAAAACAAATTTGGCAGTGACTGAATAACATTACAAAAGAATATGTTACTCCTCAAATCTAGAAATTTTTCCTCTCTTTTACCCTTATGTTGCTAAGTCAAAAGCAGTTTCAACTATTACATAATATACAGTTGACTTGAAGGAATTAGTGAACTTAGATATGTCATTGTTATTATTGATTTGAAGTTTTAAAGGTTCTTTATACTTTTTGTTGAGATGGAGTTTCACTCTTTTTGCCCAGGCTGGAGTGCAATGGCATGATCTCGGCTCACTAAAACATCCGCTTCCCAGGTTCAAGTGATTCTCCTGCCTCAGCCTCCTGTGTAGCTGGGATTACAGGGGAGTGCCACCATACCTGGCTAATTTTGTACTTTTAGTAGAGATGGGGTTTCACCATATTGGTCAGGCTATTCTTGAACTCCTGACCTCAGGTGATCCACCTGCCCCGACCTCCCAAAGTGCTGGGATTACAGGTGTGAGCCACCGTGCCTGGCAGTTCTTTATACTTTTAAGCAAGAGCTTCCAAACCTGTGTGCTGAGAATGGGCTATAGGTATAGGCTGAGTATCCCAAATCTGAAAATCAAAAATCCAAAACTTTAAGCACCAAGATCCAAAACTTTAAGCACAAAGGAAATGCTCATGAGAGTATTTTGACTTTTGAATTTTCAGGTTTGGGATGCTCAACCCATACATATAATTCAAATACTCCAAAATCTAAAAAAACCTAAAATGTGAAACACTCCTGGCCCCAAGCCTTTCAGATAAGGGATGCTGAAACTACATACGAATGAGTAATTCCCTCAGCTCTCAAAAAAGCCAGATGAGGACCTGGGTACCTCCCAGTTACTATTCTTGGAAATTCTTGGATAAGTAGCCTGTGTCTAGGCTCAAGAATCCTCTTCCATTCATCTCAGAGTCCTACAGAAATATCAATTTTTAAAATGTGTACCATGATGTAAAAAACATTGGCAAGATTTATGCAAATGAAAAATAGTTGAGCAGTTAAGTAAGATGTCTAAATATCTGGCTTCAAATCGTAGCTCTGCCAGTAACTAGATGTGCAGCACTGGGTGAGTGATATAATCTCTCAATGCCTTACTGTAAAATGGGCATAATATAAGTATTTACTTCATATGGCTAGAATTAAATTGGTTATTCTGTGTAAAGTATTTAGCAGTGCTTGGCATAAATAAAGTGCTTAATATTATTTTCCACTCAAATTTCAAGTAATTTCACAAATCTTTTTTCTTTTCTTTTTTTGAGATGGAGTTTCACTTTTGTTGCCCAGGCAGAAGTGCAATGATGTGATCTCAGCTTACTGCAACCTCTGCCTCCTGGGTTCAAGGGATTCTCCTGCCTCAGCCTCCCAAGTAGCTGGGATCACAGGCGCCTGCCACCATGCCCAGCTAATTTTTGTAACTTTTTAGTAGAGATGGGGTTTTGCCATGTTGGCTAGGCTGGGTTTGAACTGCTGACCTTGTGATCTGCCTGTCTTGGTCTCCCAAACTGCTGGGATTACAGGCGTGAGCCATCACACTCAGCCTTTTTTTTTTTTTTTAAATTAAGCTGGAGTCTTGCTATGTTCCCCAGGCTGGATTCAAACTTCTGAGCTCAAGCAATACTCCCACCTCAGCCTCCCGAGTAGCTGGGACTATAGTCATGTGCTACCATGCCCAAATAATGTCACAAATCTTGATGTTTCTGGGAACCTTCATTTCCAGCTAATGAAAATATAAACTAGGCTGGAAGCAGTGGCTCATGCCTGCAGTCCCAGCACTGTGGGAGGCTGATGTGAGAGGACTGTTTGAGCCCAGGAGTTTGAGACTAGCCTGGGTAAACAAAGGGAGACTTTGCCTCTCTAAAAAATAAAAAATAATAAAAATATAAACTATATAACTTTTCTGGAAATAAATTTGGCAATACACATCAAAGCTTTTAAAAAATACTCTATTTTTCTGAGCTGAAGTAGAGTTACAAAGAGAAAAAAAGAAGGAAAATAAAAATTAAAAATACTCTATTTTAAATCCAGTAAGTAATTCCTTCTCTGGGAATTTATCCTACAGAAAGAATAAAAAACGCAGACAAAGTTGATCTAAAGAGGCTGATTACAGAATTATTCATAAAAGGAAAAGTTGGGGCTGGGTACAGTGGTTCACGCCTATAATCCGAGCACTTTGGGAGGCTGAGGCGGGTGGATCATGAGATCAGAAGATGGAGACCATCCTAGCTAATACCATGAAACCCTGTCTCTACTAAAAATAGAAAAAATTAGCCGGGCATGGTGGCATGTGCCTGTAGTCCAGCTACTCGGGAGGCTGAGGCAGGAGAATCGCTTGAACCCAGGAGGCCGAGGTTGCAGTGAGCCAGGATTGTGCCACTGCACTCCAGCCTGGGTGACAGAGTGAGATTCCATCTCAAAAAAAAAAAAAAGAAAAGTTGGAAATGTGTAAAAGAATATTTTAAAATATTCATAACAGAATAGTATGTAAGCATTCAAAAATCATTTGCATTCAAAGAGTATTTAATGAGAAGCAATACTCAAGACATAATGCTAATGAAAAAGCCACACATGGCCAGACACAGTGGCTCACACCTGTAATCCTAGCACTTTGGGAGGCCGAGGTAGGCAGATCAGCTGAGGTCAGTAGTTCAAGACCAGCCTGGTCAACATGGGGAAACCACGTCTCTACTAAAAATACAAAAATTTGCCAGGTGTGGTGTCACATGCCTGTAACCCCTTGAACCAAGGAGTCAGAGGTTGCAGTGAGCCAAGATCATGCCGCTGCACTCCAGCCTGGGCAACAGAGTGAGATTCCATCTCACTCCCCTTCCCCCCAAAAAAGCCAGACATAAATTGTAATACATACAATTCTAAGTACATAAAATGATATGTACATGTACATATAAAAATGTGAAAGGAATAACATGGAAATGTTAACATATTATCTGTGGGTCATAAGATTATCAACAGTCTTATTTCCTTCTTGTATCTTCCTGATCTTTACAGAGAAATAGTGTTTCTAAATGTTTGTGCCATCTTAAAAATTTCTAGAGTAAGTATTATAGTATTTTTATAAATTATGAAAAGTTTTTTCAAGAAATTCTGGTGATCGTATCATTATTTAATTTTCTAATTCATGCAGTAATTCTTTAACTCAAACAAATATTTTCATAACATTCATGAAGTTGTTTACATTTGAATGGACATTTAAGAAGTTTTCTTCTCTTGACTGTCCTAGTGTAAGATCTAAAAAGACCCTCACCTATCTGTGCTTCTCTATACTTCAAAGTGTGGGTCTGTGCACATATCCCACTTTTGTTTTTCACCTCACTTCTCCGTCTATTAGTGGCTAACTCTTTTGTGGGTTAGTGGGATTCCAAAACACTGAAACTATAGAAAAATGACGATAATGTAGACTGCTAATGTGAAAAACCAGTCTGAAGTTGTAAACACTTCAAAAATAATATTTCAAAAAAAATTAAGTTTTGCTACTTGTAAATATATATGCCCATCCACCATTGCCAAAGAGAAGTTCCTGGGAACTTATTTTATTAACAGAATACAATTATTTTAAATTAGCATATCAACTATTTTAAGTATACTGATACTTCTAAAATGCTTACAATAGACTTTTCTTAGTTAAGCATTTAAAATCTCACATTATTTGGCAAATGTAATTTTTCATCACACATGGTTTAATATATAGGTCACTTCTGCCTGCCTTAAAATAATTTGTCATTCTAAAGCTTGAACTAATGAGATTTTGTTTTATAATTTTCCAATTAAAACTTGAGAACATTCGGGCTAGTTCTGTCTTCTCTTCAGAATATACTTCCTCATTAATTTGAGTTAATGAAATAAAAGACTTGTTTTTATGAGCGATTAATGGATTTTTAAATTAGTAGTAAATAAAAAACATACCTTCTGAGACATAAGCAAAAGGTTTATTCCGAATAGAAAGCATCGTGAACAGGTTGAAAGAAAGGGCCACAAAAGTACCAACTAGTAATCTTCCCCTAAAAAGAGCAGTGATAACATTCACCTTTAATTTGTTCTTGGTATTATCACTATATAATTTCAACACGTAGAGGGACTAAGAGATGGGAAGGTAAAGTGGTCTGCTTTAATAATTTGATGTTTCCAGATACAGAATCTGAACTTGGTTTCTAGCCCCACCATCCATGTCCCATCTGCTGTTGCTCCATCTTACAAAGGATAAGAAAGGACTTTTAGCATTAACAATATCTGCCTATAGGTAAATGCTGTTACACATTTGTATAAATGTTAAGGGTATTTGGTTTACAATATATTGGACAAGTCAGACTTTTTGGAATTAAACTAATAAGAATAGATAAGATCCATATAGTTGGCTACTATGCGGCTGAGAAATACAATTGTTTTTTCATATATATGATACATACAATTCTCTTTTCATATATATGAAAACCACATAGTTGCAATATATATGAAACATATGTACATTTCTTTTTTTTGGAGACAAGGTCTCATTCTGTTATCCAGGTTGGTCTTGAACTGCTGGGCTCAAGCTATCCTCCTGCCTTAGCCTCTTAAAGCACTGGGATTAAAGGTGTGAGCCCGAGCCTGGTCCAATTCTTTTTTCTATAGGTGCTATGAAAAGATTTTGAAGGTCAAATTTGAAATTACAGAAGAATGGGGGGGCTGGCTTAGTGTGTTTCCTAGGTCTGGAAATAATAAGAAGCCAGAAGCCAAGATAGAAAGGCCTTCCTGTATATTAAAGTATTTAGGACTTGGGAACTGTTAAGCATAAAAAAATGGAGTCTTGGAATTTGGGAATTGTTTTCGTGGAATGCCAGCAAAAACATATGTTGCCACAGTGTGAACTCTGACACTGGCCAACTGTTTAATAATGCATTAATTAATTACTAAGAATCAATAGTAAATCATGAATCAAAAATAAAATCTCACGTGTGTATCTCAGGCTGCTCCAAAAAGCGTTCGGCACTAAAAGAAAGAAAAACGTATTTTAAGTCCTACAAATTATAAAGTTAAAAAGCTTTATCAAATACATCATTAACCCACCTTAAAGTTCACAAAATCTTTTAATATTATAACCAACTATTGACTATTAGCAGTGATGAGGCAAGGAGACTCACAAAGAATTATCCTTTTTAGTTTTTTTTTTTTTTTTTTTTTTACAAATTATCCTTAATATGTAACATGAATCTTATTTATTTATTAAAAGACAGGGTTTCTCCATGTTGATCAGGTTGGTCTCGAACTCCTGATCTCAGGTAATCCACCTGCCTCGGCCTCCCAAAGTGCTGGAATTACAGGCATGAGCCACTGTGCCTGGCCATAATGTCAACCTTTCTCTGCCAAGTCTATTTCAATGAGTTTGTAATAAGCATCAAACATGCCTGACTGAATCTGTTTCATTCACAACCACTTCTGATTCAATTTAGTAGCATTAAGGAAGGAAGTAAAAAAAGTGAAATAGGGGAAAAAGTCTGAAACATAATGAAACTATGCTATCAAAACTCCAGCCCTGCGCATCTAAATTTGCATACCCTCAAAACCAAATGTGTCTGACAGATTTGTTTCATGTTCCCAAAGGTGTCATAGGTGGGATTTAGAATAGTATCGTATACGAATGTACCTTTCTTTTAATATAAACAGAGCTCCCAACTGTGCCAAGACTGTGGAGGCAAATACAGCCAGGACTTCTAATCTTTCAAACCTGAAACCAAAACATTAATTAGATCATCACAATTCTATCAATTCATAAACCAGTCTCTAGAACACATTTACATTCATCTATTTGCTCTCTTAATATACACATGTGCTGTCTACTATAAGCCAAACACTGTTAGAGCACATTATAGTTTCTAGAAGAAGAAATGAAAATCACAAATTCCAAAGAGTACCTATTTGTACTATTCCCAGGACCCAGAAGAGAGAGCACCTTCAGCTCCTGCCAGAGGCTTTCTCTTCTCAGAAAAACTTTAAAATGATTGGGGGGGAAAAAAAAGACAATCCCCAAGACCCACTTATAGTTCTTATTTTTCTAGAAATAATCACAATTATAATAACATTCAATTGACTCACTGTGCATTAGACACCAAAATACTTAACATATTACCTCATCTAAACCTCTAAACCTCTTATTAGAATGACTTTATCCAGTTTTTTCTTTTTTTTCGAAGAGATGGGGTTCTCACTATGTTGCCTAGGCTGGACCCTGAACTCCCTGGCTCAAGTAATCCCTCCAGCTCAGCCTCCTAAGTAGCTGGGACTACAGGCATGTGCCACACACTTGGATCACTTTTTTTTTTTTCCAGAGAAGAAATTTAGGACATAAAGAGGAAAGGTAACTGTTTAGAGTCACATAGCTAGCAAGTGGAAGAGTAAGGTTTTCAAACTCACTCTCACTCTGGAGTTCATATTTTAACCATTCATTATACTGCCTCTCATTTCTACACATAATTACAGCGAATTATGAGTATGTTTTATAATCCCTATCACTAGACTATAAGCCAGAGGCCAGGAACTGTTGTCTTAGTTTTTCCTGCAACGTGTGGTCTAATGGCATTCAATATTTATGATAAATATAAATGCTTAAAATTTCTCAAGAAAATAATCATGGAGGCAGAGAAAAGATAAAAAATTAATTAAGGCTGTACCTCACATTGTTATTTGTGAAGGAAAAATGCTGGCACCAACAATAGAACATTATATATTATTAAACAAAGAAATGTATTCACATAGAAAAAAAGTAAGTGAAAAAAGCAGGTTATAAAGGAATATGAATTGTTTTTTCCAGCTACTAAAAAAAAATGAAAAAGAACAGGAAAAAACAGTATGCAAATGCATTGATGTTATTTGTGGAAGTTAATAAGCCGATATTAAAATGCATATGGGCCATGGCGTGGTGGCTCACAACTGTAATCCCAGCACTTTGGGAGGCTGACGTGGCCATGGATCAGGTGGTCAGGAGATCGAGGCCATCACTAACATGGTGAAACTCCATCTCTACTAAAAGTACCAAAAATTAGCTGGGCATGGTGGCACGTGCCTGTAGTCCCAGCTACTTGGGAGGCTAAGGCAGGACAATCATTTGAACTCGGGAGGCAGAGGTTACACTGAGCTGAGATCATGCCACGGCACTCCAGCCCAGGTGACAAGAGTGAGACTCTGTCTCAATAAATAAATAAATAAAGTAAAATAAAATGCATATGGAACTGCAAAATGTGAAGGAAAGCAAAGATAATCTTGAAAAAGAACAAAGCTGGAAGTGTTATACTACCAGATATCAATAGGTATTTCAAAGCTGTAATAATTTACGTAGTATAGTACTAATGCAAGTATAGACAAATAAACTAAACTATACAGGAAAAAGAATTTAGAAACAGACCTATACATATATAGTCATCTGATTTGTGAAAAAGAAAAAAGTTGCACATAAAAGCAGGAAAGAAGGGCTGGGTGCAGTGGCTCACACAGGCAATCCCACCACTTTGTGAGGCTGAAGCGGGCAGATTACTCGAGTCTAGGAGTTCAAGACCAGACTGGCCAACAGGGTGAAATCCTGTCTCTACTAAAAATACAAAAAATTAGCTGTGGTGGTGAGTGCCTATAATCCCAGCTGCTTAGGAGGCTATGGCATGAGAATTGCTTGAATCCAGGAGATGGAGGTTGCAGTGAGCCAAATTGCGCCACTGCACTCCACCCTGGGCGACAGAATGAGACTCTGTAAGCAGTGAAGAAGGGTAACTTTTTCCCCAATAAACGGTGTTATATCAATTGAGTATCTATATGGAAACAAATGTACACCTGCTTCACACCGTAACAAAAAATCTATCCCAAGTGGACTGTAGGATTAAATATGAAAGATCAAACAGTAAGACTTCTAGGTGATAATAGAGCAAAGTATCTCTATGACCTGGGGGTAGGCCAAGATTTCTTAACAAGTACACAAAAGGACCAACCCCAGAGGATAAATTAAATAAACCACTAAAATTTAAAACTTTTTTTTTTGAGATGGGGTCTTGCTCTGTTGCCCAGGCAGGAATGCACTACACGATCTCTGTTGGCAAGGACACAAAGCAACTGCAACTCTCAAACACTACAAATGGGAGTATAAATTGGTAAAACTGCTCTGGAAAACAGTTTGGTATCTTATCTTGTAATAATGAACATGCAAATCCAAACTAATTACACTCAAAGATACAAACCCAACATAAATGGGTACGCATGTACACTAAAAGATATATACAAGAATGTTCAGAAGTAGTTTTATTTATAATAGCTTAATAAGTGAAAGTCATCTAAATGTCCTTAACAATTAAGCAATTTATGATATATTCATATAATGGTATATGAGAACAATGAACAAGAATGAACTACTACAAGATAGTACCTACTATATTCCATCTATAGGATATTAAGAAACAGGCAAAACTAATGTGCAATGTTAGATGTCAGAATACTGGTTACTTTTGGTAGGGTCTGAATGGACATGAAGGGAGGTTTTGAGGGACTTGTAATGTTTTACTTTTTTTTTTTTCTTTTTTCCTAATAACTTCTCTGAGCTAAGTAATGTTTTATAACATGATCCAGACAGTAGTTATACAAATGTATTCTTTCTTAAAATTCATCAAATTGCACAAATATATTACAGAAAATAAGACAGGATCCCTATTTCCATGAAATTTACCTTTTTTTTTTTTTTGAGATGGAGGATGGAGTGCAGTGGTGCGATCTTGGCTCATTGCAGCCTCTGCCTCCCAGTCTCAAGTGATTCTCCTAATCTAAAATAGTCATCTGGTTAAGCTCTTCTCGAATCAGGTTACTATAATTGTCTGTACAGAATTTACCAAACAAGGTATTTGTTTTTCTGTTACTGCCCTTTAAAATGTAAATTTCAGGCTTATGCCTATAATCCCAGCCTGGTCAACATGATGGAACCCTGTCTCTACTAAAAACACCAAAAAAAAAAAAAAAAAGCCAGGCATGGTGGCACATGCCTGTAGTCCCAGCTACTTGGGAGGCTAAGGCACAAGAATGGTTTGCACCTGGGAGGCAGGGGTTGCAGTGAGCTGAGATTTCGCCACTGCACTCTAGCCTGTGTGACTAAGCAAGACTCTGCCTTAAAAAAAAGACAATACCAACTGGTGGCAAAGACACAAAGCAACTGCAACTCTCAAACACTACAAATGGGAGTATAAATTCTACTTTAGGTGCATACTGTATCTGCCATTTCTCACCATGTTATCTCTCCCCACCCTCCCCTCCCGAGTGTTTACTTCTTAACTGTTCCTTCCTTTCCTGTTCACTCTAAGCAAGTGAGCCAAAATGGGAGCTGTCATGTAACCTTACCTCCTGACCACAGCAACTGATCTATAAAGACTGATGTCTGTTCCAAGCTGGACCAAGCAACCGTTCTTTCTCTAATTTTCTAAACTAGGCAGTATTTATTTTCCAGAAATACTCTAGCTAGCTCTCTATTGCCTACTATAAGTATTATTTTAATAGTCGTAATTTATTATTTCCTCTCTAGGATGGTGAGAAGATGTGAATTAAGGTCTTGCTAGGAGTTATCATTCCAGGTTGGTGGAGAAAAGTGATCTGAGAGACTAAACATGACATGAAGAGAAAAGCAGCCCTGGGATGTAAAAAAATGACAATGTCCTCAGTGGTCTAGTGCCTGCGTTAGTTACCGTCTTCCCACAGTAGTTGGTTACATAAATTGTAAAAGTCCTTCCATTTTCCCCCAAACTCACTTTTCTTTTCTTTTTTTTTTTTTTGAGACAGGGTCTGGCTCTGTTGTGCAGGTAGGAGTGTAGCGGCGCCATCTCAGCACACTGCAACCTCTGCCTCCCAGGTTCAAGCCATCTTCCCAGTTCTGTCTCCTGAGTAGCTGGGAATGCAAACATGCCCCACCATACCCAGCTAATTTTTGTATTTTTTGTAGAGACGAGGTTTCACTCTTTGCTTAGGATAGTCTCAAACCAATGACCTCAAGTGATTGCCCACCTGGGCCCCTCAAAGTGCTGGGATTACAGGCCAGGCGTGAGCCACTGCACACAACTCCCCAAACCAACTTTTATTTTGGGTGGGGACAGAGTTTTGCTCCATCTCCTAGGCTGGAGTGCAATGGCACGATCTTGGCCCACTGCAACCTGTGCCTCCCGAGTTCAAATGATTCTCCTGCCTCAGCCTCCCAAGTAGCTGGGATTACAGACGCCCACAACCATGCCCAGCTAATTTCTTTTTTTTTTTGTATTTTTAGTAGAGATGGGATTTTGCCATGTTGGCCAGCCTGGTCTCGAACTCCTGGCCTCAGGTGATTCACCTGCCTTGGCCTCCCAAAACGCTGGAATTACAGGCATGAGCCACTGTACCAGGCCCCAAACTAACTTGTTAGATTTCTGTCACCTGCAGTGACAAGATTTCCTTATATGGATATATCTATCTATACCTTACAACTGATTATCATAGTGATAATGCAACTCTTACAAATTTCAGTGATACAGGCCAGGCCCGGCACTGTGAGGCCAGGAGCTGGAGACCAGCTTGGCCAACATGGCAAAATCCCATCTCTACTAAAAATATAAAAATTAGCTGAGTGTGGTGGTACACACCTGTAATCTCAGTTATTCTGGAGGCTGAAGAATGAGAATCACTTGAACTCAGTAGGCAGAGATTGCAGTGAGCCAAGGTCACATGACTGCACTTCAGCCTGGGCAACACAGCAAAACTCTGCAAAGAAAAAAAAAAAAGGCTGGGTGTGGGGGCTCACACCTGTAATCCCAGCATTTTGGGAGGCCGAGGTGGGCAGATCATTTGAGGTCAAGAGTTCAAGACCAGGCTGGCCAACATGGTGAAATTCCATCTCTACTAAAAATATAAAAAGAAACTTGGCCAGGTGTGGTGGCACATGCCTGTAATCCTAACTACTTGGGAGGCAGAAGAATCACTAGAGCCCAAGAGGTGAAGCCTGCAGTAAGCCCAGATCATGCCACTGCACTCCAGCCTGGGTGACAAAGTGAGACTCTATCTCAAAAGATAAATAAATAAAATAAAAGATAATTTCTAAAAATTCATTTTGACGTATGATTTATGAAAAATCCTTATTTTGCATTAAAATTTTAGGTTTACTTATTTCCACTGTTTAAGTAAATAAAACCTAATTTTGTTCAAAAGAATACGGTCCCAATGAATGGTATGGTGGAAAAGAAGAGTAAGTTTGGTCCAAAAGTTTCTTTGCTAAAGTAAACATCCTTGGTTGATATGTCTCTTCGGGTAAAAAATAATAATAACAAAGTAAAATTCTTTCAAGTTGTTTCCTAGAATCTAAAAGAAAGTCATGTTTAAATACATTTTTAAACCTTTAATAAAAAAGAGTATTTCCTTTAAACTTTCACTAATTTTTTTTTTGAGACAGGGTTTTACTCTTGTCACCTGTAATGCAGTGAAGCAATTAGAGCTCATTGCAATCTCAAACTCCTGGGCTTTAGCGACCCTCCTTCCTCAGCCTCCCAAGCAGCTGAAACCACAGGTATGCACCACCATGTCTAGCTAATTTTTAAAAATTTTTTGTAGCAACAGGTCTCACTATGTTGCCCAGGCTGGTCTCTAACTCAAGCAATCCTCCTGCCTTGGCCTACCACAGTGCTAGGATTATTGGCATGAGCCACACCTGGCCTTAGTAATTTTTTAAATTATGGAAACAAATCTCAAATTATTTGTTAATCCATTGCTATCACAAATCCAAAATTTTAGATAAAAATCCATCTTTATTAGTGCCTAGTATTAAACTATGTCACATTTATTTAACATCTAGAAGATACACTAACATGAAAATCCTTTGTACTTGCTCTAGCTAAAATAAACTCCCAAATAAATTCCGAAAATATTAAAGAACTTAATGTGAAACTTTAAAAAAATATTTGCTTTATAAAATACAAAAAACCTAATGTGAACATTTTATTTTAATATGATTAATACTTTAAATATTTATGTTTCTTAGAAGATGCTTTTCTATTTTCTTTTTTTATTTTTTGAAATGGAGTCCTGCTCTGTCACCCAGGCTGGAGTGCAGTGCATGATCTCAGCTTACTGTAACCTCCATCTCCTGGGTTCAAGTGATTCTCCCGCCCCAGACTCCCAAGTAGCTGGGATTACAGGTGCACACCACCACACCTGGTTATTTTTTGTACAGATGGTGTTTTGCCATGATGAGCAGGCTGGTCTCGAACTCCTAACTTCAGGTGATCTGCCTGCCTTGGCCTCCCAAAATGCTGGATTACAGGCGTGAGCCACTGGGCCCAATCTATCTATTTTCACTATCTGATCATCATTTCACTAAGTAGGCAGCATTTACTTTCCAAAAAACTCTAGCTAGCTCTTTATTGTCTACTATAAATACTTTAGTACTCATAAGTTAGCAGAAAATAAAATAATTTGAACTTACCCAAATGAATAGACAGGGCTAGGTTTCCTCATTGTTACCCAGTAACTTATTAAACATGTCATTAAACTAAGTAAAAAGAAAAATAAATTTAGCATTAGAACTAGAAGAGAACATATGAAGAGAAATTAAGTCTTCAGAATTTCTAAGTGGTTGAAAGTTCTCCGTGTCTGAACAGACTAAATTAATAATAAATTATTCTAATAATGTATTAAATAAATAATTCTAGTAATTTACCATTAATGACAGTGAGCATCTGAACATGTGATATAGTTGGAAGATTTTAACATGTGAAGGAACAGAATGAAGTTATAATACATCATTAAGTCAGTTAAGTAGAACCTAAACTCATACTTCCACTACCCAATGTTATCTACCCTAAATGGTTTCCGTAACTGAAAATGCTAAAAAAAATGACACATGATAAATTTTAACTTTGATATGTTTCATTTCATCTTTTTTGAAAGTTAAACTAAATATTAATGATACCTTGACAACCTTCTGAATGATACAAAATTATGTTCATTTTCCAAGTCTAGTACAGATTCACTCTAAAACAAGTTACTAGAGTATGAAATTAGCTAACAACTATCTGTGTCAGACTCAATTAAATATGTTAGTCACCTGATTAATGAAATAAATCCTTTTTTTTTTTTTTTTTTTTAAGACAGAGTCTTGCTCTATTGCCCAGGGTGGAGTGCAGTGGTATCATCTCAGCTCACTGCAACCTCTGCCTCCTAGGTTCAAGTGATTCTCCTGCCTCAGCCTCCTGAGTGGCTGGGATTACAGATGTGTGCCACCGCACCCAGCTAGTTTTTATTTTTTTAGTAGAGATGGGGTTTTTGCCATGTTGGCCAGGCTGGTCTCGAACTCCCCGCCTCAAGTGATCCACCTGCCTTGGCCACCCAAAGTGCTGGGATTACAGGCGTGAGCCACCAAGCCTGGCCGAAAAGACATCCTTATAATATACTCCTATCTCATGGATCCTGAAGACATCAAAGTATTTTCTAATCCTTAAATGGAAATATGAAAGACTCCAGGAAACAGGGAGTCAAGAGTCTGTCTCCCTAGCTCACAATTCCTCAATTCTCAGTTATTAACTATCCTTCATTTCTTTCTCCATATATACACTTACAGAGGGAACTGGTATGTCCTTAACATGACTGTATGGTCATGTTAAGGGTCCTCAACCACAGCTGACTCACCCACAGATAGGTACCTGAATCTAGGCTGGCTTTGAATGGATGGATAATTTTTGACATTGCATCAGATAAAGCCAGTCAAATGAGTTTCTGCAGTCAGAAATATACAATTAGGCTGGGGGTGGTGGCTCATGCCTGTAATCTTAGCACTTTGGGAGGTCACCGCAGGTGGATCACTTGAGAGCCCAGGAATTCAAGACCAGCCCTCAGCAACATGTAGAGACTCTGTCACCACAAAAATATACAAAAATTAGCCTGGTGTGGTAGTGAGTGACTGTAGTCCCTGCAACTCCAGAGGATGAGGTAGGAGGATTGCCTGAGCCCAGAAGATTGCAGCTGCAGTGAGATGTGACTGCGTCACTGTATTCTTAGCCTGGGTAAAAGAATGATACCTTTTTTTTTTTTTTTTTTGGAGACAAGGTATCATTTTTTTTGAGACAAGGTATCAAAAAAAAAAAAAAAAAAAAGAATGATACCTTGTCTCAAAAAAAAAAAAAACTCTGAAACTGTTACTATAGTTCATCACTTTTAAGAAGTACATATTTTCGCTGGGCGTGGTGGCTCTAATGCAAGCACTTTGGAGGCCAAGGCGGGCGGATCACCTGTGATCAGGAGTTCAAGACCAGCCTGAACAACATGGTGAAACCCCATCTTAAAAAAAAAAATATATATATATATATATATATATTTTCATATCTTAATAATCCTAAAATCAGGGTTAGTCTCACAACTTACAGTGTATCACAGCTGAATTAGCAGCATTTTTCTTGGGGACACATAAAATAAATATTTGTCATATAACTGTTGGTATCTAATATTTGATGCAATATGGTATACTGATCAAATTTACTTCCCATTACTACATAAATCTAAAAAACAGCATCCATTTATTAATAAATCATTCAATATATTTTATTTCATTTATAGGTATAAATCATTTTAATTTCCATAGTTTAATAATACTACTTTGTTACTAATGTTCTTCAATAAAATATATTTCTACACCTCTTTGTAAAACAGTAGCATTTTTAACACTTAATACTCTAAAATCAGATATCCACTTTATTCTGTTTGGATACTAGTGAAGCTCTAAATGACCCTAAATCACACCTTTCTTCTGAAATGTTATATATCGATAGCTAACTTATATGGCAGATTATGAGCCTCTAAAGAAAGAAACTTCTTCAAATTAAATGAAAAGATTTTACTTATGAACCTTAAGACATTAGGGAAACAGTATTATTATATTTTAAAAACTGTACTATTTTTATTACTATTAGTTTGTTATTATCAAATATGGTTGATAACATTAATAACTTTCTCCAAATTTTAAATATACGTGTGGGCTGAGCACAGTGGCTCACGCCTCTAATCCCAGAACTTTGGGAGGCCAAGGCGGGTGGACCGCCTGAGGTCAGGAGTTCGAGACCAGCCTGGCCAACATAGTGAAACCCCATCTTTACCAAAAATACAAAAATTAGCCAGGAGTGGTGGTGGGTGCCTGTAATCCCAGCTACTCAGGAGGCAAAGACAAGATAATCACTTGAGCCCTGGAGGTGGAGGCTGCATGCAGTGAGCTGAGATCGTGCCACTGCACTCCAGCTTAGATGACAAAGCAAGACCCTATCTCAAAAATAAATAAAATAAAATGTATGTATATATCTATTTATTTTTAAAACAGGGTCTCTCCTTTCATTTTTATATATTTATTTACATTTGAGATAGGGTATTAGTCTTTCACCAAGACCCAAGACCGGAGTACAGTGATGCAATCATAGATCACTGCAGCCTTGACTTCTTGGGCTCAAGTGATCCTACTGCCCCAGCCTCCTGAGTAGCTGGAATTACATGTTTGGCTAATTTTTTAAACATTTTTGTAGAGAAGAGGTAGGTTTCATTGTATTGCCAAGGCTGGTCTTGAACTCCTGGGTTCAAGGGTTCTGTTCACCTTGGCCTCTAAAAGTGCTGGAATTACAGACATGAGCCACTGTGCCTGGTCTATAGGGTCTCTCTCTGTCACTAAGGCTGGAATACAGTGGCAAGATCATAGCTCACTGCAGCCTTAAAATCCTGGGCTCAAATGTCCTCCTGCCTTAGTCTCCTAAAGCACTGGGATTAGAGGCATGAGCCACTACTCTTGGTTATAACATATTTTAAACTGCTTTTATTTTTAAATTGGCATTTTATTTATATAATTAAAATATAAAATTTACAAAAAAGATATATAGTGTAAAGAATCTAAACTTGTCTCCCTGCCAGTCTTCCTCCTCAAAGACACCTATTATTATCAGTTTCTTGTTTATCTTTCCTATGTATATTTATGCAAATACAAGCAAATGAATATAGTGTATAGATGTGTATATATGTGTGTATTCCTATTCTTTCCTCCTTTTTAATACAATTTGCAGCATACTATATATACTGTTGAGTATCTTGCTTTTTCCCTTCATGAGAACCTCTAAACCATAGAATGCTTTGACTTTATGTTTAGGCTACATAATATTTAATTACATATATAACTGGGTTCTCTATACCCAGCAAGATCAGTTTCATCTATTCCTAGAAATGTAAATTCTTGGGTCCTACCCTATGCCTCCTGTGTCAGAAACTCTGGAAATGAAGCAATATGTATTTTAACAAGACCTTCCAAGTAATTCTGATGTATGGTTACGTTTGAGAATTCTATGGCATGTATATACCATAAATATGGGGTATACATGCCCCATAATTTATTTCATCATTCACATACTGATTTCCAATCTTTTGTACTGAATACCCTCATACACAACTCATTTTTAACCACAAAAATATATCTATACTATAAGTTACTAGAAAAGGAACTGCTATGTTTAAGGTTGTGGGCATTTACAAATTTAATCAATATTGCCAAACTGACCTCAAGATGCTGCACCAATTTATATTCCCACCAGCAATGTATAAAAGTGCCTGTTTCCGTCTGGGCCTCACACCTCTAATACCAGCACTTTGGGAGGCCGAGGTGGCAGATCATGAGGTCAAGAGATTGAGACCAATCTGGCCAACATGGTGAAACCCTGTCTCTACTAAAAACAGAAAAAGTAGCCAGGCATGATGGTGCATGCCTATAATCCTAGGTACTTGGGAGGCCGAGGCAGGAGAATCACTTGGACCCAAGAGGCAGAGCTTACAGTGAGTTGAGATCATACCATTGCACTCCAGCCTGGGTAACACAGCAAGACTTTGTCTCAGAAAAAAAAAAAAGAAAATTTAACCATAAATTTTCATGACCTTAGATTAGGTCATGGTTTCCTAGACAAAACACTCAAAGCATAACCATCAAAGAAAAAGAGATCTGGACTTCTTCAAAACTGAAAACTTAAAAAAAAAAAGGAAAACTTTTGGGCTTCAAAGGACTCCATCAAGTGAAAAGACAACCCACAGAATGTGAGAAAGTTTCTGCAAAGCATATATCTGATTTGTATCTAGAATATAAGAAACTCAACAATGAAAAGACAACTAATCTAAAAAATAGGCAAATTATATGAACAGGCAAGTCTCCAAAAAATATACAAATAATCAAGAAACACATGAAAAGATGTTTAACCTCACTGTTCATTAAGAAAATGCAAATCAAACGCAGGAAACACCACTTCACACCTACTAGGATGACTATAATAAAAAGATAATAATGAGAGTTGGTGAGGATATGGGGAAATTGGAATCCTTATACTCTACCGGTAGAAATGAAAAATGCTGCATTCATTTTGGAAAACAATCTGACAGTTCCCCTCAGATGGTTAAAGAGAGTTATATGACCCTGCAATTCTACTTCCAGGTATTTACTCAAGAGAAATGAAAACCTATGTCTAAACAAAAACATATACAAATATTCACAGCAGCCTTACTCATAATAGCCAAAACGTAGAAACAATCCTAAATGTCCATCAACTAGAACAAATAAAATGTCGTACTGAATAAATAAATAAACAATAAAATGTGGTATGGCCATACAATTCAGCAATAAAAAGAAAGAGCATGAAATGCATCTCTACCAAAAATATAAAAAAGGTTAGCCAGGCATGGTGGCATGTATCTATGGTCCCAGCTACTTGGGAGGCTGAGGCGGGAGGACTGCTTGAGGCCAGGAGGCAGAGGTTTCAGTGAGCTAAGATTGTACCGTGGCACTCCAGCCTGGGTGACAGAGTAAGATCCCAACTCAAAAAAAAAAAAAAAAAAAAAAAAGAGTAACTATTGATATATGCTACAACAAAACAGAAAAGCATTAAGCTGAGAAGACAGTCATAAAGGACTGTATATTGTATGATTCCACTCATGTGAAATGTCCAGAGTAGGCAAACCTTTCAAGAGAAAAAAGGTTAGTAGTTGCCTAGGCTGGAGAAGAGAATGGAATGACTGGGAGAATGGAATGACTGCAGAGTAATAGCTAAGCGGAGTGGTTTCATTTTGAGATAATGAAAATACTGTAGGATGGGCATGGTGGCTCACGCCTGTGATCCCAACACTTTGGGAGGCCAAGATGGGCCGATCACTTGAGGCCGGGAGTTCAAGACCAGTCTGGCCAACACGGTGAAACCCAATCTCTACTAAAAAATACAAAAATTAGCTGTGCATGGTGGTGCACATCTGTATTCCCAGCTACTTGGGAGTCTGAAGCAGGAGAATGGCTTGAACCTGGAAGTGGAAGTTGCAGTGAGCTCAGATCGTGCCACTGTACTCCAACCTGGGCGACAGAGTGAGACTCTGTCTCAAAAAAAAAAAAAAAAAAAAGGAAAAGAAAATATTATGAAGTTGTTTATGGTGATGAATACACAACTCTATGTATGAAGACACTAAAAGTTATTTTAAGGCATATGAATTATAATATCTCAATAAATCCTTTTTTTTTTTTTTTTGAGACAGAGTCTTGCTCTGTTGCCCCGTGCAGTGCTGGAGTGCAGTGGTGCAATCTCGGCTCACTGCAATCTCTGACTCCCGGTTTCAAGCAATTCTCCTGCCTCAGCCTCTAGAGTAGGTGAGACTACAGGTGTCCGCCACCACGCCCGGCTAATTTTTGTATTTTTAGTAGAGATGGGGTTTCACCATATTGGCCATGCTAGTCTCGAACTTCTGATCTTGCAATCTGCCCGCCTCGGCCCACCAAGGTGCTGGGATTACAGGCATAAGCCACCTCGCCTGGACCAGTAAAGCCATTTTTTTAAAAAACAAAAGAGCACATGTTTCCCTAGCACACTCAATGACACAAGCATACTCAAATATTTTATCTTTCCCAATGTTATAGGCAAACCAGCATCTCGAGTAATTTTAATTTGCATTTCTCTGTTAGTGAAAATGAGCAACTTTTCATATCATTTATATTTCCTTTTCTGTAAACTCTGTATGAATTATAAATTTTTTTCTTCCTTCATTTTCTTTGTCTTTGTGTTATTAACTATTAGCAAAATTAGCAATTTGAGAGATGAATTACAAATATCTTCTCAGGTTATTTTCTGTCTACACTGACATTTGCTACCTAGAGTTTTTAACTTTAATATAATTAAAGTTATAAATATTTTCTGTTTCGTTTTTCAGAAGAAGTTTTGCTCTTCTTGCCCAGGCTGGAGTATGGTAGCATGATCTCGGATCTCAGCTCACTGCAACCTCTACCTCCTGGGTCCAAGTGATTCTTGTGCTTCAGTCTCTGAAGCACCTGGGACTACAGGCAAACACCACCCCGCCTGGCAAATTTTGTATTTTTAGTAGAGACCAGGTTTTACCATGTTGGCCAGGCTGGTCTCAAACTCCTGACCTCAAGTGACCCACTTGCCTTGGCCTCCCAAAGTGCTCGGATTACAGGCATATGCCACTATGCCTGGCCTTGTTTCCGTTTTTTCTTTTTTTTAGAGACAGGGTCTCACTCTCTTGCCCAGGCTGGAGTGCAGTAGCATGATCATGGCTGCAGCCTAGAATACCAGGGCTCAAGTAAACCTCCCACCTCTGCCTCCTGACTCCTGAACAGCTAGGATCACAGGCCCACTCCATCACATTTGACTATTTTTATTTTTTTTAGACATGAGATCTTGCTGTGTTGCCCAGCCTGGTCTTGAACTTCTGGCCTTAAGTGATCTTCCCACATCAGCCTCCCAAATTGCTGGGATTACAGGTATGAGCTGTGGCACCTGGCCCAATACTTTATGTCATCTTTAATTATCCTAAGTAATTTAAGTCTGTTACACAGCCTTCTATTCATTTTTTTCACATAAATTTTAGAATAAGCTTGTTTAGTTTGATTAACTTGAGAGAGAATTGACTTTTTAAAAAAATGATTTGAAGTTGTTCCTAAGTACATGATTTACCTTTTTTTAAAGGTCTTTTTTGTCTTTCAGAATCATTTTGAAGTTATTTTCATAAATATCTTGTTTGTACACATCTTGTTAAGTTTATGCCTGGACATTTATCTTTTCTGTTTTTATGTAAATAAAAGGTTTTCTGCCTCTAATTACTGTTTTTTATTGTTGTTTGTTTTTTGAGACAGAGTCTTGCTTTATCACCCAGGCTGGAGTGCAGTGGCATGATCTCGGCTCACTGCAACTTCCGTCTCTGGGGTTCAAGCGATTCTCCTGCCTCAGCCCCCTGAGTAGCTGGGACTATAGGTGCATGCCACCAGGCCTGGTTAATTTTTATATTTTTAGTAGAGACAAGGTTTCACCATGTTGGCCAGGCTGGTTGTAACCCCCTGACCTCAAGTGATCCACCCACCTCAGCTTCCCAAAGTGCTGAGATTACAGGCATGAGCCACCCCACCCATCCTCTAATTACTATTACGCCTCTAATTACTGCTGTTTGTGTGTTTGTTCTATACTGATAATTTTACTCATTCAGTATTTTCCTTTAAGCAAAGAAAACTTCTTCATAATCTACTTTTTCTCTCCATAGATATGCCTATTCCAGACATTTCACATAAACGAAATCATACAATATGTGGTTCTTTATGACTGTCTTCATGTGTAATGTTTTTATTGTTTTCTTGTAAGATATCAGCAGTTGCTCTTTTTATTGCTGAATTATATGATTATACCACATTTCTACCAAATTCCTTATTGGCTCCAAAACATTAAGATTTCCTAAAAACTTACCTAAAAAGATCAAAAATGGTCAGATAAGTATAGGCAGTTAAAGCTGCAAAACAAAACAACAAAATGATTAAAATATTATTGAATCCTTTAAAAAAATACAGTAAGTCACCAAAATTATTTCTACCAGAGGTAACCATTACCAAAAGAACTTTTGAGTCACTGGCCAACCTCATGTATTGGCAGTTATCTAACACATTTGATAGATATATGTAGCCAAAGCTGGTTAGTAGAAAAGCTTACTTTCCAACCTGATTTTTCCATTAGGAAAAGTGAAGCAACGAAATGTTCAAAAGCCCTGTTACCATTTTTTCTGCCTGCTTCTGTAATCTCGACACTATTTCAAATGTATTGTTTGAATAACAGAACAAAAGAAGAATGCATTAAAAAACATAGACACAAGAAAAAAATTACAGAATTTCCATTTTAAAGAAAAGCCAACAAACCTCAAAATCTAACTTATAAACTGCATAAAGTTCTAATCTACTACATTAAAAAAAATCTCTGGCCAGGTGTGATGGCTCATGCCTGTAATCCCAGCACTTTGGGAGGCCAAGGAGGGTAGATCACGAGGTGAGAAGTTAGACCAGCCTGGCCAACATAGTAAAACCCGGTCTCTACTAAAAATACAAAACAAAAAAAATTAGTCAGGCATGGTGGCATGCACCTGTAATCCTAGCTACCTGGGAGGCTGAGGCAGGACAATCACATGAACCCAGGAGGCAGAGGGTGCCATGAGCCAAGATCACATCACTGCACTCCAGCCTGGGCAACAGAGCAAGACCCTGTCTCCAAAAAAACCCAAAAAACCACAAATTTCTAAATAGATTTAACAAATTTTAAAAAAAAATAACAGCTTATTTAAAATGATAATGGCCGGGTATGGTGGCTCATGCCTGTAATCCCAGCACTTTCCGAGGCTGAGGTGGGTGATCACTTGAGCTCAGATGTTTGAGACCAGCCTGGGCAACACAGCGAGACCCCATTTCTATCTTAAAATATATTTTAAAAAGAAAAAAACTTAAAAAAAAAGATACTATCCGACCAAATGAACAAAATCTTATAGTTTACAGGGAAGTTTTAAATATACTCCCTCATTTAAATCATTTAGAGTTATATGCATTGCAGAATAATACATTCTTTGTAAAGGAAGATAAAGCTTTATTTCCAATGAAAAAAATAAAAGTGAAAATAATAAATCCATAAAAATACAAATGGTGACATACCTATACTATTAGTAGAACTGCACCACATAAGCAGGAAGCCAGTACATACCAAATTTATTACACCAAAGAGCAGTATCTTCCAGGACTGTGAAAATAAAAATCACTCTTATGTGTACAGTAGTGATAAACTTCACAGGGTCTGTTCAAGTTGCTATAATTTATACTCTGATATTCAAAGGAATAAACATAACTTCCTACAAAAAGCCTATCACACTTTCTGCAACTACCAAAATTATCATCAGCTAAGTTATTATAGTATACAAGAGTAAAAGAGTAATTCCAGGAGAGTTGTTCAAGAGAAAATAAATTCTGATATAGAAATTCTCAAACAGTTGAGAAAAATATACATGCATATGCCTATCATTTTGTCTCTATAAATACTTATTATAGAGACTATGATGAAGCAAATGGGGCCAAATGTAAGCAACTGTTGAATCAGAATAAAGGGCATAATGATGTTCCTAAAAGTTACTAATCTTGGCCTGGTGCAATGGCTCACACCTGTAAGCCCAGCACTTTGAAAGGCCGAGGCAAGTGAATCACTTGAGGTCAGGAGTTTGAGACCAGCCTGGTCAACATGGTGAAATCCCATCTCTACTAAAATAAAAAATTAGCCAGACATGGTGGCAGGTGCCTGTAATCCCAGCTACCTGGGAAGCTGAGGCAGAAGAATCACTCGAACCAGGGAGGTGAAGGTTGCAGTGAGCTGAGATCATGCCACTGCACTCCAGCCTGGATGACAGAGCAAGACTCCATCTCCAAAAAAAAAAAAAAAGTACTGACCTTGGCTGTTCAACATCAATCAAGTAAGGTGAGAAATAAGGACAGATCCTGATTTTGACAATACGAGGTTACTGTTACCTTGTAAAAGCTATTTATATGAATTAATGGGGACTAGTGCCAAACCGGTCTCTGTTTAATAGAGATGGGGAGAAGAGAAGGTGAATACAGAGTACTGACAATTCTTTTGTGTTTGCTACAAAAGCAAGCTGAGAAATGAAGCAACCCCTGAGAGTGGAACTTATTACATGTAATTACAATGCAAGAAAGAGGAGAATGATGCAAGAAAAACAATAATACAAGAAACGGAACAATTTAGGGACATCATCTTTCAGTAGGCAACAAGTGGAAGGACTGGCCTTATAGAGGAGAACTGAAAGCTTGTCCAGAGAAATAGGAGGAAGGGCGGAGTGGTGGGTGATGTGCTAATGATAGGATATAGAGGTTTTCTTCTGATTACTTCTTTTCCCTGGGTGAAACAGAAAGCAAGATCATTGAGTTAGTGTGAGGATGAAGAAGGCGTTAGAAGCTTGAGGATAGAAATGAAAGAACATGGTATGAAACAGCCATTAGGAAACTGGAAAATTGAATGAAAGAAGGAAATATAGAATGAAAGAATATAGGCAGCGCTAATGGTCTGTTTGATCATGAATTCAAAGTGAGAATTCTCAGGTTGTATTCAGTTGCTTTCATGTAAGTACAGAGTAGAAAGAAAGTGAACTTAATGAAAGTTAGGGATTTTCCAGGAATTATGACAGAGGGAAGGGGAGCACAAAAGAGTTAAGAGCATATACAAGAAAATGATACTAGCTGCGAGTGGTGGTGGACCCCTGTAATCCCAGCTACTCAAGAGGCTGAGGCAGGAAAATCCCTTGAGCCCAGGAGTTCAAGACCAGCCTAGATAATATAGCAAGATTCTTTTTTTTTTTTATTTTTTATTGCATTTTAGGTTTTGGGGTACATGTGCAGAGCATGCAATACAGTTGCATAGGTACACACATGGCAGTGTGTTTTGTTTGCTTTCTCCCCTTCACCCACATTTGGCATTTTTCCCCAGGCTATCCCTCCCCACCTCCCCCTCCCACTGGCCCTCCCCTTTTCCCCCCAATAGACCCCAGTGTTTAGTACTCCCCTCTCTGTGTCCATGTGTTCTCATTTTTCATCACCCTCCTATGAGTGAAAATATGCGGTGTTTCATTTTCTGTTCTTGTGTCAAGTTTGCTGAGAATGATGTTCTCCAGATTCATCCATGTCCCTACAAACGACACGAACTCATCATTTCTGATTGCTGCATAATATTCCATGGTGTATATGTGCCACATTTTCCCAATCCAGTCTATCATCAATGGGCATTTGGGTTGGTTCCAGGTCTTTGCTATTGTAAACAGTGCTGTAATGAACATTCGTGTGCATGTGTCCTTATAGTAGAACGATTTATAGTCCTTTGGGTATATACCCAGTAATGGGATTGCTGGGTCAAATGGAATTTCTATTTCTAAGGTCTTGAGGAATCGCCACACTGTCTTCCACAATGGTTGGACTAATTTACACTCCCACCAACAGTGTAAAAGTGTTCCTTTTTCTCCACATTTTCTCCACATCCTCTCCAGCATCTGTTGTCTCCAGATTTTTTAATGATCGCCATTCTAACTGGCGTGAGATGGTATCTCAATGTGGTTTTGATTTGCATCTCTCTGATGACCAGTGACGATGAGCATTTTTTCATATGATTGTTGGCCTCATATATGTCTTCTTTCGTAAAGTGTCTGTTCATATCCTTTGCCCACTTTTGAATGGGCTTGTTTTTTTCCTGTAAATCTGTTTGAGTTCTTTGTAAATTCTGGATATCAGCCCTTTGTCAGATGGGTAGACTGCGAAAATTTTTTCCCATTCTGTTGGTTGCCGATTCACTCTAGTGACTGTTTCTTTTGCCGTGCAGAAGCTGTGAAGTTTCATTAGGTCCCATTTGTCTGTTTTGGCTTTTGTTGACAATGCTTTTGGTGTTTTGTTCATGAAGTCCTTGCCTACTCCTATGTCCTGGATAGTTTTGCCTAGATTTCCTTCTAGGGTTTTTATCGTGCCAGGTCTTATGTTTAAGTCTTTAATCCATCTGGAATTAATTTTAGTGTAAGGTGTCAGGAAGGGGTCCAGTTTCTGCTTTCTGCACATGGCTAGCCAGTTTTCCCAACACCATTTGTTAAATAGGGAATCCTTTCCCCATTGCTTTTGTCAGGTTTATCAAAGATTGTATAGTTGTAGATATGTTGTGTTGCCTCCGGTGCCTCTGTTTTGTTCCATTGGTCTATATCTCTGTTTTGGTACCAGTACCATGCTGTTTTGATTACTGTAGCCTTGTAGTATATAGTTTGAAATCCGGTAGTGTGATGCCCCCTGCTGTGCTCTTTTTGCTTAGAATTGATTTGGCTATGCGGGCTCTCTTTTGGTTCCATATGAAGTTCATGGTGGTTTTTTCCAGTTCTGTGAAGAAAGTCAATGGTAGCTTGATGGGGATAGCATTGATTCTGTAAATTACTTTGGGCAGTATAGCCATTTTCACGATATTAATTCTTCCTAACCATGAACATGGAATGTTTCTCCATCTGTTTGTGTCCTCTCTGATTTCGTTGAGCAGTGGTTTGTAGATCTCCTTGAAGAGGTCTCTTACGTTCCTTGTGAGTTGTATTCCAAGGTATTTTATTCTTTTTGTAGCAATTGTGAATAGCAGTTCGTTCTTGATTTGGCTTTCTTTAAGTCTGTTTTTGGTGTAGACGAATGCTTGTGATTTTTGCACATTGATTTTATATCCTGAGACTTTGCTGAAGTTGCTTATCAGTTTCAGGAGTTTTTGGGCTGAGGCGATGGGGTCTTCTAGATATACTATCATTTTGTCTGCAAATTGAGACAATTTGGCTTCCACCTTTCCTATTTGAATACCCTTTCTTTCTTTTTCTTGCCTGATTGCTCTGGCTAGTACTTCCAGTACTATATTGAATAGGAGTGGTGAGAGAGGGCATCCTTGTCTAGTGCCGGATTTCAAAGGGAATGCTTCCAGTTTTTGCCCATTCAGTATGATATTGGCTGTTGGTTTGTCATAAATAGCTTTTATTACTTTGAGATACGTTCCATCGATACTGAGTTTATTGAGGGTTTTTAGCATAAAGGGCTGTTGAATTTTGTCAAATGCCTTCTCTGCGTCAATTGAGATAATCATGTGGTTTTTGTTTTTGGTGGGAGGGAAATGATAATGATGAAGCATAGAATCTAAGTTGAATAAGGAAGCAGATGAGGATAAGGGAGTTGAAAAGAAGTAAAAATATGGCAGAGTTTCAATTGGAGTGCTCACTGGTACTGCTTATTATTGTTTCATTGAAGCTAGCTTTACTTAAAAGTCATCAAATATTTACTGGGTGCTTATATTGTACTTCTATTAAAGGGTGAGCAAAATAGAGATAGTCACATCCCTCAGAGAGTTTATAATTTAGACAACAATGAGAAGCATGAAACACAATAACTAGAAGGTTTACATTGGTGGTCTGAAAGGATGGCAATTACATCTTTCTATTTACAGTCTCAAAGCAGGACATATTTTTTTTGCCTACATTAAAAATGAGAAAACATGGCTTTAGACTGGATCCATTTATTTTTTTGAAATCTTAATAACAAAAAGCAATCACAAAACCATTTTTCTTTAAAACACTTCAGAATTAGAATCAAAACTGTAACAGAAGCTTCCTACCAAAGCAAAACAATTCAACACCAAATGACTGCAATTTCACACTAAAAAAAATATTTTTCCCACACAGAAAAATGAAAACAGTGTGGTGGGATCAACAGTGATTTCTATTTGCCTTAAAAATTATCTTTCTCTAATGTTATAATGTTGTTTGTGCAATAATTAAAATTGGGATTAAGGAATAACTTACCCTTCGGTCAGCTGCTACAAGTCTAAATTCCCGTAACAACTTGCCAAAAAAGGATCTTTGTGGTTTTCGAAAGAGATGAATTGTCCCCTTTCAAACAAACAAACAATATACAAATCACCATTTAAGTATTTAATTTTCTTCAGAGTTCCTATGATATAGTGATTCCTATGATATGGTATGATATAGTGGTAATAATAACCAATATTTACTAACTACTCAATATATGCCAAACACTTTTACTAGACACTTTATGTATATTTACAAATTTAATATTCACAATAAACCTGTGTGGTGGAGACAACTTTTAGTAAGTCATCCAAAATCACAGAGCTAGTAAATCGCTGAGTAGAAATTCAAACCCAGGCTTTTTAGCTCCAGACCACACTCTTTATTTTTAAATGGAAAAGGCAATTTGAACCGAAAAAAATATTGTTTGCCAAAAAGCTCTACTGGAAATTTCTACTGAAAATCCACCTAATTAAAGCTATATATATGGCTGTGTTTGGGGCTCCTGCCTGTAATCACAGCACTTTGGGAGGCTGAGGCAGAGCGATCACTTGAGGCCAAGAGTTCAAGACCAGCCTGGCCAACCTGGTGAAACCCCGTCTCTATGAAGAATGTAAAAATTATACTCCAGTTCTCTCCTGAAAAAAATAAAAATAAAAAAAATTAGCTGAGTGTGGGGTGCATGCCTGTAATACTAGTTACTCAGGACGCTGAGGCAGGCCTCAGAATCTCTTGAGTCTGGGAGGTGGAGGTTGCAGTGAGCCAAGATCACGCCACTGCACTTTAGCCTGAACAACAGAATAAGACTCTGTCTCAAAAAGAAAAAAAAAAGCTATATATTTGAAAGTTCAGGGAACTATTATAGTAAAACCCCTGAGATTCTCTCTTAGGCATTCAATCAAAGTATCTGACATCCTGGCTAGTCTCCCTGGCCCCTGCTAGTATATAGTTTGGGGATAGTAAAGATAAGGCTCACCAATGAGAGAGGAGACCAAGTGGCAACGAGAGGGGATTTACCACCCATTTTGGGAAACCCAAATTTGGGAAACCATATGGGAAAGCCTTAGCAGAAAGGAGAGTTCACCATATGAGAAATTAACTTACAGCAAAGGCAGTATCCAATATCAGTGGGAGAAAATATTAGCTAGTCAATAATTGGTATTTTGATCAAGGTAATGCTGCACCCTTATCATACTCCTTACTCTAATTTATTATTTTTAAAATTGAATTATAGAATACTTGAAGAAAGTGTGGCTGTATTATTTTATAACCTGGGAGTTGGAGAAGCCTTCCTTAATAGGACATAAAAACCAAGAAGCTCAGCCAGGCACAGTGGCTCACACCTGTAATCCCAGCACTTCGGGAGGCTGAGGCGGGTGGATCACGAGGTCAGGAGTTCAAGACTAGCCTAGGCAACATGGCGAAACCCTGTCTCTACTAAAAATACAAAAATTAGCCGGGCATGGTGGCACGTGCCTGTGGTCCCAGCTACTCGGGAGGCTGAGGCGAAGAATCACTTGAACCCAGGAGGCGGAGGTTGCAGTGAGCCGAGATTGCGCCACTGCACTCCAGCCTGGCAATAGAGCAAGACTCCGTCTAAAAAAAAAAAAAAAAAAAGAATGGGAATAATGCCAAAAGACTTGAGATTACTAATTATTTCAGTTATCATTCAAAAATACTCAGCCTTTCATATGCTGAAAATTTGGCATGGCCCTATTAATTTTTCTGGCATAGGTTTCTAAAAGCAAAACTCTACAGTTACTTTTAAAGAGAATATTTTGTCATTCTAAAGGAAAGTAACTGTCATTCCAGGGGGGAATAATTCTTCACAATTTTTGATGGCCCATACACAGTAATTTGACTGCTAAGTGCCACATACTTAAATTTTTGGATTTTAATTTTAACCAAATCCTTTCCTAGATGGTAAAAGCCACAATCACTATACCAACCTTACTACATTTCTAACTCACTAAAGTTGGTCAATTTGACTCAAACACTGAAGACCCAGAAAGCAGCGGAACTGAGGTATTAACAATTATAAATGTAAAAAACTTTCAGATCCAATGCAAGCATGGTTTTCCTACATAGTTTGCATCTAGAGAGCATTTAAGTGGTTATAAGAAGAGATAACTCATTTCTTCAAAGCTTAGACATATTAGTTGCATTAGGCTGAGACTCAGGAAAAGCAGGAAAAAAGGCCAAACACTAGATATTTGGCATAAAAAAACAACAGCAGAGTGTTGATAATTGTTGATGCCAGGCGACAAGTACAGGGGTGCTTATATTATGGTCTCTCTACTTCTGTGTATGTATGAACATTTTCATAATAGAAAGGTAGTAAGATGACAAGGAAAAAAATATTTTAAAAAGTAAAAATAAAGCACCAGAAAAATGTTACAATTTTATATTCAAATAAAGACTAGTATGTATATATAACCCTATGGCTCTACTAAGCTAATCCAGTTTAAAAAATATATATGCTATTTCTACTTTAGATGTTAATAAATGTTAATAAATTTTTTTCTTGGTTGGCTATGCTGGCTCATGCCTGTAATCCCACCACTTTGGGAGGCTGAGGCAGGAGGATCACTTGAGCTCAGGAGTTCAAGACCAGCCTAGGCAATATACTGAGACTCTGCCTCTACAAAAAATTGAAAAGAAAAAAATTAGCCAGGCATGGTGGTTCACGCCTGTAGTCCCAGCTCCTCAGGATGCCAAGGTGGGAGGATTTTGCATGAGCCCGGGAAGTCAAAGCTGTAGTGAGCCAGGACCACAGCACTTTACTCCAACCTGGGCGACAGTGTGAGACCCTATCTCAAAATAAATATATACGTACATACATATAAATATTATACATGTATATATGTTCTTTTCTTAAAGAATTACAAGTGAGATATTTTGGACCCAAAGATTTAAAAAATTCTGCTTAATACTGTTATTTTTGGACATCTTCTGTTTAACTTCAGCTGACTTTAAGTTTGATTAAGAGAATCAACAAGGTTTCTAAGGGGCAGAAGGTCACTTCTGACACCATGTTCATACTGAAAACAAAACGAAAATTCTAATGTTTGTATCACTCTTCCCAAAATTATATTGGCCCTCCACTGCTATCAAAATAAACTCCAAATTTTACAACCTGAATTTCCAGGTTTACAACTTAGCCTGTTTCTTTCCAGCGTTATCTCTTACTCCAGATAGAAACCCTCAACTCCAGTCTTAATCTCTTACTGTAGATAGAAACCCTCAACTTCAGACTGGTCTACTCTTGTCTCATCATCATACCACTTTTGAGTGAAATGGCCAGATCTGTCTAACTCAAGCTCTTATTCATATAGTGACAAACAAGTATTAGATTAAGAGTAGGGCACAAAGTACTCAGTTTCACTTTTTACATGAAGTCTTACTAGATCATTCCAAATACAGTGTTTGTTATGTGACTTATTTGCATTAACCAAAGTATAGCTTTCACCTTGTTATCTTGCTTTGTAATTTCTTAGTAACTTCGCTAACGATGAGGGCTATTTTTCTTTATATTTTCTAAGAAAGCACTGTTTCACATAGCATGTTCTTACTTTTTTCTCAATATCCTTTAAAACAAACCTTAAATACTGTTTCCCTGCATTACTAATACTAATGTTTCAAGCATAAAGATGTAGTGCCATAGGTTTTCAGTGTTTTATAAAACAGATGTTTATTGAAAACTTCCTCTGGGCCAGGCACTGTACAAGGCTCTAGGAATACCAGAGTGAAACATACAGGTCCTGCTCTCAATGAGCTTACAGTCTACAAAGTGGGAAAGACAAATAAATACACAATTTTTAACATAGTCTGTAAGGATTACAGATGTTATTGGCAAAAAGCACAAGAGATCCAAGTTTAACTTTATTAAATTAGGGCTGTGAGTTAATGAAGGTGTGTAATCTGAAAGACCTCTGAATTTTAATAACCTCTTGTCCCTTTACCTTCAAATCCCTTCAAATCATCAGAATTACAGGCAAATTAAGTTTCCATTATATGTATTCACTTTGTGCAGCTTATGTAACAAAACTGGTATGTGCATGTAAAAGCCCAAGGTACCACCAAAGCATAAAGGAGAAGCAACTAACAGGATACTGGAACATAGGGGAAAGGCTCATGAAAAACAATGAAGGATATATAAGGGTTATACTGATATGGACAGCCAGTAGAGAACAGAAAAATTCAGGCAGATGGAAGGGCATATGCAAATTATGTACAGAAGTCAATTCATACAGCATGATTTGCAATTTGTTCATGGTGGCTGAAAGATGGATATTGCATACATGTATGCATTAAAAAAAAAAAAAACCGGGCACGGTTGGTGGCTCATGCCTGTAATACCAGCACTATGGGAGGCCAAGGCGGGTGAATCACGAGGTCAAGAGATTGAGACCATCCTGGCCAACATGGAGAAACTCCATCTCTACTAAAAATAAAAAATTAGCACACGCCTGTTATCCCAGCTAGTAGGGAGGCTGTGGCAGGAGAATCGCTTGAACCCAGGAGGTAGAGGTTGCAGTGAGCCAAGATCGCACCATTGCACTTCAGCCTGGGCAACAAGAGTGAAACTCCATCTCAAAGAAAAAAACAGAGAGAGAAAAGCTGTAAAAGTAAGAAGCTTGATAACGGATGGCTTGTATATAAACAGGACTTCATCTTGAGTGCTACAGAACAACAAAAAGAACATTTGAGCAAGGGAGTGATGTGGTCAAATTTTAGAAATATAACTCCGAGTACAGGCTACACAATAATGACTGTTATTTATTTATTTTGAGATGGAGTCTTGCTCTTTTGCCCAGGCTGGAGTGCAATCACATGATCTTGGCTCACTGCAACCTCCGCCTCCTGGGTTCAAGTAATCCCTGGCCTCAGCCTCCCAAGTAGCTGGGATTACAGGTGCCCGCCACCATGCCCAGCTAATTTTTTGTATCTTTAGTAGAGACGGGGTTTCACCATGCCAGGCTGGTCTCAAAATCCTGACCTCGTGATCCACCCGCCTCAGCCTCCCAAAGTGCTGGGATTACAGGCGTGAGCCACCGCGCTCGGCCAATGGTGAAAGTTTTGGAGAGTGTAACTGGCGGCTGTTTGATCATTAGCCAGGGTAAACTTTTACCCATTTTCTGTGTGCAAAAGGACTACAGGAAATTTACAAAATATAAAGTGTGTGAATAAGACATTTTCCCGACCATATCCACTTAAGTAAAAAACTTAGTACAGTGACAAAAGCTTAAGCACAGAAATGTGGTTTCTTTCTCATACATACGTTATCAATAAGTACTCCAGGAATTTTTCTAATAAATCCATTTTCAAAAGGTACACCCCACTTTGACACTCGAAATCCCAACCGCTTATCGTTAAGAGCTATATATTTGAGCTCTAAAGGCAAATACTAATTATAACAAATTTGAGAGAAAACACCATAACCCAACAGCCAAACGTCCTACTGGGTCTTCCTCTAGTTTCTACAAACGCAGAAATAAAACAGCAATAAGACGGTCTATCAACACCTTGACTTTCTTTATTTACTGCGCTTATCGAAGTTGACGCCGTAATCAGGCTACTTAATATTTAGTAAAGCCAAGCTGCAGAGTGAGGCGTCTGTCTTAAAACCCTATTACTACTAACCTTCTTTTTCTTCCGCTGGCGTTATCGCCACTGTTCTAAGAATCACTATCACATTGTTGCTGCGGACTTGTTTTCAGATTTTTTGTTGGTGGTCTAGTTGCTGACGCTGGCCAAAACTTTTATTACATTAAAGAAATCTCGGCAGAAAGAAGTCAGAAACTCGCCAGGAGCTGAAAGCTCGGCCTGCAGCGGGACGGGGATCCTGAGCAACCACGGAACAAGGTGAGAGGCCGAGGGGGACCAGAACTCTGAGGGGAACATTTTGGGAGACAGACGCTCCTTCTAAGGGACCCGACTTCAACTCCAATGACACCCTACTCTGGGTGGTTGAGGGATTTCAAGGCCGCTTCGGAAACAGATAAGCCGAATCCCCTACAGCCGAAACCCTCACCCCACCAGCCAACTCACCATGATAAGGAGCTGCACAGCTCCCGCCGGAAGTCGTTCTAGGTGCTCGTGTTTTCCCAGAACGGAAGGGGTGGGACACCAGAGGGCGATTGGTGTAAAGAAGGCATGGAAGGAAGTGCGTGCCCTGGCGTCCGGGTCCTGCCTCCTTCCCGGCGGCCCCTGCACTCCCTGGCGGTAGGCGGCTAGAGTGGCTCCCTCTGAACCCGCTGAGGGATTGGTCGGGACTTCAAGCGTTGAGGCTAAGGGCAAGGCAAGGAGCAATGAGGAGTTTTTCGTTATGTTAGAAAAATTTCGTTGAGTGCTGAGACGCTTTTACATTGTTTTATGATTTAGCCTTAAGAAAACAGTATTCTAGTTTTACAAGTGAGGAAAGAAGAAGATTAAGAAATTTGCCTCGGCTGGACGCCGTGGCTCACTCCTGTAATCCCAGTACTTTCGATGGCGAGGCAGGCGGATCATTTGAGGTCAGGACTTCGAGACCAGCCTTGCCAACATGACGAAACCGCGGCTCTACTAAAAATACAAAAATTAGCCGGGCGTGGCGGCGCGTGCCTGTAGTCCCAGCTACTCGGGAGGCTGAGGCAGGAGGATCGCTTTAACCCAGGAGGCGGAGGTTGCAGTGAGCCGAGATCGCACCACGGCATTCCAGCCTGGGCGACAGAGCGAGACTCCGTCTCAAAAAAAAGAAATTTGACTTGATTCATACATCTAGTTTGCTGTAGTAGCAGAATTTGAACTCGGGCTAATGGTCTACTTATTAAAATACTATTTGAATATTCTAAAATTGATACTATTATAGAAGTAATGTTAATTAGAAAACTTGGAAAATAAACATTAAATTCATTCGATAAAGATTGAATCTGTAGCATGTGTGTTTGTCAGGTACTGGCCTTGTGGAAATTATATTCTGGTAAGAAGCAACAGAAGTAGGGATAAATATTTTTTTTTTTTTTTTTTTTTTAAGACGGGGTTTCACCATGTTGGTCAGGCTGGTCTTAAACTCCCAACCTCAGGCGACCCGCCTGCCTTGGCCTCCAAAGTGCTTGGATTACAGGCATGAGTCACCACGCTCAACCCAGATAAGTAAAATTATTAAAGATGTTTCATATACTCCTTATACACATAGCCTCAGGGTAATTTTATGCAATTTTAAAAAGCGTGTGTGTATCGAACAACATTTTGACTACAATTTTTTTTTTTTGAAGCAGAGTCTCGCTGTGTCGCCAGGCTCCAGGCTGGACTGCAGTGGCGCGATCTCGGCTCCCTGCAACCTCCACCTCCCGCGTTCAAGCAATTCTGCCTCAGCCTCCCGAGTAGCTGGGACTACAGGCGCCCTGCCACCACGCCCGGCTAATTTTTGTAGTTTTTAGTAGAGACAGGGTTTCACCATGTGGCCAGGATGGTCTCGATTTCTTGACCTCATGATCCGCCTGCCTCCACCTCCCAAGGTACTGGGTACAGGCGTGAGCCACTGTGCCCGGCGAACTACAACTTTTCACGTGTGGTCAGGTGAGGAATTTTCCACTGTGGCATCATGTTAATGATCAAAAAGTTTTGATTTTTGGAGTGTTTTAATTTCAGATGGTTGGATTAGGAATGCTAAACATGTGATGCTGTACAGAACATCTGGGTGGGTGTGGTGCTCACACCTGTAATCCCGGCACTTTGGTAGGTCAAGGGGGAAAATCCCTTGAGGTCAGGAGTTGGAGATCACCCTGGGCAATATAGGAAGATCCTATCTCTACAAAAATAATCTAAAAAGAAACAGCAACTGGGTGGCCAATTTAGGATGGTGGTCAGAGAAAACTTCTCTAAGGAGATGACGTTTAATATCTGAATGACAAAAGTCTTTTTGTGAAGATTTTTCCAGGCAGAATGAACAGCTAGTGTAAATACTGTAAGTCAAATTGAACAGGGCATTTTAAGATCTTAAAGAAGGCAGTAAGTCTGGAGTTTTGTGTTTGAGAGGAAGAAATGAAGAGATCTAAGTGCTAGACGGGCCAGATCAAGTAAGCAGGAATTTCTAAATTAGTGGTAAAGTGCTTTTTTTCTTTTTCTTTTTTTTCCTAAGTGAGAAAAGAAGCCAGAGAATGGCTTTAACAAGGAGTGATTTTTACATTTTAAAAAAGATTACTGTGGACTGAGCATGGTGACTCATGCCCAGTCTTTGAAAAGATTAACTAAATCCAAAGCAAGCTAAAGGAAGAAAATCATAATTGGAGAGGAAAGAAAGAGAAAATCAACAAAACCTGAAGTTGGTTCTTTGAAAAGATTAACAAAATTGACAAAACTTTAGCTAGACTCACCAAGAAAAAGAAAAGACAAAATTACTAAAACCAGGAAAAATAGAGAGAAATTACTACTGATCTTTTGGAAATAAGGATTATAAGGGAATACCATAAACAATTGTATGCCAATAAATTAGATAATGAGATGAAATGGACAATTTTTTTTTTTTTTGAGATCGAGCCTCCCTCTGTCATCCAGGTCGGAGTGCAGTGGCACAATCTTGGCTTACTGCTACCTCTGCCTCCTTTGTTCAAGTGATTAAATCTCCTGCCTCAGCCTCTTGAGTAGCTGAGACTACAGGCGCCTGCCACCACACCCAGCTAATTTTTTATTTTTAGTAGAGCCAGGGTTTTATCATGTTGGCCAAGCTGGTCTCGAACTCCTGACCTCAGGTGATCTACCCGCCTTGGCCTCCCAAAATGCTGGAATTATAGGTGTGAGCTACTGCACCCGGCCTGGAGAGGTACCTTTAAACCACATAAATATCACATTCCTCATTATGCTTGTAATTTGTATGTATATATTCATATATTTACATGAACTCATGGTTTATTTCGTCTGATGGGTTATATATAATTACTATAATTATTTATTTTGATACTCACATTTGTCCAGTGGGAACCCTTTTAATCTGTGTGTCATTTCAATGATTCATCCTCATCATTCTTTTGGCACTTTCTTCTTTTCTGGCACAAGATTTTCCAAGCTCATGTATTTTCTCTGCCCCAGCCCTGAATTTAGCCATTTTATCAAGGAGCCTTGGTTCCTTTTTTTATTTTTATTTTTTATTTTCCCCATTTTTTAAGGCACTTGGAACTCTAGATGACAAGTTGGTTCCTTTAGTTGATGTTATAGACTGAATGTTTGTGTCCCTCAAATTCATATGTTGAAGCTTTCACCAGCAATGTGTTGGTGTTTGGCAATTCGGCCTTTGGGAAGTACTTATGGTTAGATGAGGTAATGACGTTGGTACCTTCATGATGGGATTAGTGACTTCTAACAGAGGACACCAGAGAGCTTGTGCTCTCTGCCACATGAGGACATGGTGAGAAGGTGGCCATCTGCATGCCAGGAAGAAAGCTCTCACCAGAAACCAAATTGGCTGGTACTTTGGACTTCCAGGTTTCTAAAACTGTGAGGCTTAAACAACAGAACTTTCTAAATAAATTTAGAAAAACTGTGGGCAGCTTAAACAACAGAAATTTAATTTTTTTCTGTTGTTTAAGCTGCCCAGTCTATGGTATTTTGTAATGCCCCCCAAGCAGACTAAGACAGTGAACTATTTGGAAGGCAAGATAAGGGTACTATATGTGCTCATTACTACTGATAGTAATAACTGCTCCAAGACCACCTTGGTGGACAGACTAGGGAATATATGTATTTGGACACATATACACGTGTATATTTATATGTTTATGTCTATATTTCCTCTATATTTATTATTTATTTAGAGACAGGATCTTGCTCTGTCGCCTGGGCTGGATGCAGTGGCATGATCTCGGCTCACTGCAACCTCTGCCTCCCAGGTTCAACTGATTCTCATACCTCAGCCTCCCAAGTAGGTGGGACTACAGGTGTGCACCACCACACTTGGCTAATTTTTGTATTTTTAGTAGAGATGGGGTTTTGCAATGTTGGCTAGGCTGGTCTCAAACTCCTGACCTCGAGACCTGCCTGCCTCAGCCTCCCAAAGTGTTGGGATTACAGGTGTGAGCCACTGCACCCAGCTGATATTTCATCTATTTTTATAGATTTTAAACCATGAATTCACACTTAAACACAATTCAAGCTGAACTCCAGGTTTCAATCTAGTTTCCCCCTTTCTTCCTTCTTTTTTTTTCTTCCTTTCTTTTTTTTTTTTTGAGGTAGAGTCTTGATGTGTCGCCTAGGCTGGAATGCAGTAGTACAATCTAGGCTCACTGCAACCTCCACCTCCCAGGTTCAAGTGATTCCCCTGCCTCAGCCTCCTGATAGCTGGGACTACAGGCACATGCCACCACGCCCAGCTAGTTTTTTGTATTTCAGTAGAGATGGGGTTTCACCATGTTGGCCAGGATGGTCTTGATCTCCTGACCTCATGATCCACCCACCTCGGCCTCCTTAAGTGCTGGGATTACAGGTGTGAGCCAACGAGCCTGGCCACCACCTTTCTATAATTACCTTCTCTGATGGTGAGAAACCTGGCTTCCACTATGGTTACTATGTTCACTTTATTCAGTCAAGTCTTTAGTATGCAACCAATCTACCATCTCTGCTGACACTCTTACCCCATACAGACACTCCTCTCTGTGCTTGAGCTTATTCCTTATTCCAGGTTGCCCCATCCATCATGTAAATAACTGCCTCACTCTGTCCCTGACACCTCATACCTACTGTCCATCAGGGTAGACACTGTCTTCACCCTATTAGGTCTCTGACACCCAAATTTGGGCTTCCATAGGTCCCCCTCTACCCAATATAAGCACTTTGATCTGAACCATTGTGCAGAAAAGAGTGCCTGAGACTGCCATCCCTAGAAAGGCCTGCTGGCAATGTCGGCCCTTGCCAGGTATCTGGGAACTTGAATTTGAGGAGATTCCTTCTGTTCCCTAAGAAGCTTACTATCCCTAACAGTGAGGCGTAACAGTTTCACAGCTGTCACTTGTTGCTGGAGTGACATCCTGTGTAACTTGACTAGGAGAGAACTCTTAGAAGCTGGTACTTGGTTTCCTCTGAACTTCACTAATTCCCTTTTTTCCCTTTGTTGAATTTGCTTCGTATCCTTTTGCTCTAATAAATCATTGTCAGGAGTAAGACTCTATGCTGAGTCTTGTGAGTGCTCCTAACAAATCATCAAACTTCCACATAGTCTTGAGGGCTCAACGACCTAATGCGTTTAAAACAATAGTTTGGGCAGGGTGCAGTGGCTCATGCCTGTAATCCCAGCACTTTGGGAGGCTGAGGCAGGAAGACCACTTGAGCCCAGGAGTTTGAGACTACAGAGAGGTATGACTGCACCACTGCTGGGATGCAATCAATTCAATTCAAGCAATTCTCCAGCCTGGGGTGACAGAGAGTCTCTAAAAAAACCCCTGACCCCCTGAAAAAAAAATCCCATAACAGTTCAGGAAGGAGGAATGTAAGCAGTTTACTTAGTGACATTACTTTATTGCAGCCCTACCATCCCATTGTTTTGCCTTACTCTTCTTTATTCTGTTTTCCTTTCCTTGATTTCACTTGACCAATGACATAATCCTTAGTAACCCATTTCATCTTCTCTAATGGCTTTTTAGATCTACTGCACTGTTTTTTTCAGTGACGGGGTGAGAGATTACAATCTATCTTATACTAATACTATCACACTTTGTGTACAATGTAATATTATTTCAATATAATTAAATTTATTACCCCTTCTGTCCCTTCATGCTATTTCTGTCCCATATTTTACTTATACATATAAATACTGCAATATTATTTTTGTTTGCTTTAAACAGCAATGATATTTAGAAAAATAAAAAAGGAAAGTGTCTTTCTTATTTACTAACATTTTTATCATTTCAAAGTTCTTAATTCCATTCTGGAGATACAGGTTCCCATTGAGAAATCCATTTACTGATGTCCATCCAATGAAAATTTTAATTTCAGATATTGTTTTTCACTTCAGATTTATATTTTCCTTCAGCTTGAAGAATTTCATAAAGCATTCCATATCATGTCAGTCTACCAGCAACAAATTCTGTTTTCATCTGGAAAATATTTTGTCATAATTTTTTCAAGAGATAGGGACTCACTCTGTCCCCAGGCTGGAGTATACTAGTATTGTCACAGCCCATGCCCAGCTAATTTTATTTTTTGTGTGGGGTCTCACTAGGTTGCTGAGGCTCATCACTCATGGCCTCAAGGGATTCTCCTGCCTCAGCCTCCCAAAGTGTTGGGATTACAGGCATGAGCCATTGAGTCTGGCCATTTCCTTAACATCTTGAAGGATATTTTAACTGGATACAGATTTTTTTTTTTTTTTTTTTTTGAGACAGAGTCTCACTCTGTCACCTAGGCTGGAGTGCAGTGGTACTATCTTGGCTTACTGCAACTTCTGCCTCCTGGTTTCAAGCGATTCTTCTGCCTCAGCCTCCCGAGTAGCTGGGATTACAGACATGCGCCACCATGCCTGGCTAATTTTGTATTTTTAGTAGATGGGGTTTCTCCATGTTGGTCAGGGTAGTCTCGAACTCCTGACCTCAGGTGATCTGCACACTTCAGCATCCCTAAGTGCTGGGATTACAGGTGTGAGCCACCGCAACTGGCCTGGATACAGAGTTTTAAGTTAACCTTTGTTGTTTAATCTTTGCACCTTAAAGCTGTCATTCCATCATTTTCTGAATTCCATCATTTCTGATGTTAGCCATCACTCTTGTTCATCTAATGTAATGCTATTCCTTCCCACTCCCCACCTTGGTTGCTTTTAAGATTTTTTTTTTTTTTTTTTTTGGCAATGTGATGTACTCAGATGTAGTCTTTGTTGTATTTATTCTGCTTGGGGGTTCACTGAACTTCTTAGATCTGTATGTTGGTGTCTTTCAACACTTTGGGGAAAATTTCAGGCATTATTGCTTCAAGATTTCTCTTGCCCTATTCTCTGCCTTTCCTTCTCTGCTTCAAATTACAGGAACTGATAAGGTCCCAAAGGTCTCAAACCTCTGCTGCTTTTTTTTTCCTTTCTGTGCTTTGGTTTGATAACCTACTTGCTTTTTCAGTCTTTCCTCTGTTGTGCCTAGTTTACTGGTAAGTCCGTCCAATGAAATTTTTAATTTCAGATACTTTTTTTTTCATTACAAGACTTTTCATTGGGTTTTATTATTTTTACAATTTTTATTTTTTGAGATGAGGTTTTGCTCATGTTGCCCAGGTTGGAGTGCAACGGCATGCTTGGCTAACTGCAACCTCTACCTCCCAGGTCCAAGTCATTCTCCTGCTTCAGCCTCCCAAGTAGCTGGGATTATCAGCATGCACCACAGTGCTTGGCTAATTTTGTATTTTTAGTAGAGACAGAGTTTCACCATGTTGGTCAGGCTGGTCTCAAACTCCTGACCTTAAGTGATCCACCCACCTCAGCCTCCCAAAGTGCTGGGATTATAGGTGTGAGCCACTGCACCTGGCCTCCACTGGGTTTTTAATTCCTATTTTTCTGCCAAAACTCCCAATCTGTTCACCCATTATCTCTTTTCTTGTAAATTCTTTAAACATATTTTAAAGCTATTTTAAAATCCATCTCATAGAGGTCACTTGTGCATTTGCATCTATGTATTTTCTATTGAGTATGGTACGGACCACATTTTTTTTTTTCCATCAGGGAAGTTGAGTCAAAAGGATCACATAATTTTTCTTTGCATATTTAATACTTGTTTATTATGTACTGAGCTTTGGGGATATGCTGTGGTGACTCTGAATTGTTTTCTTCTTAAAAATATTGTTTTGTTCTAGTTTTAAATTACTAATGGATAACTTTGATGCTGTGAGATTTTAAGCTTCGTTACAGTGAGTTTCTTTCCATTTTGTCCTTAGTGCTGAAGCACAGCCTTTTGTTATTGGATGCTTTAATTCTTCCTTAAGGAATGATATTTTGGGGGTTCATTGTGAAACACCAAGTATTTACTCAGTCCTTTTTTTTTTTCTTAAGATGGAGTCTTGCTCTGTCTCCAGGCTGGAGGGCAGTGGTGTAGTCTCGGCTCATTGCAACCTCCGACTCCTGAGTTCAAGTGATCCTTCTGCCTCTGCCTCCTGAGTAGCTGGGACTTCAGGCGTGTGCCCAGCTAATTTTTGTATGTTTAGTAGAGAGGGGGTTTTCCCATGTTGGCCAGGATGGTCTCGATATCTTCACCTTGTGATCCGCCCACCTCAGCCTCCCAAAGTGCTGGGATTACAGGCATGAGCCACCGTGCCAGCTACTCAGTCCTTCTTAGTGGAATTTGAATTTCAAACTGTTTGTCCTTGAGCAGCTGCAATCTCTGCTGAATTCTTTAGACTTTAACTTGCTTTCTGCTGGGTTCCTTTAAATAATCACACTGCACAAGCACAATTTGGGAATCCACCAAGGATTTGGAAGGAATATGTAGGCAGATTTTAGGGCTTACTCTCTGAGGTACTCTCCTTCCCAAAATTTCTAATTTTCAGGTGTTCTAGAAGTCCCAAATGACTCCTCAGCCCATCAAGACTACCACATTAGACTTGAATTCTATCCCCAAGTAAACGGCACAAACTGGAATTACCCTATGGGTAAAAGCTGGTTAAGGTGAATCTCTTATTTTTTGAGACAGGGTCTCTGTAACCTGCGCTGGAGTGCAGTGGCGTGATTTTGGCTCACTGCAGCCTCCTCCTCCCGGGCTCAAGCAGTCCTCCAACCACAGCCTCCTGAGTAGCTGGGACTATAGGCATGGGCCACCAAACCTGGCTAATTTTTAGGTTTTTTGTTTGTTTGTTTTTTCCTGCAGAAAACAGGTCTCCCTATATCTCCCAGCCTGATCTCAAATTCCTGGGCATAAGCGATTCTCCCATATTGGCCTCCCAAAGTGCTGGGTTTACAGGCATGAGCCACCACACCCAGCCTGAATCTTTTCCAACACAGACTCTGCAGTTTCTGCCTTGTTTTGATTGCTCTGCAAAGCTGCCTAATCATTGCTTTCTATATTTTGTTAAGAGTTTATAACTGTTACTGACAAGAGAGTTAGTCCAATATACACACTCCTTATCAGTTTACAACCCCTAAAACATCAAAAAGTTTTAAAGTAAAAAAGTAAAGGCAAAATTAAGTTTATCATTTATTTCCAATACATTAGGATAAAACCCCACTTTATGCAGCCGTACCCTTTAATTCATTTCTTCTGAAGAAAAGTACAAAAGACCAGACTAAAATTGAGACAAACATTGAAAGGAAAATCCTTTGACTCAGAATCCAAAACGAAACTGTAAATGGTTCGTTTTACCAAAAGAATTAGCTTTTGTACAAAATATAAAGAATTCTACACTATAAACAAAGACTGCTATATATGTACTTCAATTAGAATTCTAGTATCTGCTTTTCCTCTAATTCTTCTGGAGCACAAAGCATATTTGCAATTCAGAAATCTAATAATCTCAATGGACAGACAATCTCAGAATAAGCTTTTACCCTTAAGAGACCTGGAAAGATAGTACTCATTCTTTCCCTTGGCTTAAACTCCAATATATCAGTAAGTTTTAATTTAGTTTACAAAACTCTGCCATATTAACATGAAGAGCACACTAATGCTTAATGTTTAAGCATTATCTTTTAGGAAGTAATAGAACACAGAGCTCAACACCGAATCTAAAAGGTCACAATCTAAGTCAGTATTAATTCAGAAAACCTCAACAACTTCTATCTTTATTGAAAAAGACCAAACCAATCCCTTATCTCCTCCTATTCTGTTTTCATGGCCCTTCTATGAAAGAAACAGCTTAAAATAAAACTTGGTTAAAGCAAGTCATAGAAAATAGTTCTCTAGCACTAGCTGAACTTCAGACTTGATCAGGAAAGCAACTTCTATACAGTAATGATTTTCTGACTCAATGTTTATGATAGTATAAACCTGAATTTTATCTCTTTTAACATTTGAAATCTTTGCTATCTAAAAAATTTTCCCAGCTGGACGTGGTGACTCATGCCTGTAATCTCGGCACTTTGGGAGGCCATGGTGGGTGGATCACCTGAGGTTAGGAGTTCGAGACCAGTCTAGTCTGACCAACATGGAGAAACCTCATCTCTACTAAAAATACAAAATTAGCTGGGCATGGTGGCACATGCCTGTAATCCCAGTTACTGGGGAGCCTGAGACAGGAGAATTGCTTGAACCTGGGAGGCAGAGGTTGCAGTGAGCCGTGATTGCAGCACTGCACTCCAGCTTGGGTAACAAGAGCGAAACTCCGTCTCAAAAACAAACAAACAAAAAACAAAAAGAAAAACTTTCCCAAAAGAATGATAATCTTCATGATAATTTTAAAGGATACAATATATTAAAAGTTGAGCTGGAACCATATAGTCTTTTAATATGATTAGTTATCCAGGTATCAATAATGTTAATCCCCTTTTAAATGAAAATATTTTTTAAAAACTTTTGTTTTTATTTTTAATTTAATTATTTTAAATAAAAATTTTCCATCACTCCCTACCAATGTGGGTTTTTTTTTTTTTTTTTTTTTGAGACCGAGTCTCGCAGTGTCACCCAGGCTAGAGTGCAGTGGCACGATCTCAGCTCACTGCAACCTCCACCTCCCAAGTTCAAGCAATTCCCCTGCCTCAGCCTCTCGAGTAGCTGGGATTACAGGCATGTGCCACCACGCCTGACTAAATTTTTGTATTTTTAGTAGAGATGGGGTTTCACCATGTTGGCCAGGCTGGTCTCAAACGCCTGACCTCGTGATCCTCCTGTTTCGGCCTCCCAAGGATAAAATGAAATTTTATGAGCTTAACTGAAATGTCTTCATTTAGAATTTCTCAATCCTTTTGATCATAAGTATTTCATTACTACCTTTCAATATTAATAATTTATAATTGATGCTGTAACATTTGAGACCTTAAAAGGATACTACCCATCATCTAAAATATGCATAGCTCTGGCTTAAAAAATTTTTTTTCCCTATTTATCTCAACTCTCACTTTTATTCAGGGAGTTCCAAAGTCATGATGAGAAGAGACATGATTTAACTTATGGCTACAAACAGCATATGATCCTAAGAAATCATGCATCTTCTATATTCAGACAAATCTTTAAAAAGAACAAGAGTAAAATTAAGAAGAATGTATGTCTTCATTATAAAGTTCTTACCTAGTAGGGACAAGATTTTATTTTAATATACTCTTTCAAAATCTAAGAAATCTTTCCTAAATGAAAAATTTTTGTTACTACTACAAATACTCTTTCTACCCATGACATTTTACATAGCATCATTTAAGCACCAGAGAAAAGTTCTGTAAACAAACTTTTAACCAGTAAACTAAGGGCAAATATCTATTTGCCTTTATTACAATATTTAAAAGGCCATGATATGAGTCTCTACTCCCTACAATGACATTTTTATAATAAAAATCCAGGCGTATTTATACAAACGAGAAACAGAATTACTGTACATTTTGGGAGAACAAAAGGCAGATCGGACTAGAACTAGAACTTTTGAGTTAATAGAGCAAGCACGGGGAACCTAGAAAAATGTATGCCATGTATAAAATTTCAGTTAAAAGTTTCATTCAAGGGATTAATAATTATCAAGAATAAAAGGTGGTAGTTTCACTAGCTTATAATTATCCTGTAAACATTAGGAAAGTAATAAGCAATAAATTAGAAATATCTTAGTTCCTAGTATTTCCCTTCTCTTGCACTGGCAACATTTTCATAGCCGTTAAAATTGGCTCTCTTAAATATCAGAATAATTCTTTCAGAAAATAAATACCATCAGGAAGAAGTTAATGGTCTACAATAGATTTCTGACAAATACATTAAAAAAAAAACTGCAGGTCACATGAGGACTGATCTACATGTTTTATGACAGAGTAACTCAAACCTTCAAACCTCTATTCTACCAGATTTGCTTTGTTGCTATTGTATTGCTATCTAAATTGTTTGGTAGCAAGGTAATAGAAAAATAAAAGGTAAAAAGAACACAACAATTGTTTAATGTCTATAGATTTATGAAGAAGGAACTCTCAAAATAAACTTTTTCCTATTATGGTTACTTAGGAAAAAAGTTTCATTTGGCACACTGAATTTATAAAAAAAAAAAGAAAATAAATTTAAGAGTGTTTGGTATTCCAATCACCCACAGTTAAGACAACAATAGGAAAGAAAAGTAGGAGAAATTAATATTTTAAGAAAAAAACATCAGAAGACAAACAACCAAAGGTTCTTGTGTCTTCTACCATTCACTGTCTCTGGAATACTTTCATCTGCAACACACAATATACAAATGATTATTTACATTATGATTATATTGGTAAAGAAGACCAGAATCAGTTTTTGTTGTGCTCTAACTTACAATGTCCATTGGGATAACAGTGACCATCAAGGCAAGGCCTTAAACAACAAAAAATTCCATTTGCATTGTGTATTTTGTTAAAGTTTGTTTTCTGGTTCATCTTCAAGTTTGGTGCACAAATATTTAAGACTCTGAAAAGTCCTGTAAACTTAGGCTGTTTCTGTAGCTGATGACTGTTCGTTGAAGATCTTGTGTTTCTTTTTTGTTAAGTGAAATGTTCTGCAGGTTTACAAAGGTATTTCCTTAAACAGTGGTATCTCCAAAGTCCTTGTTCCAACGTATGTACGCTTCTAAAGTCTGAGGGCTGACGCTGCGTTTTATCTTTTTCAAGGATTCAGTGAAGTCAGATAATCGAATATTTCTCATCTAGATTTTTAAAAAACACATGACAATACAAATGATGAACAGGTATATAGTGGTTAACAAAATAATAGATTAAAGTAATGGTGCTGCTGTTTAATAATGTTACAAAAATTTGCATATGTATTCTTAGAAAATTATGTCAGCCATTTAAATATATTTTTTATGCTGATCTGCTATATGAGAAACCTTATCAAATGCTATACTAATATACTTATTACTTGTGTTTAGTTTCATAGGTGTAACATTTGAAAACACAGTATTTTTCCAATATAAAAACAAAACACACTCATTATAGAAAAGTTCACAAAATAGAGACAAAGACAAAAAAAGAATCACAATTTCACCACTCAAGATATGCAACCTCCACCTCGCAGGTTCAAGCCATTCTCCTGCCTCAGCCTCCTGAGTAGCTGGAATTACAGGTGCATGCCACTATGCCCAGCCAATTTTTGTATTTTTAGTAGAGATAGGGTTTCACCATGATGGCCAGGCTGGTCTCAAACTCCTAACCTCAGGTGATCTGCCCACCTCGGCCTCCCAAAATGCTGGGATTATGGACGTGAGCCACTGTGCCCCAGCCTAAAGTATGCATTTTTCTATTAATTTGGTCTGATCTTCTGACATTTTAAATAGCCTTTAGAAATACAGATTAAAAGAATGCTGAGTTAATGAATATCTATATTAATACCTAAGTACTTTTTTTTTTTTTTTTGAGATGAAGTTTCGCTCTTGTTACCCAGGCTGGAGTGCAATGGCACGATCTCGGCTCACTGCAACCTCCGCCTCCTGGGTTCAGGCAATTCTCCTGCCTCTGCCTCCTGAGTAGCTGGGATTACAGGCATGTGCCACCATGCCCAGCTAATTTTTTGTATTTTTAGTAGAGATGGGGTTTCACCATATTGACCAGGATGGTCTCGATCTCTTGACCTCGTGATCCACCCACCTCATCCTCCCAAAGTGCTGGGATTACAGGCGTGAGCCACTGCGCCCGGCCCTAAGTACTTTTAAAAGGCAAAATGGATAGGTTCAAAGAGTCCAGGAAATAGAAAAATAAAAATTTTGGCCAGATGCAGTGGCTTACACCTATAATTCCAGCACTTTGCTAGGCTGAGGTCAAGAGTTCTAGACCAGCCTAGCCAACATGGTGAAACTCTGTCTCTACTAAAAATATAAAAATCAGGTGTGGTGTCAGGTGCAATCCTAGCTACTTGGGATGCTGAGGCAGGAGAATCTCTTGAACCTGGGAGGCGGAGGTTGCAGTGAGCCAAGATTGCACCATTTCACTCCAGCATGGGCAACGTGTGAGACTCCCTCTCAAAAAAAAAAAAATTTTTTTAAGGCAAAATGAAGTTTGGCACAAATGACCTATGTTAAAAATCATTACTACTGTACACCTTTATTTTGGCCCAAAAATAAGAAGCTGAAGAACTTTAAACAAAATTTCAACCTGACATTTTATCCATATTTTTAAAATTACTATTAAAAACCCAATCTAACTTCGAATCATCTTTGATATCTCCATGAACATAGATAAAGAAAATACTTGCAACTTGTAAACTAATATGAAAAACTTTAGCCAAAAAGAAAAAAATATATAGTTAAAATATAGACTGGTGCCATGACTCACACCTGTAATCCCAGAACTTTGGGAGGCTGAGGCGAGTGGATCACTTGAGTCCAGGAGTTCAAGACTAGCCTTGGCAACATGGCAAAGCCTCATCTCTACAAAATATACAAAAATTAGCTGGGCATGGTGGGGCACACTTGTAAGTGTCAGCTACTAGGGAAGCTGAGGTGGGAAGATTGCTTGAGTCTGGGTGACTAGAGTGAGACCCTGTCTCAAAAAAACAAAAACAAAAAAATACCCAACAACCTTCACTCCCCAAGAAAGCCCCAAAAACACTATATGAACCCTACTTGTTTCCTATTTAACTGTAAAACACACACTGGCTCTTCCTAAAGGCCAAAGAATAGAAGAATGATGAATGTAATAAGGGTATTAAGCATATTATTAAATAAAATTTATTTGTTATAGAAATTAAAGTTTTTGTTTTGAGACAGCATCTCACTGTCACCCAGGCTGGAGTGCAGTGGCATGATTTCGGCTCACTGCAACCTCTGCCTCCTGGGCTGAAGCAATCCTCCCACCTCAGCCTTCCAAGTAGCTAGGACTATAGGTGTGTGCCACCATGCCCAGCTAACTTTTTGTAATTTTTGTAGAGATGGGGTTTCACCATGTTGTCCAGGCTGGTCTTGAACTCCTGAGCTCAAGGAATCCAATTGCCTTGGCCTCCCAAAGTGCTGGGATTACAGGCATGAACCATATCTGGCCAGAAATTAAGGTTTTAAAAGTTGATGATGTAATTCTAATTTAAGTGTACATTTTGGTATATGTATATATATGAAATTTATATGGTATTTTAAGGTAAGAGACTAATGTATACAACAGGGGGAAAAAAGCAGCTGGTAGCTACTTCAGTTAAGGGGGGAAATATATAGCAAAGTTGTCTTATAAAAACAAAATAATAAAGGAATTAATAAAGTTAAATCAGATACACACTATACTTAAAAAACAAAGTACCCCAATTTATAACCAACAATTTTAGTACAAACCCTTAAAAATACAGAAATTCCAAACCAATTATTTGAACTTCTACAATTATAAACTGTAGAAGATAAGTTGGGTTTTTCTTTTTTTTTTTTTTTTGAGATGGAGTCTTGCTCTGTCACCCAGGCTGGAGTGTAGTGGCACAATCTTGGCTTACTGCAACTCCTGCCTCCCAAGTTCAAGTCATTCTCCTGCCTCAGCCTCCCGAGTAGCTGGGACTACAGGTGCCCGCTACCATGCCTGGCTAATTTTTGTGTTTTTAGTAGATATGGGGTTTCCCCATATTGGCCAGGTTGGTCTCGAACTCCTGACCTTGTGATCCACCTGCCTTGGCCTCCCAAAGTGCTGGGATTACAGGCATGAGCCACCACGCCCAGCCAAGTTGGGTTTTCTTATCTAAATTTGTATATATTCCCTGGTACCTGGCAATACACTTTGGTATTAAAGTTGCATCAAATAATGGGTATATAAAATTCCAGTATACATGTTTAGAGAGCAAATTACTTGTGTTTACCTCTTATCCCATAAATGGGAATGAAAGTTACCTTGATCTTTATAATAAAATGCCACTGTCAGTTTTATATTTTTTTTAAGTTATTTAATGGATTTTTACATAGTGTTTACTATGTGCCAGCTAATTTAAGTGCTTTATAAATATTAACTCGTAAGTACAGAATAACAGCTAAAGGTCATTATCAAGTTATTAATAATAGAACTACTAGATTAAAAAGAAACAACTGAATGAAATTATACAGTAAGGCTGGGCGCAGTGGCTCAAGCCTATAATCCCAGCACTTTGGGAGGCCAAGGCGGATGGATCACGAGGTCAAGAGATCGAGACCATCCTGGTCAACATGGTGTACCCCGTCTCTACTAAAAATACAAAAAATTAGCTGGGCATGGTGGCACATGCCCGTAATCCCAGCTACTCAGGAGGCTGAGGCAGGAGAATTGCCTGAACCCAGGAGGTGGAGGGTGCGGTGACCCGAGATTGCACCACTGCACACCAGCCTGGGTAACAAGAGCGAAACTCTGTCTCAAAAAAAAAAAAAGAAAGTATACAGTAAAACCAAAAATTATAACAGTATAACCTGAATATATATAATTAATGGGACTGTTACAAAAGGTACCAGTAATATTCTTCCTTGTAAATCATTCAGTAGTTTTTAAAGCTTTAATTTTTAGTTTTACCATCTAAATTTTTAATAAAGAATGTTATGACTTTTAAAAAGGCTGGGTATGGTGGCTCACACCTGTAATCCCAGCACTTTGGGAGGCCAAAGCGGGTGGATCACCTGAGGTCGAGAGTTCGAGACCAACCTGATCAACATAGAAAAACCGTGTCTCTACTAAAAATACAAAAATTGGCCAGGCGTGGTAGTGCATGCCTGTAATCCCAGCTACTTGGGAGGCTGAGGCCGAAGAATTGCTTGAACCCGGGAGATGGATGTTGCAGTGACCTGAGATTGCAGCTTTGCACTCCACCCTGGGCAACAAGAGCAAGACGCCATCTCAACAACAACATTAATAACAAAAATGGTGGATACAATTATATTTTTATGTGTGGGATTAAAAATTTTCAAGCCTGGCACAGTGGCTCACACCTGTAACGCCAGTACATTGGTAGGTTGAAGTGGGAGGACTGCTTGAGGCCAGGAATTTGAGACCAGCCTGGGTAACAGAGTGAGACCCCATCTCTACATGAAATTTAAAAAATTTTCTGTGTGGTGGTGCATGCCGGTAGTCCCAGTTACTTAAAAGGCTGAGGCAGGAGGATCAATTGAGCCCAGGAGTTCGAGGGTGCAGTGAGCTATGATTGCACGACTGCACTCCAGCCTGGGTGACCAAGTGAGACACTATCCCAAAAACTAAACTAAATTAATAAGATAAAGGTTAGAAAACTAAAAGCTTTCTTAAAAAAAAATTCAGGTAGGATGCCTCATCTGACAGGAGTCTAAAAGCTTGGGGAAAAAAAGACTCCAAAATGTACTTGAATACACTCATTATCTATACAGTTCACTGTCAGCCTCAACAGCTGCTGAAATTAGGGAAATAAAAAACAAGTTACAAATATACAGCTGTCCCTCAGTATCTCTCGGAAATTGGTTCCAGGACCCCCATAGATAGCAAAATCCATAAACGCCTAAAGTCCCTTATATAAAATGGTGTACTATTTGCATATAACCGACATATGTGTATACTTTAAATCATCTCTAGATTACCTGTAATACCTAATACAATATAAATGCAATGTGAATAGTTGTTGTTGTTGTTGTTGTTGTGTGTGTGTGTGTGTGTGTGTGTGTGTGTAAAATGGAGTCTTGCTCTGTCACCAGGCTGGAGTGTAGTGGTACAATATTGGCTCACTGCAACCTCTGCCTCCCAGGTTCAAGCACTCTCCTGCCTCACCCTCCCGAGTAGTTGGGATTACAGGCATGTGCCACCATGCCCAGCTAACGTTTTTTGTATTTTTAGTAGAGACGGGGGTTTCACCATGTTGGCCAGGATGGTCTTGATCTCTTGACCTCGTGATCAGCCCGGCTCAGCCTCCCAAAGTACTGGGGATTACAGGCATGAGCCACCACACCCAGCCAATAGTTTTGATACTATATTGTTTAGGGAATAATGATAAGAATAAAAGTCTGTACATGTTCAACACAGATGATTTTTTTCCCCTCAAGTATTTTTGATCTGCAGTTGGTTGAATTCACGAATGCAGGATCCACAGATAGGAAGGGCTGACTGTAATTCAAGCTGGATTTTAAAAGTTTGCTGACATAGTTATGACCATTCTGCAGACCCAATTTTATATCTTGCATGCAACGTTTTTTCACATGAAATGCTTCAGCATCTCATAAGGGGATTTTCCATATTAAGAAAAGGTAATCAATTGGTCAGGAGTTTGAGACCCGCCTGGCCAACCCCTCTACTAAAAATATATTTAAAAAAAAGAATTAGCTGAGTATGGTAGCATGTGCCTATAATCACAGCTACCTGGGAGGCTGAGGCAGAAGACTTGCTTGAACCTGGGAGGCAGAAGCTGCAGTAAGCCAAGATTGCACCACTGCACTCCAGCCTGGGAGAAAGAGTGAGAGTCCTCAAAAAAAAAAAAAAAAAAAAAAAAAAAAGGCTAGGTGTGGTGGCTCACACCTGTAATCCCAGTACTTTGAGAGGCTGAGACAGGTGGATCACAAGATCAGGAGTTCAAGAGCAGCCTGGCCACGATGGTGAAACCTTGTCTCTATTAAAAATACAAAAATTAGCCAGGCATTGTGGCAGGCATCTATAATCCCAGCTACTCGGGAGACTGAGGCAGGGAACTGCTTGAACCCAGGAAACAAAGGTTGCAGTGTCGTGCCACTGGGCAACAGAGTAAGACTCCACCTCAAAAATAAATAAATAAAATAAAGGTAATAAATTATATTACAATGGTAATTGTATTGCTTTTAAAGAAGAAAAAAAGATTACTGAAAAACAAAATAGAACATTATTAAGTTTAACCTATAGTTATATGTTATTTTTATAATGTATAAAAATCCTCAAAATTCATATACTTCTTTTTTTTTTTTTGAGACGGAGTCTCATTGTGTCACCCAGGCTGGAGAGCAATGGCCCATTCTTGGCTCACTGCAACCTCTGCCTCCTAAGTTCAAGTGATTCTTCCGCCTTGCCTCTTGAGTAGCCAGGACCACAGGGATGCGCCACCATGCCCAGCTAATTTTTTTTTTATTTTTGATAGAGACAGGGATTCGCCATCTTGGGCTGGCTGGTCTTGAACTCCTGACCTCAAGTGATCTGCCCGCCTTGACCTCCCAAAGTTCTGGGATTACAGGTGTAAGCCACCACATCCGGCCCATAATTTTCTTTTGTTCAGTATTTACATAATATGATTTGGTAGAAAAGGACTTAATGACTATGTATGTATGTTTTGGCCATTACCAAAGAAAAATTTGAGACTAATTTCATAGGCTCTCATATTTTGAAATGAAGCGAAGTTCATTTTTTCTAGCTTCTAATCAACTAAACTAGAAAAATCCATTTAAAAAAAAATTAGCCCCCAGCACTCTGAGAGGCTGAGGCAGGAGGATTACTTGAGGCCAAGAGTCTGAGGCTATGCTGGGCAACAGGACAAGACCTCATCTCTACAGAAAATTTAAAAATTAGTGGGACATTGTGACACTTACCTATAGTCCCAGCTACTGCAGAGTTTGAGGCAAGAGGAGTGCTTGAGACCAAGAGGTCAAGGCTACAGTCAGCCACAATTATACCACTGCACTCCAGCCTGGGAACAAAGCAAGACCCTGTGTCTCAAAAAAAAAAAAAACCATCAGATGTGGTGGCTCAGGCCTGTAATTCCAGCACTTTGGGAGGCTGTGTTTGGTGGATCACTTGAGGTCAGGAGTTCAAGACCAGATTGGCCAACATGGTGAAACACCCTCTCTACTAAAAATACAACAATTAGTTGGTGTGGTGGTGCACGCCTGTAGTCCCAGCTACTTGGGAGGCTGAGGCAGGAGAATAGCTTGAATCTAGGAGGTGGAGGGTGCAGTGAGCTGACATGGAGCCAGACTCAGTCTCAAAAAAAAAAAAAATTGCGTGCGCGCACGCGCGCGCACACACACACACACACACTCTCTCTCTCTCTCATATGTATATGTCTTATAATATAGAGGACCAAAACAAAGAAAAAAATCATTGTAAAATACTATACCTCACTGGCAGACATATTCTTCACCTGTTCTGGTTTCAGTTCTGTAAAATATAAAAGTCAGGCACTTAAAAATACATACATTTTGCAGTTTAAATTGTTGAAAGGCAAAACCAAGTACAATGATCTAAATGGACCTATTCAGTACAAATCATTAAGAGAGACACGTTAACTTTGAGAGCACATACAATTTATAAATGCTTAGAAGAGAACATCCCTTCTTTAGGAATAACTGGAAAATGTTCAATTTCTTGCATATTGCTCATGAACAATAAATAGTTTACAAATGTGAAAGGGAACTTAAAAGAATGCAACTTGTTCTTTACAAAATTCATTAGTCTTTTTCGTTTTTACTCTGTACTTTATTTTTTTTTTTGAGACAAGAGTTGCACTCTTTTGCCCAGGCTGGAGTGCCATGGCATAATGTCAGCTTACTCCAGGGTTCAAACGAATTCTCCTGCCTCAGACTCCTGAATAGCTGGGATTACATGCGCACGCAACCACACCCAGCTAATTTTTGTATTTTCAATAGAGGTGCAGTTTCATCATATTGAACAAACTGGTCTCAAACTCCTGACCTCGTGATCCGCCCACCTCAGCCTCCCAAAGTGCTGGGATTACAGGCGTGAGCCATCACAGCTGGCCTATTTATTTACTTTTTAAGATAGTACCTCACTCTGTCACCCAGGCTGGAGTGCAGTGGTATGACCATGGTTCACTGCTGCCTGGACCTTTCAGGCTCAAGTGATCCTCCCATTTCAGCCTTCAGAGTAGTTGAGAATACAGGAGCATGCCAACAGGCCCAGTTAATTTATTTTACTTTTTTTGTAGAGATAGTCTCTCCCTATGTTGCCCAGTCTAGTCTTCAACTCTTAGGCTCACACGATCCTCCCACTTGGCCTCCAAAAGTGCTGGGATTATAGGCGTTAGCCACTGCACCCAACCATTTTCTGTACGTTAATGGATGCGAATCATTTTTAACCCCAAATTTTATCTGCCTCAGAATAGCCAAAATGTTCTAAAAAAATACGCATTGGCTACTATTTCTGAGTCAACTATCTGAACAGGATTTAAGCTCTGGCAACAAGAAAATTTGTTTATCCAGAGTTTCAAAATATACTATCAAGATTTAATTTTTTTTTTTTGACTGTCTTTGTATGCAGTATTTATTTCAAATGTTTGTTAAAACACCATTGTTATTTCTCAGGACAAGAACAAAGATCACCCCCTGGAGCTTAGGAACTTTGTACAGAACTTTACAGAACAGAGGCAATACTTTAGCTTAAACCTATCTGCTGATGAGAGAATGGAATTCTGCGTGGACTCAAGGAACAAAAGGAAACTAGGCAGGGATAAGGAAAAGGAAAGTGCCCATCTGAATCAAACTTCAGCTGCCATCAGGGCACATCTTGTGATGGTCACAGATTATAGGCTGTTTTTTGGAAGGTTCAGGTTCAGCACAGGATTCCATTTGTCTACTTGGCTACACCCCTGGCTGAGGTGCCATGAGGTCAATGTCACTCAAGAGTCTGGCCAGCCAAACTCCCGCAGCAGAGAGTCCCAAATTGAGGATCAAGTTCCTCCGGAAGTCATTCCTATCAGTGGCAAAGCAGTAGACGCCCCGAAGCCAATCTCCCACGTTGTCTGGTATTTCGGGGGTTTCATTAGCAGAGCCGGTAGCGCTCACCGGGACCCCGCTGGAAGCCATAATTGGAAGCTTCCAAGATTTCATTTTTTATTTTGCAAAGTAACAGTTATTTATTTATTTATTTATTTACTTACTTACTTATTTTGAGATGGAGTTTTGCTCTTGTTACCCAGGGTGGAGAGCAATGGCGTGATCTCGGCTCACCGCAACCTCCCCCTCCTGGGTTCAGGCAATTCTCCTGCCTCAGCCTCCCGAGGAGCTGGGATTACAGGCACACGCCACCATGCCCAGCTAATTTTTTATATTTTTAGTAGAGAAGAGGTTTCACCATATTGACCTGGATGGTCTCGATCTCTCGACCTTGTGACCCACCCACCTCGGCTTCCCAAAGTGCTGGGATTACAGGCTTGAGCCACCGTGCCCGACCCAAAGTAACAGTTCCTAATCACTACCCTGTTTCACGATGGGAGGTGTTACTGGTAATTTTTAACCAGTAAAACCAAAGGGTTTTATGTAATGTAGGCTTTTAATGCAAATTACAGTAGACACTATGATAATATGTTTCTCATAAAACTATGTTTAATTAATTGTATTTTCTTGAATGAGAGAAAAGAGATGGAGCTGTAACTAGTGCTCTGGAGTTGCATGTTCTAAGTTTATTTTATCATCATAGCTAATAATCTGTGTGCATACCTGAGAGCATCAACCATCTACACGCTGGCTGTGAAAAAGTAGCTGAAAATATCTATATAAGTTTATCCTGATCTAACCTAAAAATAATCAGTCATGGTATTTTGGAATCAACAAACTTGAATAAAAACATAGGAATAAATATTTTGCTGCACTTCTGCAAAAGACATAAAATGGTAAAAACTTATATAATTTCCTTTTAGACACATTAATTTCAAATGATGTCAGAATATTGAAAAGAACCAGAAAACAGATAAGAACATTTTTCTTTTTTTTTTTTAATTATTTATTTATTTATTAATTAAGACGGAGTTTCACTCTTGTTACCCAGGCTGGAGTGCAATGGCGCAATCTCGGCTTACCGCAACCTCTGCCTCCCGGGTTCAGGCAATTCTCCTGCCTTAGCCTCCTGAGTAGCTGGGATTACAGGCACCCGCCACCATGCCCAGCTAATTTTTTGTATTTTTAGTAGAGATGGGGTTTCACCATGTTGACCCCCATAGTCTCGATCTCTTGACCTTGTGATCCACCTGCCTCGGCCTCCCAAAGTGCTGGGATTACAGGCTTGAGCCACTGTGCCCAGCCATTTTTCTTATATTACTCTTTTTTGTTTAAAAATTTTCTTTTTCTTTGAGTTTTCCATTGCTTACTATTATCAAAAAGTGAAATCTCTTGCCTAGAACAGGGGTCAAAGACTATTTTTGTATGATTTGTGAGCTAAGAATGGTTTTAAGGCTGGGCATGGTGGCTCATGCCTGTAATCCCAGCACTTTGGGAGGCCAAAGCAGGTGGATCGCTTAAGCCCAGAGTTCAAGACCAGCTTGGGCAACATGGTGAAACCTCATCTCTACAAAAAAAATAAAATAATAAGCCAGGCATGATGGTGTATGCCTGTAGTCCCAGCTACCAGGAAGGCTGAGGTGAGAGGATCACCTGAGCCTGGAGGGTTTGAGGCTGCAGTGAACTATGTTGTGTTAGTGCACTACAGCCTGGGCAACAGAGTGAGACCCTGCCTCCAAAAGAAAAAAAAAAAAAAATATATATATATATATATATTTATGCGTATACGTATATATATATATGGGGGGGTTAGACTTTTTTGGACTTCTTAAACTTCTAAAGTGGTATAATAAATAGTTCTAAATGTTTCAAGCTCTTGTACACCTACCTCTGATAGGACCCAGTGCTGCATCTTTTGCCAAGGCTGTTAGGTCACTTCCTGAGTATCCATCAGTCATTCTGAGGAGGGGAAGGAAGAAACAGCAAGTTAGTTCCGTTTTTTTTTTTTTTTTTTTGAGATGGAGTTTTGCTCTTGTCGTCCAGGCTGGAGTACAATGGCATGATCTTGGCTCACTGCAATCTCCACCTCCCAGGTTCAAGCGATTCTCCTGCCTTAGCCTCCCAAGTAGCTGGGATTACAGGCATACACCACCACACCTAATTTTTTTTTTAATTTAGTAGAGATGTGGTTTTACCATGTTGGCCAGACTGGTCTCAAACTCCTGACCTTAGGTGATCCACCCACCTCCCAAAGTGCTGGGATAACAGGCATGAGCCACCATGACCAGCCAAAACAGCAAATTATATTTTAATCTCTGCAGATTTAAAATCTCCATATAATAAGAAGGTAAAAACTAGTTTCCCTTTGTCAGCAAGCCTATAGTTTTGTGGTTTGATTTTAAGGGAACAAAAAGGCCCATTTGTTGAAACAACTGCTAGTTCCCTGTAATGCCTCGACGTTTAATCATTAGAACCATCCCTTTAGAGTAAGGCATACTATCTCCAGAGGCTTCATTAAATTGTAAATATGTCACCTGGAAAGGTAACATCTACAAACTGTTGGTGCCAACTGACACATAAACACAATTACTTCTCTAGTGTTTATCTTGGCAAAGAGAAGTCTCTTGTTGGGATAAGGGACAATCAAAGTAGATTTCTTTAAATATGGGGACAGACAGAAAGGTCTGGAAAAGAAGATATTTCCAAGTTATTTGTTCTTTTGTTACAGGTATCTGGGAACTCAGAGTTCTTGTTAAAATTATTCAGTACTCATATACTTGCTGAATATTTTAAATTACTTTACGACATTTTTTAGGGAATAAAATTCATGAGTGCATCTCCTATACTTAGTTTCTGTTTTACCACACTGCTCATAAAGTTCAAGGTGTGAAAGACAAAAACTATTCAGTGTAATGCAAAAGAATAAGTTTATGTAAAAATATCTGTGTTAGTGTGAGCAGATGTGAAATGTTTCAAATTTTTTTTGAGACAGGGTCTCACTATGTCGCTCAACCTCCACCTCCAGGGCCTAAGGAATCCTCCCACCTCAGCCTCCCAAGTAGCTGGAACTACAGATGTGTGCCACCATTCCTGATTCATTTTATTTTTTTGTAGAGATGGGGGTTCACCATGCTGCCTAGGCTGTAAATGTTTAAATAACTTTAATACCACTTATAGGTTTTAATAAATTTATAAAAAGAATATAACATCATTAGATATTTAGGTCATGTCTTGCAGAGGACATAGTAAGAAAAATTAGATTCCATAATATATATTCATATATATATATATGAGTATATATATATATATATATATATATGAATAAGGCAAAGGATGTAAAGGATGAGACAAAAAGTTTTCTGATAAAAGAATTACTCTTTCATACTTAAGATTACTTTAAATAACTAAAAAAAGAATTATTCGCAATAAATAAATAAAAGGTGTAACATAAACCAAATCCAAATTACTCACCTAGCAAGTTGTGCTAATTCTTTTTGGGTCAATGGGCTTCCTTGTTTACATAACAGATTTTTAAGCAAAAGTAGTCTTGTCTGAAAATAAATATTGAAAAATGATCATTCCAGTCTAATTTAATATCAGAATTAATGATTCTTTTCTTATTTTATTTTTTATTTTGAGACAGGGTCTTGTTCTGTTACTTGGGCTGGTAGCTCACTATAACCTTGACATCCTGAGTTCAAGCAATCCTCCCATCTCAGCCTCCTGAGTAACTGGGACCAAAGGTATGTGCCACCATGCCTGGTTAATTTCTATAAAAGTGTTTGTAGAGACAAGGTCTCCCTATGTTGCCCAGGCTGGTCTTCAAATCCTGGTGCAAGCGATCCTCCCACCTCAGCCTCCCAAAGTGTTGGGATTACAGGTTTAAGCCACTGCACCTGGCCAAAAACCAGTTTTATTGAGGCATGAATTCATCCACCATGAACTTCACCCATTATAAATGTATAATTCAATGACTTTTGATACATTTATAGAGTTGTGCAATCATCACCATAATCCAGTTTTGGAACACTTTTTAGGTCACTCATACCTGTTTGCAGTTAATCCTCATTCCCAGCCCTCACCCTGACAACCCATTGATCTGCTTTATGTTTCTAGAAATTTGTAGCACATAAACAGAATCATATGATATGTGACATATATCTTGCTTCTTTCAATTATCATAAACTTAATATATGAAGTGAGTATGCAGCATGTATAATAGATAACAGTATCCATTAAAAGAATATAGCACATTTGTTTATTCACCAAAATGAACATTTAGATTCTTTATAGGTCTGGCTATTATTAATATTGCTGCTATAAAAATTCTTGTATAAGTCTTTGTGTAAACGTACATTTTTGTTTCTCTTGGGTAAATTCTTAGGAGTGAAATTGCTGAGTTTGACAGTAAGCTTACGTTTATCTTTTTAAGAAACCACTAAATTGTTTTCCAAAGTAGGTGTACCATGGATTGGAAGACTTAATATTGTCAAGATGGTAGTTCTTGTTTCTGCTTTAAAACAAAAAAATTCAAACACAGATACATACCTCCTCATTTGGTAAAGACACATATACCCGTTTGATGAAACGCCTAAAAAAAAAAATCCAGCACTTTTAGAAATATAATTTTGAATTTAAAGCTGAAGCAGCAAATGACAGGAAAAAGCTTTTAAAATATAATATTGAAGGCACTGGAATGCATTTTGGTAGTTATCTATGTAAAACTATTTTTGTTACTCTTTTAAAACTCTAGTTAATGTTTAAAAATGCTTAATTCAGTATTTTTAGAACTAATTATTTATGTATGTATGTTTTTAATAGCAATAATGCTTTAAAACAAAATATCTGATATAAGTAGATCTCTCTTGTTTTCTTGAATCTGAACAAAACTAAAATCAGCAAGGATAATAGAAACAGAAATGTAAACTTTATCAACAAACTAGGTAACATTTATGGAACTAAAATACATAAAGGTGAACTGCCTAGGACAGTGAAAATTACACTGAGAAAAGGAAGACGCACACAGGGTCTGCTGCGGAAGATCATGGACATGACTGTCAGAACACAGTTTTCCCCCAAAAAGAGACGACACACCCTAAAGGATAATAAAGCCAATCCCTCCACATTTAAACAAACATATGAGGCCTGGCTCTGCAGACCATGTAAACCCTAATTGATAGCACAGGAATGGCAAGGATGGTGAGACTGAACAAAGAAATTCTAAGACAAATTATCTTTGAAAGAAGGCATCTAACAGTCTGGTGGGAAGACACTGTCTTGCAGTGACCAGTATTTTTTAGTAGAAGAATAAATCAACTCTAACTCTTATTTACAGACACATGTATTTCATTATCAGGTAGGGCTTCACTGTAAGTGAGGGATTGTTAGTTTAGTGAAAAATGGACTACTCAAAATACCTATCTCTTCCCCTACAATATCCTTCCAAAACTAGGTTTTCCAAGAAAACTCTTTTTATTCAAAGAAAAGTAATAAGCAAAAGTGAAACACAAGGACAGGGCTCATTAAAAAAAACAAAACAAAACAAACAAAAAAAACTTGTCCCCAAAAGAGCAAACAAAACAGAATAAACATAAACTAGATAAAATGACGAACAAGCATGAGAAGATTTTGCCATAGAGCAAATTAAAATCATGACCAAACATCTTTCCATGAAGCAATTTAATTAAAAACATTTTTTTTATCCTTAAGTTTTTTTTGTATAGATATGGGGTTTTACCATGTTGGCAAGGCTGGTCTGGAATTCCTGGCCTCAAGTGATCTGACCTCCAAAGTACTGGGATTACAGGTGTGACCCACCATGACACTCAACCAAAAAATTGTTTTCTTTTCTTTTTTTTTTTTTTTTGAGACAGACCTGTTGCCCAAGCTGAAGTACAGTGGTGCAATCCTGGCTCACTGCAACCTTTGCCTCCCAGTTCAATCGATTCTCAGCCTCCCACGTAGCTGGGCTTACAGGTGCATGTGACTATGCCCAGCTAATTTTTTGTATTTTTAGTAGAGACAGGGTTTCACTGTGTTGGCCAGGCTGGTATTGAACTCTTGGCCTCAAGTGACTTGCCTGCCCAAGAAAATTGTTTTCTATGAAACAAGAGCCCAGTGAGATATAAGAGCTTATGGAAAAAACAAATAGATGCTCAAAGAAATAAAACAGAAGATGAAAATTAGGGTAACAGAGGTCAGGAAAGTAATAAATAAAAAATCACCAAGGAAAGAAGGGTTATAAAACACATAGCAGAAAGGAGATCAGATACTAACCCAGTAAGAATAAAGGTAACAGGCTTGGGAAAACAGAACAAAACAAAAAGACCTAAGAGTTTAAAAGGATTAAGAAGAAAATTACAGATAGGGAATTTATGTGTAAAAGAAAACAGAAAAATTAACTAGGAAAAAAATTAAGATATCATTTAAAATAAATTTCCCATTTTAACGATATTGATTCTTCCAATCCATGAGCGTGGAGTGTTTTTCCATTTATTTGTGTCATCTCTGATTTATTTTAGCAGTGCTTTATAGTTCTCCTTGCAGAGATTCTTTCACCTCCTTAATCTGCTATATTCCTAGATATTTCATTTTCTTTTCTTTTCTTTCTTTTTTTTTTTTTTTGAGGTGGAGTCTTGCTCTGTCACACCCAGACTGGAGTGCAATGGCATGATCTTGGCTCACTGCAACCTCTGCCTCCTGGGTTCAAGCGATTCTGCCTCAGCCTCCCGAGTAGCTGGGATTACAGGTGCCTGCTACCATACCCGGCTAATTTTTTGTATTTTCAGTAGAGACGAGGTTATACTGTGTTGGTCAGGCTGGTCTCGAACTCATGACCTCAAGTGATCTGCCCGCCTCAGCCTCCTAAAGTGCTGGGATTATATAGGCGTAAGCCACTGTGCCCAGCCAGCATTTCATTTTCTTTGTGGCTGTTGTAAATGGGATTGTATTCTTGATTTGACTCTTAGCCTGAACATTATTAGTATATAGAAATGCTACTAATTTTTGTATACTAATTTTGTATCCTGAAACCTTGGTAAAATCATTTATCAGTTCTAGTAGCCTTTTGGCGGCATTTTTAGTTTTTTTTTCAGTATAGAATCATATTGCCAGTGAAAAGAAAGAGAGCATGATGACTTGTTTTCCTATGTGGATGCCTTTTATTTCCTTCTCTTGCCTGATTGCTCTGTTTGTAATATGACCATACTGCCCAAAGCAATTGACAGATTCAGTGCTATTCCTGTTAAACGATCAATGTTATTTTTCACAAAAGTAGAAAAAATTATTCTAAAATTCATATGGAACCAAAAAAGAGCCAAAATAGCCAAAGCAATCCTAAGCAAAAAGAACAAAGCTGGAAGTATCACATTATCTGACTTTAAACTATACTATACAGTAGCCCAAACAGCATAATTCTGGTATAAAAACAGACACACAGGCCAAAGGAACAGAATAGAAAATTAGGAAATAAAGCCACACACCTATAACCCATCTGATCTTTGACAAGATGGACAAAAAAAAAAAAGCAATGGGGAAAAGACTCCCTATTTAACAAATGGTGTGGGGATTACTGGCTAGCAATATGTAGAAAAATGAAACTGAACACTTAGTTTTCACCATATACCTAAATTAACTCAAGATGGATTAAAGATTTAAATGTAAGATCTCAAAGTATAAAAATACTAGAAGAAAGCTAGAAAATACCCTTCTTGACATCAGCCTTAGAAAGAAATTTTGGCTCAACAACAATTGCAATAAAAATAAAAACTGACAAGTGGGACCGAATTAAACTAAAAAGCTTCTGCACAGCAAAAAGAACCATCAACAGAGTAAACGGATAACTTACAGAATTGCATCTAACAAAGGTCTGATATCCAGAATATATAAGGATTCAAACAATTGAACAAGCTAAAAACAACCCTATTAAAAAAATGGGTAAAAAGGAAATGTAGAGACATTTCTAAAAAGACATATGAAGGGACAACAAACATGAAAATATATGCATCATCGCTAGTCATCAGAAAAATGCAAATCAAAATCACAATGAGATATCTCACACCAGTCAGAATGGCTATTAACATAACAGCAAAAAAAATCCCATATTGTCTAGAAATTGGTGGGAAAAAGTCAAAAAAAAAAAAAAAAACAGATGCTTGTGAGGCTGTGGAGCATATATACTTTGGTGATAATGTACAGTTTAGTCATTGTGGAAAGCAGTTTGAAGATTTATCTAAAAACGAAACAGATCTACCTTTGACCCTGCAATCCCATTATTGGGTATATACCCAAAGGAAAATAGATCATTAGACCAGAAAGACATGCATTTCATGTTTATTGCTGTACTATTCACAATAGCAGACATAGATTCAACTTAGGCGCCCACCAATGGTGGACTGGATAAAGAAAATGTGGCACATACACACCACGGAATACTACACAGCCATGAAAAAGAATGAAATAATATCCTTTGCAGCAACACAGATGGAGCTGGAGGCCTTAATACTAAGCAAATTAATGCAGAAACAGTAAACCAAATAGTGTATGTTCTCATAAGTGGGAGCTAAAAATTGGGCACACATGGACATAAACAATACACACTGTGGACTACTACATGGGGGAAGAAAGGAGTGAGGTGTGGGTTGAAAAACTACCTACTACACACTATGCTCACTACCTGGGTGCAATATACCCATGTAACAAGCCTGTACATGTACCCCCCTGTATCTAAAATAAAAGTCAAAATTATAAATAAATAAATAAATAAAACTTCCCAAAACAAAGGAAGTTCCAAACTATCAATTTAAAGAAACATCAAATCTCCAGAAAAATAAATACAGATCATCAACATACTTTTCAAATAACCAGATTTCAATGGCTAATAATTCTATCTCGTAAAGAGAGAAAAAAATCAAGTTAATTTATAAATTTGAAAAAATCAGCTTGGATTCAGACTTTTACACTACTATAATCAATCCTAGAAACAATGGAGCAATATTGTAAATTCCTTGGGGAAGTATGCCCAAGAATTTTATGCTGAGTCAAACTGTTCTTCCAGTATGAAAGGAATAAATTTGCTCAAAAACACAAGAAAAGAAAACACATTTTCCATGAACCCTGCTTTGATCATCTTCTCATGAAGCCCAAAAGAGGGAAGGAATCAATTTTGAAGTTTAAAGATAATTTAATGCAACCCAGAAGAACTGACCAATCTGCCTAAAACCTTAACTAAACCTTTACTAGACTAGTTCTCCTGGTATCAAGCTGTTGACCTCAAAATCATTATTTAGTTGGTAACAAGAGGCTAGAGGATAGTACGAGAGGAAAATAGTGAATTGTCTTAAAACTGAGAATAAGGAAATAATACGTAAGATAAACACATGAGTAAATATTGTCTGTAATAAATGCATGTATTTCCATATAAATCACCCTACCTGAGAACAGCCTCATCAAGCTCTTGTGGCCTATTAGTTGCACCCATTACAAGTACTCTGTCATCTCCAGCAGACTGTACCTACAAGCAAAAAATCTTTTTTCAATACATTTAGTAATAACAAATATAAAGATATTTGTATTTTTAACCTTGGCCATTTAATAGGAATATACATATATATACTAAAATGCTGCCACATTAAAAAAAAATCATAATCAACACTTACACCATCAAATTATTTATTTATTTTTATTGCATTTTAGGTTTTGGGGTACATGTGAAGAACATGCAAGATTGTTGCTTAGGTACACACATGGCAGTGTGATTTGCTGCCTTCCTCCCCATCACCTATTTCTGGCATTTCTCCCCCTGCTATCTCTCCCCAACTCCCCACCCCTCGGTGTCCCTCCCCTATTTCCCCCCAACAGACCCCAGTGTGTAGTGCTCCCCTCCCTGTGTCCATGACTTACACCATCAAATTCTATTAGAAATTCAGTTTTTAGGCGTCTACTAGCATCGTGCTCCCCTTCTCTTCTTTCACACAAAAGGCTATCAACTTCATCTAGAGGAAATACAAGTATAAGACTTTAATTAAAAACCAAGCTACGTGAGTCATCTGAGATCAATCTAGTTTAATACTTATTAATATAGTGGGTCCTATTAAATTCATTAGATAGTCTTTAAGCTTGCCCTTCTTTAAAACTTCTTCCTTCTGGATGTTTCCAATCATCTCTCTCCTATTTGCAGAGGGAAATTTTACAAATAGTCAACTAACTTAGTTGGAAAATATGTTCTTACCTATGAAAATTATAGAAGGTTGAAGTTCTCGAGCCACAGCAAAAAGAGCTCTCACCAATTTCTCTCCTTCTCCCACCTAAAACAAGGCATTATATTGTTATACACATAAAATGCAACATTATTCCAGTTTTTTAAATTTTATGTTGAAAATCTAGCACACAGGAATTTAATTTCCCTTCCTTACAACAACCACAGATTTGGTTTGAGAAAGGAGACGGTATTACTGAACTGTCCCTTACAATTTTAGAAAATAGACTGTGATTTCATATAGCCTGGTAAGTGCTTTAAAAATTCATCTATTTTGCTTCACCCTGCATTCCTAAGACTTGAGAATGAAATAGCTATTCGGTCAAGGATCAGTGAGAAAAGGGAGACTAAGGGAGAGAAAGAGATGCTGTACATATTCCTTAAGCCCTAGATTTCAAGGTACATTTATAGAAGCAAGTAAGTTGGAATGTGCTCTCCTATGATGTGCTCTCCTACAGTGATTTCCATTATACCAAATCTCTATTAAGAACACCTTGAAAAGTCATTCTGACAACACCATCATCAATAAATATCAAAATTTCTTTTTTTTTTTTTTTGAGACAGAGTTTTGCTCTGTAGCCCAGTTTGGAGTTAAGTGATGCAAACTTGGCTCAATGTAACCTTGCCTCCTGGGTTCAAGCGATTCTCATGCCTCAGCCTCTCAAGTAGCTGGGATTACAGGTGCCCACCACCATGCCTGGCTAATGTTTGTGTTTTTAGTAGAGGCGGGGTTTCACCAACCTGGCAGGGTTGGCCAGGCTGGTCTTGAACTCCTGACCTCAGGTGATCCACCTACCTCACCCTCCCAAAGTGCTGGGATTAGATGCATGAGCCACAGTGCCCAGCCAATAAATATCAAAACATTTCCAGATAGTCCAGAAGGTCTATGAACACCCACTGAGACATTCCCAGGTGCTGACAGCATACAAAGGCCATTTTATGCACCAAAGTAATGAAAGAGTCATGAGGTCTGTGACAACCTACTATAAAACTGTTTCTGTCCTCTAGGTGGCATTTATTCTTTTTATTGAAGATTTAACTTAAAAACAAACAAAAGAAATGGCCCAGATTTAGAATAATCAAAACAAATATTCTCAGAGCTGAAAGAAATCTCAAAAGATCACCTCTTATGACATTAACATTTACAGATGAAACAGGCCTAAAGTGATACTTACTTTTTTTTTTTAAGATGGGGTTTCACCATCATGGCCAGGCTGGTCTTGAACTCCTGACCTCAGGTGATCCACCCACCTCGGTCTCCCAAAGTGCTACGATTACAGGCATGAGCCACCGCGCCCAGCCCTAAAGTGATACTTTCTTAAGGCCAGTTCAGGATGTAAAAGTTAAGCTAGAGGCCAGGCACAGTGGATCACTCCTGTAATCCCAGTACCTTGGGAGGCCAAGGCAGGTGGATCACCTGAGGTCAGGAGTTCAAGACTAGCTGGCCAACATCACAAAACCCTATCTCTACTAAAAATGTCAAATCTAGCTGGGCGTGGTGGTGCATGACTGTAATCCCAGCTACTTGAGGCTGAGGCAGGAGAATTGCTTGAACCCGGAAGGTGGAAGTTGCAGTGAGCTGAGATCACACCACTGCACTTCAGCCTGGGCGTAAGAGTGAGACCTTGTCTCAAGAAAAAAAAAAAGCTAGCCTAGAATCCCTATCTCCTAACTTCCACAACAATGATTTCCATTATACCAAATGCATAATGTGGGTAAAGGTGCTTTAGTAACGACTTGAAGACCAGGCATGGTGACTCATGCCTGTAATCCTAGCACTTTGGGAGGCTGAGATGGGAGGATCATTAGAGCCCAGAAGTTTGAGACCAGCCCTGGCCTGGCAACATAGTCACCCCTCATCACTACTACAAATTTTTTTTTTTTTTTTTTTTTGAGACAGTTTCTCACATTGTCACCCAGGCTGGAGTGCAGGGGCACAATCTCAGCTCACTGCAACCTTGGCCTCCTAGGTTCAAGCAATTCTCCTGCCTCAGCCTCCTGAATAGCTGGGATTACAGGCACCTGTCACCATGTCTCACTAATTTTTTCTAGTTTTAGTAGAGACAGGATTTCACCATGTCAGCCAGGCTGGTCTCAAACTCCTGACCTCGTGATTTGCCCACTTCAGCCTCCTACAGTGCTGGGATTACAGGTATAAGCCACTGTGCCCAGCTCCAAAAATTTTTTTGAAACTAGCTGGGCATGGTAGCATGCGCCTGTAGTACCAGCTACTTAAGATGCTAAAGTGTGAGGATCACTTGAGCCTAGGAGGTTGAGGCTGCAGTGAGCCATGCTCATGCCACTGCACTCTAGCTGGGGCAACAGAACAAGATCCTGTCTCAAAAAATAAATTAATAAATAGAATAATGACTTGTAAAATTTCACATAGGAAGTAAAATGTGATCTAACTACTTTAAACATTGAGAACATTTTAAGTACTATGATTTATTAAAATATTTAAAGAAACAAAATATTTGACTTAGCGGAGATAATACAAGATAAATATTACTTTATTAACTTCTCTGATTTTTTTTCCCTAATTTTTAAATCTAGTAGCATACTGATGCACTGAATACCGAACTTTACAAACATGTTGAAACTGTGTGGAAAACTCTGTAAACTGGCAAGAACTATGCAAATGTTAGGGTTTTTTTTTTAATGATCAATTAGAAGCAGGTTAATTAACAGTTTGAAAATATAAGAAAAATATGAAAATTAAATCTATTTGTGTAAAAAAGCACAACTACAACTACTTGCAACAATCTGGATAAATCTCACAAACATAATGCTGATGAAAGAAACCAAATGCACATACATACAAAATCCTATGTGATTAGATTCATATAAAGTTCAAAGACATGCTAGTTTTGTCTATGACGTTACTAGTCTAGTGGTTTTGGGGGAGAGGAGTGAGTGGATAAAGATGGTGGAGTGCCTGGAGGGATTTCGGGGGCAGAGGCAACAATTTATTTTTTGACCTGGGTGGTGATTATGAAAGTATATTTGCTTTGTGGTAATCCACTGAGCTGTATACTCATGCTATACTTTTCTACATGTAAGTTATTCCATAAAAAAGGCTAAACAATAATACAACATGTTAAGATACATATGCAACTCATTTTTTGTGGAAACTAATCTAGGTATTTTAATAACGCAAATGTTGTCCATGACTATGATGCAGTTCCTCCCAAAAGTTTTCTCAGGATATTTCTTAAGAGACAGAACATCTATATAATATTATCCAATGCTTTCTTTTTAAGTCTTCAAAGTCAGGTCACATCTGAGGTAAAATATTCAATTTTTATCATCCTCTGAGCATACTGACAAACTGACATGAGACCACAGAAGGCAACTAAGATAATAATAACTATTCTGGGGGCTGGGAGGAAGCAGATATAACATTAAGTTCTTATATATTTGAAAGGCTATCTCATAAAAAAAAACTAGAATCTTGTTAAATCAAGTACATTAAAACTTAGAAAAAGTACATTTTAGTTAAACATAAGAAAAAAAATTGTATTAGCTAGAACTGTCAAAATGATAGACTAGACATTTCAATTTTCTTTTTCTCTTTTCTTTTTTTGAGATGGGATCTCACTTTGTCACCCAGGCTGGAGTGCAGTAGCATGATGTCTCAGCTCACAGCAAACTCCACCTCCCAGGCTCAAGTGATCCTCCCACATCAGTCTCCTGAGTAGCTGAGACCACAGGCACATAGCACCATGCCCAACTAATTTTTTATATTTCTGGTAGAGACAGGGTTTTGCCATGTTGCCCAGGTTGGTCTCAAACTCCTGAGTCCAAGTGATCCACCTGCCTCACCCTCCACGGTGCTGGGATTATAGGCCTGAGCCACCACACCCAGCCTCAACGTTCTTAAAAACAAACTTGCTTCAAGATATTTAGGAAGTATCAAAATTAAAGGTTAAGATCATGAATGTGTATGTTGTTTCTGGAAACATGAAGATGAAGCAGAGTACTCTTGAAACAAGTATGGATAAAAGAGAATGGTTGCTGTAATATTTTTAATGAAAGGCCACACTCATTGGAGCTCAAATCCTAGTTTTCCACTTCCTTATAAGTTCCTGAGCAGATCACTGAACTTCTCTGTAATTTCCTAATTAATAGAGATATGAGGATAATATCTATATGTCATATGATTATTTATTCCACAAATATTTATTCAGTACCTACTCACTGCCAGATACTGAAAATGGTAGTGAAGAACACATGGCGATAGTCTCTGCCCGCATGGAGACCTCTTCTAGTGGAGGTGACAGTGATATCAAATACAACGAAAATAATCATATCAATGAATATGAATTTCAACTTCAATGAGTATGACAAATGAGGTACAAGTGGTGCTAAGAGGATAATGGGGGGAATAGTTTGGAGAGTCAGGGAAGGCTGTAACATTGCTGATGACCAAGTTAAATTGAGATAATTAGGGGGGGCCCTAATCTACAGGGGAAATTTGGACACAGAGACAGATAAAGGGAGAATGCCACGTGAATATAAAAAGAGATGAGAGGGATGCATCTACAAGCCAAGGAATGCAAAAGATTGCCAGCAAGCCACTAGAATCTAGGAGAGAGGCATGCAACATACATTCTCCCTCACAGCCCCCAGAAGGAAATAATCTGCCAACATTTTAAACTGATCTTGGACTTCTAGCTTCCACAACTATGAGAAAATAAATTGCTGATGTTTAAGCCAGCCAGTTTACGATATTTTATTAAATGGTTCCAATAAACTAATACAATATTTGACAACACAAATGTACATTAACTTTCTACTCTGAAGATTGATATTAATCATGTTAATGATATAAAACTCCTATAAAAATATTTTCATGAAATATTGTTACCATTTATAGTTAACACAGTAACTTTTAGATAGTAACTTAAAATATGACAATATTGGAAACAGCACTTACATATTTTGAAGTTAAACTTGCAGCACTTATATTAAAGAAGGTTGCATTAGATTCTGCAGCTACTGCTTTAGCCTTTAAAAATCACAAGAGCAAATATTAAATTAGTTCATGTCTTGCTTTTAAAAGATAACCATATTTATCAATTTAAGTCCTAGAAAAGATTCTCTCATAATTTAAGCTATGGGCCGGCCGGGTGCAGTGGCTCACGACTGTAATCCCAGCACTCTGGGAGGCCGACGCGGGCAGATCAACTGAGGCCAAGAGTTTGAGACCAGCCTGGCCAACATGGTGAAACCCCATCTCTACTAAAAATACAAAAATTAGTCAGGCGTGGTGGTGCACACCTGTAATTCCAACTACCTGGGAGGCTGAGGTGGCAGAATTACTTGAACCCAGGAGGAAGAGATGGCAGTGAGCCAAGATCACGTCACTGTACTCTACCTTTGGTGATAGAGCAAGACTCTGTCTAAAAAAAATTATTAAAAAATAAAAATGTGGAGAGGGGAGGGCCACAAAAAAATAGAAAACAAAAATGTAAGGTATGATACAATCTCCAATATATGGCAATCATTTCTTAGCAATGAGGACAGCTTACAGAAAGAGATATGCTTTTTCTACTCTCTTCCTGAGAGATAATGAGAGAAATGTTTTAAAAAGAGAGTGTTATTCTCCTCTCTTGTTAGATATACAAAGATAATTCCTTTGAAAAAGACAAACATCTTAGGAAAAGCTACTCTTTCCCTATTAGTTTTTTCCATCTAGAAGAGCTATGCAGAGGAAAGAGGTATCCAGATGCTGATAAAAACTTCTAGCAAAAGATACTTTAAAAAAAAAAAAAAGCTTTTGCACTGATAATGAAGTTCTTTATAACCAAAAAAAAGCTACAACATACTGATTATTTAAATAAAGTTGTTATGATAGTAGAAACAAAAATCAAGGGTTAGAAAGACACTCAATATAGTAAGGTAAACTCTTCCAAGGTAAAAATTTTAATATTTAATTTACAAAAAATAATGACAATTACACTGTAAAATTTAACCAACCAAAAACACACTACTGAGATAATACTTATAGTTTTCCATCTACTTCTATATTGAAAAGTAGTTGAAAAACTTAAAAGAAGTCTATCAGCCATGATAGACTCATGCCTGTAATCCTAGCACTGTGGGAGGCCCAGGTGAGAGGACTGTTTGAGGCCCAGAGTTTGAGACCAGCCTAGCCAACATGGCGAAATCCTGTCTCTGACAAAAATACATAAATTAGACAGGTGTGGTGGCATGTGCCCATAATCCCAGTTACTCAGGAGGGTGAGGCACAAAAATTGCTTGAACCCAGGAGACGGAGGTTGTAGTGAGCTGAGATCACTCAAAAACAAAACAAAAATGTATCATAGCAAAAAATAAATCATAAATAATAGACTCAGGGACAAGATGAAGTTTCTTTTTTCATGTTATCCCAAATATCTCAATAGAAAACTCAAATTTGAAGAGAACTCTTACCAGCATTGTCTTCCCATTCCCAGGTGGACCAAAGAGTAACAGTCCTCTGGCAGGAGCTCTAAGCCCTGTGAACAACTTAAAAATAAATACTTTAGTTTACAACTATGATTCTAGAGACATTTTAAGTACTATGTGTCATCTAAAAAGCATCCTATTCAGTAGCATCCTTCCAAACAGAGCTGCCCACAACTTTAAAGGAAATGCATAATCATAAATTAGTATAATAATTAAAAACAGCTGGGTGTGGTGACTCACACCTATAATCCTAGCACTTTAGGGGTCCAAGACAGGAGGATCATGTGAACCCCAGAGTTCAAGACCAGCCTGGGCAACATAGGGAGACTCTGCTTCTACAAAAAATTTTTTTTTAAAAATTAGCTGGATATGCTAGATTGCCTGTGCTCCCAGCTACTCAGGAGGCTGAGGCCGGAGGATTACTTGAGCTTGGGAGGCCAAGGGTGCAGTGAGCTTTGATCTTGCCACTATACTCCATCCTCGCTGACAAACAAAGACCCTGTCCCAAAAAAATAAAACAAAATGAAATAAAACCAACTCCTTTGTGATAATATTGAAAGCAGACTGCTTAAACAAGACAAATTGAACACAGGCATGTTTCTCTACTTAGAAATCGTACCAAAATAATACTAAATGAATAAAAAAATATAAACCTTCCAAACAAAAATAGAAAAGGAGATAACACAATAAATTCCCATAAAATGGAGAACTGATACAGTGTGGTAAATCATTTAGCAGAGCTTAAAACCTAAATGTCTACTTGTGAAGGGATACCTAGATACAAGAAGCACGCTGATGTGAACAAAATTCTCAGGAAGGTTCAAGAATTGGAGGCATCAGGCACCACAGAAAGCAGTAGTAAGGCAGGCAGCCAAAAACAGAGGAACTGATTGAAAGCTGGTACGAGGAACTCCCCACCAAAGGCAGTCAAGCAGGTACCAACCACCACCAAAGCAGGAGGCAGGAGTTTTATTCTCTAAAAAAATAAGTTTAGAGTCTCCAGACTTAGGGACACTAGGCATGACAAGAATAAAGGGTGGAGCCCCAGACTGAAAACACCTCACCTATACTTATTAAATAATAGTGAATGTGAACATACTTTTAAGTTGAATCATATGAAATGGCTAATATTCAACTTTAAAAAGAAGTCTATTTTTTTCAGTGATTTTATGTTTGCAGAAAATTGAGCAGAATGTACAGAGTTCCCATATAACCTCTTCCCCTTATCTGAACCTTAACAATTTCCCCTAATCTGAATATCTTGTATTAGTGTAGTACTAATGAAAAAATGATCTATTATTAACTGAAGTCCATAGTTCACAGTAAAGTTCAGCCTTATGTTTGACATTCTGTGGGTTTTGACAAAGGTATAATGACATGTATCTACCATTAGGTTATCATAAAGAACAGTTTCACTGCCCTAAAAATCCACTGTGCTCCACCTATTCCTCTCTCCCTGTCTTCCTTGGCAATCCCTGATCTATTTACTGTCTCCACAGTTTTGCCTTTTCCAAAACATCATATCGTCAGAATCCTACAGTATATAGCCTTTTCAGATTGGCTTCTTTCATTTAGCAATATGCATTTATGGTTCCTCCATGTTTTTTTCTGTCTTGATAGATCATTTTTTTAAATTGCTGAATAATACTCCATTACACGAATATATCACAGTCTGTTTATCCATTCACCTACTTATAGATGGCTTGGTTGCTTCCATATTTTGGCAACTATGAATAATGCTGCTAGAAACATTCATGTGCAGGTTTTTGAGTGGATGTACATTATAAACTTATTTGGGTAAATATCAAGGAGTAAGACTGCTAGACCATATGGTAAGAGTTTTGTAAGAAAGTGTCAAACTGTGTTTAGTTTTGTAAAAAACTGTCCAACTATCTTCCAAAATGGTTCTGCTATTTTAGATTTCCATCAGCAATGAACGAAAGTTTCTGCTGCACCAAATTCCCTGCCAGAATTTGGTGGTATTAGTGTTTCAGATTTTAGCCATTCTAATAGAGGTGCGGGGTAACTTACTGTTGTTTTAATGTGCAATTTCCCCAATGACATGATGTTGAGCATATATCATATCCTTGTTTGTCATTTATCTACCTTCCTTGGTGAGGTGTCTGTTCAGATATTTTGCCCATTTTTTAACTGGGTTGTATCTTTTCTTATTGTTGAGGCTTTTTTTTTGTTTTTTGAGACAGAGTTTCACTGTTGTTACCCAGACTGGAGTGCAATGGCATGACCTCGGCTCACCGCAACCTCCGCCTCCTGGGTTCAAGCAATTCTCCTGCCTCAGCCTCCCGAGTAGCTGGGACTACAGGTGCACACCACCATGCCCAGCTAATTTTTGTATTTTTAGTAGAGATGGGGTTTCACCATGCTGACCAGGATGGTCTCGATCTCTTGTCAGGTCTGTGTCTACATTAATTGTTTAAAAAAATTTTTTGAAACAGAATCTTGCCCTATTGCCTAAGCTGGAGTGCAATGGCATGATCTTGACTCATTGCAACCTCTGCCTCCTGGGTTCAAACAATTCTCCTGCCTCAGCCTTCTGAGTAGCTGGGATTACAGGCATGTGCCACCACACCCAAATAATTTTTTGTATCTTTAGTAGAGATGGGTTCCATCATGTTGGCCAGGCTGGTCTCGAACTCTTGACCTCGTGATCCACCCAAATCAGAATTCCAAAGTGCTGGGATTAGCTGGTGAGCCACCACGCCGGGCCATCCAGATTAATTTTTTTGCATGTGGATGTCCAGTTTTCCTATACCATTTGTTGAAAAAGCTATCTTTTCTCTACTGAATTGTCTTTGTTCCTCTGCCTAGGATCAGTTGACTTTACCTGTGTGGGTTGATTTCTAGGCTCTCTGTCCAGTTCTACTGATTTGTCTATTCTTTTGCCAATGATACACTGTCTTGATTAATGCAGCTTTACGGTAAGTCTTGAAGTTGGGTAGTTTCAGTTCTCTGACTTTCTTCTTCAATACTATATTGGCTGCTCTGGGTCTTTTGCCTTTTCATATAAACTGTAATTAGTTTGTCAGTATCCACAAAGTAACTGTCTGGGTTTTGATTGGGACTGCATTGAATCTATATATAAATTTGGGAAGAACTGACATCTCAATAATATTTAGTCTCCCTATCTATTTACTTGGAATATCTCTTAATTTACTTAGCTCTTTGATTTCTTTCATGAGTGTTATAATTTTTCTCATACAGACCTTCTACAACATACTTTGTTAGACTTTTTTTTTTTTGAAACAGAGTTTCATTCTTGTTGCCCAAGCTAGAGTGCAATGGTGCCATCTCAGCTCACTGCAACCTCCACCTCCCAGATTCAAGCGATTCTCCTGCCTCAGTCTCCCAAGTAGCTGGGATTATAGGCACATGCCACCATGCCTGGCTAATCTTTTTTTTTTGTATTTTTAGTAGAGATGGGGTTTCACCACGTTGGCCAGGCTGGTCTTGAACTCCTGACCCTGGGTGATCCACCCACCTTGGCCTCCCAAAGGGGTGGGATTACAGGCATGAGCCACCATGACTGGCCACTTTGTTAGAATTATACTTAAGTATTTCATTTTATTAGTGTTAATATGAATGGTATTGTATTTTAATTTCGAATTCCAGTTGTTCACTGTTGGCATATGAAAAAGCAATTGACTTTTGTATATCAACTTCGTATTCTACACCTTGTCATAATCACTTATTAGTTCTTGGAGCCCTTTTTTTTTTTGGTTCTTTTCTACATATACAATTATGTTACCTGCAAACAAAGATATTCATCTTTTTAAAAAAATATATATATATATATAGATGGGGCCTCACCACGTTGCCCAGGCTGGTCTCGAATTCCTGGGCTCAAGCAATCTTCCTGCCTTGGCCTCTGAAAGTGCTGGGATTATATGTTTTTGACCTATAAAAACAGTAATTTCAGGTCAGGTGCAGTGGCTCATGCCTGTAATCCCAGCACTTTGGAGGGGCTGAGGCAGGTGGAATCACCTGAGGTCAGGAGTTTGAGACCAGCCTGGCCAACATGGCAAAACCCCGTCTCTTACTAAAAATACAAAAATTACCCAAGTGTGGTGGCATATGCCTCTAATCCCAGTTACTTGGGAGGCTGAGGCAGAAGAACTGCTTGAACCTGGGAGGCAGAGGTTGCAGTGAGCCAACATCATGCCAAGGCACTCCAGCCTGGACAATACAGTGATACTCTGTCTCAAAACAAACAAAACAAAACAAAATCTACTAATTTTCACAGGGCTCAACCTAACAGAAAACAAAGTCCTCTCCTTCCACCCATTTTCTGGAACACCAATAGTCAAACTTGTATTCTCCAAGCAAGAGACTAAAAAATTCTTTTCTAGAGAAGCTAAATAACCCCATAAAAAAAGACTGACAGCTACAGTAATTTGGAGAAACCTAAATAAACAGTAGGCTTGCTGCTTGATCATCTTGTGATTAATGGGCTCTCACTAGCATCAATCTTTACTTGTTTACAGCACAAGTAATTCCTAATCAACTTTTTTATTCCCTGGTAATATAAGTGGACAACCATAATAACCATACAATTGAGAAAACCTTCCAACATGAAAAGAGCTTAAGGCAAAAAAGAAAAAAGGAGGAATCTAAAAGAAACAGATAATAATGTAAACAGAAGAAAAATTCACAAAAGCTCTTAGAGATGTAAAAGATATTGCATCTATGAAATAAGAATAGGGCCAGGCATGGTGGCTCATGCCTGTAATCCCAGCGCTTTGGCAGGCCGAGGAGGGCGGATCAGCCTAGGCAACATGGCCAGATGTGGTGGCAGATGCCTGTAATCCCAGCTACGTGGGAAGATGAGGCAGGAGAAAAGTTTGGACCAGGGAGACCGAGGTTGCAGTGAGATGAGATTGTACCACTGTACTCCAGCCTGGGTGACAAGAGCAAGACTCCTTGTGAAAACAGGGAGGATGGAGGAAAGAAAGGAAGGAAGGAAGGGAGAGAGGAAGGGAGGGAGGGATCGGGGGAGGAAAGGGAAGGGAGGAGAGGGAAGGATGGGGAGGGAGGAAGGAAGG